TAATGGTTGTGCCATGTTAATGGTGATGGCAATCGTGCTGTGCTGATCGCGAGGGTGCAGATAGTGCCCAGCTAGTGGTGGTAAGGATTGTGCAGTGATGCTACTGCTGGTGGTGGTGGTGGTGGGGGGGGGGGGGGTGTAGGTGGAACTAGCTCACCTGGCTGACTTGGCATGCATCACTGCCGGCTTCCAGGAGCACCTTGACAACGTCGGTGTCACCACTCTGCGCTGCAACGTACAGTGGTGTGCGTTGTAACTTGGCAACAGAAGAACAGTGCAAACAGGGATTTTACAACGGCAAGGTTTTCACAATGCAGCAAACCCATCATGCAAATGTGTGTATAATTGTGCAAGCATGCGCACCATCAACAGCATATTTTAAATATGCATGTTCAGCACATACTGAGCATGCATAGTTAGCATGTTCAGCGCAAACTGAGAGTGCACAGCTAGCATGTTCAGCTGCCACTGAGTGTGGCATTGTAGTATTGCACAGTGCACATGCATACATCAACACATCGAATGCCTGCCTGTTGTACCTGTACTTGCTCACTGCCAAAACTGGTCACGCGAGTCTCCCCGGAAGAGGGGAAAGAGAGATTCAAAAGGAATCTTGCTTCAGAAAGATGACTCAACCAGCTATTGAACCACCCAACTGCCGACACCCCCAAACTCTGCGTGGACTTGGATGGCCGTTATGCATATGTGTGGATAACCCGCGTTACTCACTCCTATCCGAGCCGGTACCATATTAACGTGATACTCACTGTGTCTTCTGCGTATATGCTAGCGCTCTTGTCCAGGAGTAGTGATGTCACAGCCGAGCTTGAGTGGGCCAAGTGTAACGGTGTCTGTCCATTCTGTACCCAACCAAACCAGAGTGCATTGCAACAACAAGTATTGACAAGACCATTTTCATGTGAAGTTAGAGAGAGAGAGAGAGAGAGAGAGAGAGAGAGAGAGAGACGCAGTTAAGTTAAGAGTGCCTAGTTGTTGCACTGTCTGACTGTATATAGTATCTAGTGACAGTGGTGGATAGTTACTCTTAAAACTCGTATCCATATTACGTTCTTTTCCTTTTCTCTATTTACTTTTAAAAATACTAAGTTTCAGTTTTTATTTAAAACTCAATTGTATAGATCCCTGCTCCAAACTCCAAACTCCAATACGCCGCAAGTTCTACCCACTACATACTTTTAAAAGTGAGGTGAGTGGTTGGACTGGATTCCTACATGCACCGGGCCATTCATTACAGCATCCTGGTGATTGTCGGTATGTCACCACCTGGGACCCCCCCCCCCGGACCCACTCATCTCTCCCTCCAGGAACAAGCTAGCACCATTCATTACAGCATCCTGGTGATTGCCGGTATGTCACCACCTGGGACCCCCCCCCCCGGACCCACTCATCTCTCCCTCCAGGAACAAGCTAGCACCATTCATTACAGCATCCTGGTGATTGCCGGTATGTCACCACCTGGGACCCCCCCCCGGACCCACTCATCTCTCCCTCCAGGAACAAGCTAGCACCATTCATTACAGCATCCTGGTGATTGCCGGTATGTCACCACCTGGGACCCCCCCCCCCCCCTCCAGACCCACTCATCTCTCCCTCCAGGAACAAGCTAGCACCATTCATTACAGCATCCTGGTGATTGCCGGTATGTCACCACCTGGGACCCCCCCCCCCCCCCCCCCCTCCAGACCCACTCATCTCTCCCTCCAGGAACAAGCTAGCACCATTCACTACAGCATCCTGGTGATTGTACAATGTACATGTACATGTATGTCCCTACTGGGACCTGGGGTGGGGCAGGGTGGGGCAGGGGGGGGGGGGGGGCAGGGGGGCACTTACCTCTCCCTCCAGGAACAAGCTAGCACCATGATCAACGAGCAGCTCCACTATGTCGGGTAGGTTGTAGCGACATGCCCAGTGCAGTGGACCGTTCAATTCCGTCACGTCCGATACCTCTGACTGAATCCACAGCCACAGCCACCACCGTTGCCACATCGGGACATCACCGTGAACACACAGGTTTCAACCAACATGTGCAAACACACACACACACACACACACGCACACGCACGCACACACACACACACACACACACACACACACACACACATACACACACACACACACACACACACACACACACACACACACACACACACACATGTACACAACGCATAATTGAAATTTCTTCCACATCAGGAATGAATGGAATGGAATTTCACAGCAGTGTGATAGGGGGGGGGGGGGGGGTTACTGAAGCAACTGGAATTGATCATTTGAAAACACCCTGGCTGAACTCCAGAGTAGCACCCATGCTGTACTGAAGAAACTGATGTTGAGAACACCTCTAGCAGCCTTTATTGGTCATAGAACTGGTTTGTTTGCAACAAACACTTCCAAATAATTGTGTGTCTGTCCCAAGGCATGGGCGTGTGTCACGTTGCCTGATGACTTCCGTCTAGTAGATCTACACGGGCTGAACGGAATGTGCATCTGGCTCACACAAGCGCTATTTCACACACACACACACACACACACACAGTCATTGTGGCGGTAATCTGCATTGTCCGCATGCAGTATTGCTGGGCCATGGGATGGGATGGCCCACTCTAGCCTCGTCTCGTCTAGTGGATGAAATAACGTTAGTTCTGCATGACTGGTATATCACAACAGATTGACCTACGCCTACTCGCCTACTCTTCATCAATGACCGCCGGTTGAATCATTGAAATCTTTCTACCAATCGCTGCCCAGAGGGATGGGAATACAGACACTTGTCGCTGTGTTCAGCTATCAAGTAATATTTCATTGAGCAGCGCGGGTCAATGTGGAAGAATAATAATCCGCATTGCTTACCTGATCCTTGCCTCCGGCACCGTTCTCATTCGGATCCGAACCACCTTCCAGCAACGTCTCCACTTTAGCCTTATCTTTGGCTTTGACCGCTGTGATCAACTCCGTCATTGTGCTCGTCTGCTGCGTGTTATCAGCTGCTCAGCCCTTCCTCGACCAACTCCCGAGCGACACTGTTTACACCCAGGTTGAACACACACACGCGCTCACACAACCGCTCGCTGCAATCCAGTCAATCGCCTCGAAGAGAGAGAGAGAGGGCAGGTACGAACTACGGACCAGTCAGTGCTCCGATCCTGGCTTGTGCACAGCGCAGCTGCATATTATTATGCAGGTGATTACTAGCATACATGCACGCTCTCCGATCCGCATCACAAAACTGCATGCACGAGGTTCGTGGCGAAACCTCAGCGAAGTAATAGTTGAGTTGTCAGCCCCAGTCAACAAAGGGAACATGGTGCTGTGCGGCTGCGACGCTGCTGAAAATGGACAGAGTCATTACGGATGATTTGACAGCAGGCAGATCTTCATCCTGTCAACACGCAGTGCAGTGTGAGTGCAGGGCAAGAGCGACAGCGAAAACAACTCAAGATGATTCCGAGCATTGCGTTCACTGCCCTCGGTCATCTCCTTGGCCGGATATTGGGACAGGCGCGTTTTGTTACAAAGTCGATCGATTCCATAACATTAGCCGGTAGCCCACGGCACTTGCAACAGTGGTCTCAACATCGTGACGAGGGACGGTGAAGCGAAAGACAATCAGGTGTCAGGGACAGCACAGCGGTTGCCTATTTGTAGCTAACCCGACATTGGGAAGGACCAGCGCATGCGCATTTGCAGCAAATTGTAGACTTCGCGCTTCATGCCCACACAGATGTCAGTAATGATTGTAGATCTAGCGGGCTGGTAGTGGTAGCTCAACATCAGTCATCACCACAAATGACAGGCCTAGGCGTTTGGTTGGGGGAATTGGCGCTGATTACGAGAAACGTGTGTGCATGGTGTAGCGCATGACTCGACTCCAGGGATCTACACGGAGTCGTATAAACCCACACGACTCCTTGCTCGACTCCAGGATCAATGTGTTGCTCCATAATAGTGGCTAACGTGGGACCGTGAGCTCAGCTCGCGTATTACTTTCTGCCGAATGTGTGAGCTCCCATGTATTGCCCAGGGAGCCTGTAATCCACATAACTTTCTTTGCTATTGTCTATTGACGAAGTCGCTGCCAGTGCACTAGTTCATGTATGTAATTCGCACCAGTAAGACTAAGGCTAAGTGCATGTGCATCACAAATGACAAATGCCAAAAATTTGGCAAATGCCAAAAATTTGGCATTTGTGACAATTAATATCACCTATCATGCAGGCTCCCAAGGCCGGATATGATATTCATCACACAAACAGTTAACTGCACTGCCAGGCTGTGAACACCAACAGCGGTAACACAAATGTCACCACTAGCCACCATCGGAAGTCCTCTGAATGACTGTTGTGAACAGTTGATCAGTGGTCAACTGCTCATTCAAGATCATGGTGAATGTCTCAGACACGGTTTCCCAATTTGCCTCCTCCCCTTCAACCCCCTCCTCCTCTTCCTGCAGACCACCGTCGCCATGCACTGCACGCCTGTCGCAAGAGACGCACGCAAATCTGAAAATGCACCACTGGATGTTTAAACACACAGTTTCTCTTATGCATGTAGCAACGACAGGGGACAAGATATGCGGACACACGCACGCACGCACACACACACACACACACACACACTCTCTCTCTGTCTGTCTCTACGCGTGCGAGTGTGTATATGTGTGTGTGTGTGTGTGTGTGTGTGTGTGTGTGTGTGTGTGTGATGTGTGTCTCTGTCTCTATCTAGTTCTGTTTCTGTCTCTATCTCTGTTTCTGTCTCTGTCTCCGTTTCTGTTTCTGCCTCTAACAGACTATCTCTATTTCTGCCTCTATCCGTTCTGTTTCTGTCTCTGTCTCCGTTTCTGCCTCTATCTCTGCTTCTGTCTCGGTCTCCGTTTCTGTTTCTGTCTCTGTGTTTCTGTCGCTGTGTCTCTCTTTCTGTCCGTCTGTCTGTCTGTCCGTCTGTCTCTCTTTCTGTCTGTCTGTCTGTCTGCCTGTCTCTACAACCATGCATCCGTTCAGCACACAGAGACCAAGACTATAGGCTAGCATCATGCAGCAAAACAGGAGGGCACTACGGAAGTACGAGAACTGCATGCATGACATGGCGGCGCCTCTCCACTCTCCATACACTGTGACCAGGCCACTGTGACTGTGGAAATAATAACCAACCACATGGTGACTCAGCCCACAGGAAGGGGAGACGGAGGCTGTCGCGCAGTCCACAACACAACTACACGGCGGCCATGTCTGGGATACTGTTCCTAGGCCCAGCCACAAGACCGTATTGCATGAAAAACCACCTGCCGGGCTGGCAACAGGGCAGTGCCCTAAAAAGATAACTAGCCAATGAGTAAACGGGTTCTGATGTGCTTTTAGATAAAGAAAAAAGAAGAAGAAAAGAGATAAAGATGCCCGATGGGTAAAAGGAAGCTGACATTGACAAACTGTGACTAACACGAACGAGAATATTCATGAAAATATCATAAGCTATAATACGCGCAACACGTCTTGAAAAAACAAATGCATGCAGAGAGAGAGAGAGAGAGAGAGAGAGAGAGAGAGAGAGAGAGAGAGAGAGAGAGAGAGAGAGAGAGAGAGAGAGAGAGAGAGAGAGATCGATCGAGAGATCCTAGCATTAGATGTGCTTCACAATCATTAAAAATGAGGCGGGAGGGGGGTAGGGGTCTGCCACCGACATACAGTAGGAACATGAGGAATGTACATGGCCACCTGCAGCTATGTACTGGCATGATACAACAAACAACACCGAGCCCATGGGTGGGTACGCACGGAGGAAAAAAGCACTTCTCCATGCATCAGCACATACTAAAAAGCACTTCTCCATCAGCACATACTAAAAAAGCACTTCTCCAACAGGACATACTAAAAAAGCACTTCTCCATCAGCACATACTAAAACGTGAGTTGGGTAATACACAAACTGTGAGTAAAGAAAGCAAAACAGGACCAGCCTGTGCATATACAATGAGGGAAAAAAAACAACTTTACTGAACCTGGGGTGAGCACTGAGGGGAGAGAGAGAGAGAGAGAGAGAGAGAGAGAGAGAGAGAGAGAGAGAGAGAGAGAGAGAGAGAGAGAGAGAGAGAGAGGGAGAGAGAGGGAGAGAGAGAGAGAGAGGGAGAGAGAGAGAGAGAGAGAGAGAGAGAGAGAGAGAGAGAGAGAGAGAGAGAGAGAGAGAGAGAGAGAGAGAGAGGGAGAGAGAGATAGATAGATAGAGAGAGAGAATATCTTTGACAGAGCTTGAGCCCAATAGAGCCATAGGCCAGGCAATGCCACAAAGGCAAACATAACTAACAAGAAAAAGCACCGACAGGAATCTAACCAAGAACACTGCCAGCCGAGAGACCGTCGTTCAATATAAATACATCTAAAATATCAGACTGGGAGCGAATATCGCCTCCACGCGCACGCGCTCACATGCTGTATATTTTTCTGCACTAAAGAAAGTAAGTTACCTAGTCGAAACATGGGAAGACAAATCTGAAAGCACATTGGCGCAGTGAATGCTCCGATTCAAACTGCACGTGAAGTAGACAAGAGCTGGGAGAACACCAGTTGACAGTCGCAGTACGGTGGCCATCACGCCAGACCAGCTGGGTAAAAGCACTCGGTAACCATGGCAACTGCCAATGGTTACAAATGATGGCCGCCGGTTACGCAGCACTCCGCCTCTCCGGCTTACACGTGTACGGAAAGCGGAAAGCAGGCTAGAAGTTCTCCTTGTTGTAGTAGAAGCGCGTTCCGTTCTGCAAGTCCGTGCAGCGGTTGCACTCCACGTGCAGAGCGGACGAGAGAATCTTCGGACCGCAGAAGAACACGCCTATGTCCTCACTGAATAGCACAACAAACATAGCCAACACAGCAAACACATGAAAAGACAACACGACATGTAAGCAATACACGTGAATTCTTTTTATGAAGACACGACGACGGTCACAGTGCATTTTCAGAGAACAAAAGCGTGACAGGTGATAACAAGGCATGTGAGTGTCCTCCTTTCTAGTCCAGTCCAGTTTACCGGTGGTCCAGTCCAGTTTACCGGTAGTTCAGTAAGAGGAATGAGAGTTTGGCTCTCTGAGCATCCCTGGGATAACCTCGGTACATCGCACCCCATGTAGATCTCATACAGTACTGGCCAGAGAATAAAATAGCGTTGCCGGGCGCTGTGCAGCCCTTGCACTGTAACGCGGCGCTACTTTATTCAAGTTTATTCATGAGGCTGGATTTCTCTGGCCAGGACTGTAGTTGCAGTTGGCCATATCACCCACCCCCCCCCCCCCCCCCCCTCCTCCACCCCTCGCCCCTAGGCTCAGCCGGAGTCCACAATGCTGAAAAGCTTACCCGCGATGCGCTGCGGCCATGTTCTCAAAGATGTTGCGCCACTGCGGCCGACCAAAGTGCGTCTTCTGCTGCAGACCTGTGATGACGTCACGCGACTCGTCCTCATGCAACATGATGTTCTTTGCCTGAGGAGACGCACAACACAATCAACACAATCAACATGATCAGAACACAACCAACGCAATCAACACCCCCCCCCCCCCCCCACACACACACATGCATACAGCACACCTACAGGTGGTTCAGCACCCTCTCCAAACAAGCAGCCAGTAGGATGACCAACACACTATGCTATTGACCAACACACTATGCTATTGGTAGAGAAACTGTGGTAACAACTTGGAAGACATGGTGTTTGTGTTCGGAACTTTATTGATAACAACTCCAGAGACAAGACAGTGACACCGGACTGGCCCGGACAAGGGGTGTGTGTGTGTGTGTGTGTGTGTGTGTGTGTGTGTGTGTGTGAGAGAGAGAGAGAGAGAGAGAGAGAGAGAGAGAGAGAGAGAGAGAGAGAGAGAGAGAGAGAGAGAGAGAGAGAGAGAGGAGGGAGAGAGACAGAGGGAAAGAGAGAGACAGAGGGAAAGAGAGAGACAGAGGGAAAGAGAGAGACAGAGGGAAAGAGAGAGGGAAAGAGAGAGAGAGAGAGAGAGAGAGAGAGAGAGAGAGAGAGAGAGAGGAGAGAGAGAAAGAGAGAGAGAGAGAGAGAGAGAGTAAGTTACATTTATAAAGACAGACAAGTCTAACAAATGAGGACTGAGACCTCTACAACAGGGTTTTTACGCCTGAAAGCAGGTGCATGATTTAACAAGCAGGTTTTCAGTCTAGATTTTATGCGCAGATGGAGAAAAAAATGCGCAGATGGAGAAAAAAATGCGCAGAATTTTTGTAATGAGATGAAAAGCAGAAATAATAAGAAAAGATGAAATGAAAGCCTGCTCACAACCCGCCCAGCCTTGCGAACTGGGTATGGTGGAGAAAGAGAGAGAGAGAGAGAGAGAGAGAGAGAGAGAGAGAGAGAGAAAGAGAGAGAGGGTATTCTTAAACGTTACAAAGCAGCTACACATCATCTAACCATGTTCTGATCCCAGCCACGTGTCAAGTAGATGTTGTAATCCAGGAAATCCGCCATGCCGTTCTCGATCAACTACACATGTGAATACACACACCACAGCGCACGCATCGTATGCACAGAAATCCAAGAGTAAAAAAAAAAAACAGTCAATGAAAACAATGAAATACGACCAAAAAAAAAACTCGCTCCAAATACAATGTAACTGGATCCAACGCCTCTATGCTTACTCAGTCAGAATAAACGGCTGGAGCTGCTACAAACGGGTAACATAAGTTACATAACCATGTACTAGTATCTGCTCGATACTTCACCCTGGACTAAATAGATACTTCACCCTGGACTAAATCGATACTTCACCCTGGACTAAATCGATACTTCACCCTGGACTAAATCGATACTTCACCCTGGACTAAATCGATACTTCACCCTGGACTAAATCGATACTTCACCCTGGACTAAATCGATACTTCACCCTGGACTAAATCGATACTTCACCCTGGACTAAATCGATACTTCACCCTGGACTAAATCGATACTTCACCCTGGACTAAATCGATACTTCACCCTGGACTAAATCGATACTTCACCTTGGACTAAATCGATACTTCACCCTGGACTAAAGTGACATATGCAGATGGTTGTCAAGCATGACGAATCAGCCATGAAGCAACACACTATGCACACTCATGGACCTCGTCTGTACCTGATCCTCTAGGGTCTTCAGAAGGTCGGCAAACCACTCGAACGCCTGAGTGTCCGGACAAATCCAGTAGACGTAGACCTTCTGCAGCTTGAGTGAGCCGTCGTTGTCACTGCGGTTAGCGCCGAACATCTGGTACCTGCAAGACAGTATTACACACACACACACACACACACACACACACACACACACACACACACACACACACACACACACACACACACACACACGACCGCGCGCAGGATATACTGTAAAACATGTAATTTTAGGTGCATTAAAATTTCGGTGCCAGGGACCTGCCAGGTTTCAGGTGTAATTTAGAGTTAGGTGACCAGAGTTCCCTTCACATACAGTGCATACTCTAGTGCCTTTAGGTGTAATTTATATTTAGGTGCCTGGTTTCTGTACCGAAATTACCGAAATTAAAGTTACACCGAAAATTGCATGTTTTATAGTACAGTCAGACGTCGCATAACCACACACATCCGTTTTCCACAAAAATATCCGGATAGGCGAGGGAACCGGATAATCGAACACTGGTTACGTTGGATGCATCACGTATGCTGTAACCAGATATTTTCTTCCAGATGGCGAGAGATCCGGATAAAAGAGGACCGGATAAGCGAGGTCTGACTGTACTGTAAAACAGGAAACTTTTGAAAGGGAATAGTTTTTCGCTCACCGCCCAAGGGCGAAGTCAAATCACAGTGAACTGGAAAATTTGAAGCTCCTGTGCAATCTGAAATTGTCGCAGACAATCTTTCAAAACTTCGTCACTAGTGTTATATCCCTGTCTTACATGTACACTGCTACATGTACTGTGTTCTGTTTGTGTACCTCACATGTCCTATATACCGGTATGCGTTCCTGCTGCACCATTTGTAGCACCCATGAACCCCTGCACGTACTACTCGTCCTTATGCGTGCCCTTCACTTCTTCTAGTAGTTTTCTTAAGTTTCTTTGTCTTTCAGCTTTTCTGACTCTTGCCTTCCGCCCTTGCGGCGAAAGCCTGGCTTTTTGGCTCTCTCTAGACTTCTCTAGCATTTTGCCCTTGCGGCGGAAGCGTTAAGCCTTTTTTTCCTCTTTTTCTTGCATGGTTTGTTGCAGTAAGTTTAGCTTTGTGTCTTTGTTCACTAGAAGTTGAGAGATATTATCTCCAGGTGTGCACCGGAGTCAGTTCATTTGCTAACCTCCTACAGAGGCAGTGCGCCTTAACCTGCAATAGTGCTCAAATGCCCGGAATGGGCAGAGCGTGGTACGCAAGAGGTACACAAAAGGAAGTAAAACAGACAACGAAACAGATGTCACTTCTCTGCGGTTGACGTCACAGTATAAGAATTAGCAGAGAAGTAGTGTTCTCTGTCCACCCGGGAACGGGTACGAGGGAGCACGGTGTGGGATAAAAGGAGGTGACGAGTGCATGGTCGGCCTCTTTTGTCTTTGCGCGGAGAGTTGAGTGAGAGTGCCCACCCACCCACCCCAGTAATCATCATGTATATCATCGCTTTGATTATTCTAGTGATTTGATTATTCTAGAGTGTGCGGATGCATAATGGTCGAGCGTGGTTTTCTGGTTGTACGTAGCTGGAGGTTTTGTTAGACTAGGCAATGGTTCTGTATAGTCATGACCACGGAATTGTGTGCAAAGACAATAAGTTGGGGCGCTGTGCTGTGGTGGCCCCCACTGGCAATGTTCACGTGTTCAATAGTGGTGTACACGTATGAGTGAGTGTGCGGATGTGTACGCAACGAGTGAGTGCAGGGTGGACAGAGAACCCTATTTTACTTTCTTTTGTGTACCTCTTGCGTAACCTCCTTATTACCACTTAGCTACACACTACACTAGTTTATCCAAGATGGAGCTGTTCGTTTGTGCCTATAGCTTTGTTGTAAATCGTCAAGGAACCATGTTGAGTTTCCAGTGGCTCAGCTCTCAGAAGAAAAGGATGCTGACTCACCCACATCGGCGGAGGATGTCCTAGGGCCGTCCAAGCGGCCATGGAGTTGCAGGGTAGTACGAACTATTTATTGTCTTCTAAACGCCGGGCTCGCCATTTGGAGCAGCTACATAAGGATAAAGATCTCCTCCCAATGGCAAAAGCAGTGTAATGGAGGCAGCCAATGCTGCTGTGATCAGTCCTGGAAATCGCCTAGTTCAACATTACGTGAGAAGGGACATTATTACGCCAAGGCGGAGCTGGGCCCTGTCTCACAGCATGCGGTGGTCATAACAAAAGGGAAAATTGGACTTTTTCAAAAATTTCCTTTCGTCCAGTCTATGTTTTATTTTCGTTTTTGATTGTACAATGTCACTCAACTCCTCATCCCCGTCGGCTCGTAAGAGAAAGATAACTGGTTATATCGCCGACAAAGTCAAGCGCCTGAGCTGCCTCAGCAAACGTGAAAATGGCTTGATTCGAGCGGTAAGTATCCTCTACCTTGTTGTTCATTTCGGACTTTCACCTGATAAGTTTCTTGTGTTTGCATCTTTGTGTTGACGCAGGGCATGGAGCTTCATGAAGCTACACACGCCAAAGTGCTAGTTCTGGTGATATCTCCATCAGGTGTTGAGCACCTATATAGCAGCAGTCCAGTAGACGACTGGTGATGGAGGAGCTCGCTTCGACGGCTAAAAAGCGAAAACGAGGCAGCTATCATCACTACTCCGACGAAGTCCGAGCTCACATGGGCCGTCACGCCGCTGAGCATCACAATACATCGGCCGTGACTAAGTTCACGACGGAACTGGAGCATCCCGTCAATGAGAGCACCATCCGAAATTGCAGGCAATTGTATCTGGGACGGTTGAAGGACATGCAGAGTCAAGAGTTGGTGAAAACTCTCCCCTATGCAGCTGGGGGTCGCTCATTGCTGCTTGGCGACCTGGTCGGTGAAGTAGTCGACTACGTGAAGTCGTTGAGACAAGCTAAATGGCTGGTCAGCACCAGTATAATTATCGCTGGCGCGAAGGGAATAGCCGTGCACCGGAAGCCTTCGCTGCTGAAGGAGAACGGTGGATCCGTTGTTCCAACGAAGGACTGGGCAGACTACTTTCGTCAGCATCACGGATTTGTCAAGCGGCAGGCGGCAAAGGCTGCTGCAAACGCCTTTCTATTCGTACACGAAATGAAGACAATTGCCACTTTTAAATCGTCAATGCATCTGTTAAACCGATTCACGATGATGACTCATCACAGTCATTGAAGAGTCAGCTAATTTAGCAGCCATGCAAGAGTCCCTCTACAAAGAGCTCCCATCAATCAAATTGAACCGGACACAGCCCTCTGCCTCCTGTATCTTCCTTGACTTTAAACATATCCAAATCGTGCACCAATGATGGTAATTGCCTGTTTGAGTTTTGTACCTTCCAGAAACCTAGAAATGCATACCTATTAATCGTACATACCGTTCATATCCGATCACCCGAGAGCTAACCTGCGTGTGTTTATCAAGGCTGAGCTGTTGCGCTACAACAGACGAACTCAATACTTGCAGAAAGTAAGAAGTCTTTTCTGGAATCTCAGTGTGGCTGTTCAGCTGTAAGAAAAGCGTTCTTGATACTTTAGACAAGCTCCAGGCAACAGGTGCCCGCTTTCACCTTTACAATACTAGTAATTCCTTTCGGCCTAAGCACTCTGTCCCCTGGATGACCCCAAAAGCGAGTTGAGTTCTCAGACCAACTGGGAATTACACCAATGGAGACGGCAACTCCTATCTGCGACATATTTTTGGCATGCTTGTTGTGATTTTCCTAAGCTGTTGGAGCAGTTTTCTCTGCATACGAGTGTGTGGGATTGTCGTTCTTGCTCAGTTTGCCTGCCTAAAGCGTCTTCCTTCTTTTCTTAATCATGTCTTTCCTGTTTAGCAATACAATGGAACAAGTTACCTGAATCTTTGCGCAGTACACAGAACTCCCATATTTTCTCTCGTGATCTACGCACCCTATATACTCCCTATATGCTCCGTACATGTATTCTGTAAATTTTTTGAAAGGATTGGGAGAACTTCAAATTCAAAGGATCAGTCGGGGAAGTGAACAGCCTGAAAAGAGAAAAAAAATCCTCTGGTGGGTCTGGCGATTTTTCTCTTTTCAGGCTGTTCACTTCCCCGACTGATCCTTTGAAATCGACTCTCTTGTTTTTTTATAAAGTACTCACACCAAGGGCAAGGTCAAGGTCTGATCACCCATTCACAAAATCAAATCAACCAGCCAACAGTTCTGTGTGTACTTATGTGTGTATATTGTGTACTTGTATGTGTATATTGTGTACTTATGTGTGTATATTGTGTACTTATGTGTGTATATTGTGTACTTATGTGTGTATATTGTGTACTTATGTGTGTATATTGTGTACTTATGTGTGTATATTGTGTACTTATGTGTGTATATTGTGTACTTGTGTGTATATTGTGTACTTGTGTGTGTATATTGTGTGCACGTACCAGATTGACTTGAGGATGGAGGCAAACGGCGTGACACCGATACCAGCGCCGATGCAGACTCCCACACGGAAACGGAAGATGTCCTGCACGTGGCAATACATGAGAATATGAATCAGTGCAAGTACTCAACCCGTGAATATTCCGCGTGGGCCATTCAACAGAAGACTTTCAAGCACCGGTAGATCACATCATGTTAGTGCATGTACTAGTATTTGATAAGAACACGGCATGTAAATGAGTGAGTGTGTGTGTGTGTGTATGTGTGTGTGTGTGTGTGTGTGTGTGTGTGTGTGTGTGTGCGTGTGCGATACACAATGTACAGAACTCTCGCCGACAAGCAAGACAAGAAATGTTGTCTTCATGGCAGTAGGCCTAGCGTGGGATCAGTGCAGTGCAAGCAAAGTCCAAGTCTGGCATTGTGCTAACATGATAACTGACCGGCACTCTCTCACTCAATAAGGCCAGCAGCGATGCGAGTGACACACGGAATCAAGCAGATTGTGCACACGTACAAGTACAATACATGATAAGGCCACGCCGTTTTTTTTTTATGTTTCGCGTCACCTTATTCGATGAAATCAATGAGGGAGGGCGAAAAACATAAAAAAGCCATCCAAAAAAACAGTGTACGTGCATTGCATTTGTGTACAGTGAAGCGACACGGCACTGTTCATGTACATGAATACATGAGTGTATCCCCTCTGCCATGGTTGTGGTCCAAACACAGGCGGCATGATGATTGTGTGACTTGCGGTCCAGCTTATTGCACACACATGTACAATGTACCAGGTACATGCGTGTGAGCTGAGTTACATTTTCCGGTTTTCTGGGTTTGCATTAATTTGTATTGCATTTTCAAAAAAAAAAAATTTTTGTTCTGTTTTTTTTTAAATTTTATTTCGGGGGACGCGAAACAGAGATAAAAAACCGTGTGGCCTAAGAGACATCAGCATACCTCACTAGCCGTACCGAACGGTCCATCAATGTTCACTCTGCGTGTGGGGGGAAGAGAACAAATTGAAGACAACGAATAAACCATTTGTATGTGTGTGTGTGTGCAAGCACTAAATGCATGCGTGTGTGCGCACACGCACACACACACACACAGACCCACACACGCACGCACACACACCCACACACACACCCACCCACACACCCACACACGCACGTCGTTTGAAGTACTGTTACCAGCACAGCAGGAACGGAACTGTTTACAGGCACACATTTCGTCTTCCTTTCAGCTTTTACAAGCACTTCACTCTCCAACTTGGTCTTGTCTTTTCCGTGAAGAGCTACAATACATGTAGTTGGGTAAGGGGAAATGTCGCGTAGCACTACAGCTAAGCGACAGCGCTACTACAACCTTGACTTCAAGCTAGCTGTTGTCAGTTTCGGCATTCTTCGACAACCCATTCGAATAGTTGGTGCTCGAGATCCGGGAATGAAACACTCCTTCCAGCACCAACCAACCTGGCGCGAGGTCTACCTCGATACGCTTTCTGTTTCGGTTTTTCGAAATCACCCGTCTATATTTTTGAAAAGCAGTGTACAGGCATGAGCTGCAGGCGTGAGCAAGTACAGACACACAGAGGGGCATGAGCTGCAGGCGTGAGCAAGTACAGACACACAGAGGGGCATGAGGTTCAGGCGTGAGCAAGTACAGACACACAGAGGGGCATGAGCTGCAGGCGTGAGCAAGTACAGACACACAGAGGGGCATGAGGTTCAGGCGTGAGCAAGTACAGACACACAGAGGGGCATGAGCTGCAGGCGTGAGCAAGTACAGACACACAGAGGGGCATGAGGTTCAGGCACATACAGAGTCACTACAGACACACAGACACACACTTACGTTGGCATGTCATACGACTGCTGGAACTCCTCGTTTCCAACACCGAGACGCTTTGCCAGGGCCTCTGTTGGCACGTGAACATATACATAACACACACACACACACACACACACACACACACACACACACACACACACACACACACAAACCACATGGATAAGTAAGGAATCAAACAGTGCACGTTCACCTCGTACGCAGGCTTCACACTCCTGTTGTTGATGGTCTAACTTGGTCAGTGTACACACATTTATAGAGTTGCTACACGTTGGTATCACATGACCACACACCCACCCCTTGATAGTTGTAAGTTAGGAGCTGGACAGTACATGTGTAACCTCTGGAGGTTGTGTGCACGTGTGCACGTGTGTGTGTGTGTGTGTGTGTGTGTTGCAGTAAAATGACTCATTTTGTACAGCAGTAAGAAGTTAAGAACGCAATGTTAGAACTAGAGCGTGGCCTAGTAGAGCTGTTTAACACACACTACTCACCAGTCCAGTCACCGACAACACGGATGTGAACACTGAAGTATCTCTCCTCGGGGGACTAGTTAGCAGTCAGCAACAACAACAACAACAACAACAACAACAACAACAACAACAACAACAACAACAACAACAACAACAACAACAACAACAACAACAACAACAACAACAACAGTAGCAACAGCATCAGCATCAGCAACAACAACAAGAACCACAGCCGCAGCAGCAACAACACACAGAAGTAGTAACATATTTAAGGCAGGGATGTACAATAGAAACCTACACAAGTCATGACAATGTACAACTATCACGAGTAATGGAAATGGAGGGGGGGGGGCTGGTGGACATTTGGGACAAGACACTTGGGAATGAAGACACCACCAAGTGTACAGTTCCTATTTGAATGTGTGCGACTTGCGAAATGACATCATGTCCAACTCATACAGAAGTGATATGTGCGTTGGCTTGGCATCGTACTGGCCACCTGATAAACATGTACCGGGGGACTGAATTGCAAATTGTAAGACTGGGACTACGAGAACATAAAAATGGAAGACTCTCGTCATGGACATGGAACATTACAGTACTGACAGGTGCCGAAAAACGACCAGGCTATGATTTCACCAAGCACAGCATACCAATGTATACACGGTGACTCCACTATGCATAGACCGTAGTACATGAAAATAAGCACAGCCTAGCAGAAGTTAGGATACACCAAATTCAGCTGGTGATGTAGAATGGTGATTCTGGCAGAAAAGAACTCACCGAGGTCAACGTGAACGGATGCCACTCCAGAGCGGAGACTTCCGGAACTTGCATGAAAATATACTGCATGCACAGACACACACACACCATTAGACCATTGGACGCCCATCGCCGGAGGCGATGATAGCGATGCTACAGCAGAAGCCATAGCAACTTGTGCTGGGATTGCACCATTCAACAGCTTGCAAGGCTGAAGAATTGACCGTCACTATTCAGCCTGGTCTACACCATACAGCTATTTGAAGTGACTTTTTCTGGCCAGTGAATCCCTATTTTTGGTCTTTTCATTTTTTTCCCCGCGCACACATCACACCACATACTCCGGCATGCACTGGCTGTTGGTAACCACCCAGGAGAATGAAAGAAAAGTCAGGAAGAGTCTGAAAAAGAGAAGAAAGACGTGTGTGACCATAATCGTCGGCAATCGAACCCGGGAATATTTTCAAAAAATGAAGCAAAATCCTGCATTTTGAGCGAAAAGGGGGGGGGGGGGTTCCGGGCACCCAGGAACCCATACGGGACACGCGCCTGCAACCTATCGATTGGAAATCGCTGCACATACCACTGCACCATATGGGACACACACACACACACACACACATTTTAGTGATTTTAGCGAAAGGAGTGTTTTCGCTAAAGGTTTTGCCGCGCCAATTGAATTTTCCACGTACAGTGCAGTACTAGTCATGTTCTTCTTTTTTTAAACTCTGAAACTCGATCGCTAAAATATTTCATCGCGAATTGGTCCAGATTCAGAAAACGCTAAAAATTTCCCCCGCTAAAATTAGCCGTTCTACAGTAATCAAACCCCATGATACATGATGTCATCATGCATGCTGAGTCATTGCTGACATCATATAACGCACATCACAGACACATACACAGACACACACATGGCAGTGACACACACATGGCAGTGACAGCATACCTGTCCAGCTTCGGCAAAGAATCCTTTCTTCTGCATCTGCAGTTCAATAGTCTTGGACGGGTGCTGCACGACCTTGGTGATCACGACACGCTGCTGAGCGCGATAGAATCGAATCAGACGCTCGAGCAGGTACAGGGCAAGCGGTCCGACAACCCACTTCCACGTCTGCAAGCAAAAACAGCAGTCAAACCATAAACACATGTGTTCCTTTTTGATCTAGAACCTCTCACCCACCCACCGCTTAGGAGCTGCATCTGCGCCTTGATCCAAGAGGGTGGTGGCGTTCCTGCGGATGCGGAAAACTCGGCGGCCTTTGGCCGAGTTTCACGCGAACCGTGAATTATTATTATTATTTTTTTTGGATAAACTTTTCTAAGCACTCGCAGCCATTCACACATTATAGGGTACCTCACTTCAAAGTTGAATGGTTTTTTTTTTCACCCTGAAGATGGGCCAGGACCGAAAATTTGGTGCATTCCATTTATATCTAATATTATTTGTTTTTTTTGGAAGTGAAGTGAGCGTATGCAGCGAAGAGACCGTAGTTGGAGAGTTTGAAGTGAGGTACCCTATAATATGTTTTTGGGTAGAAACTATTTCTTTCGGTGGATGAGTTCCTTTTTTCTACTCAAAAGAGGAGATTCTACTTTTCTCTACCGGCTCTACCAGGTTTGAAGCTGGTAGAGGTCGGTAGAAGTTGGTAGAGGTACGGGATTTCCAGCAAGATAAGGAGTTGTACACAACTCCATACAGAAGAGAAACATTTCACGTACATATCATGAAAAACTACTACATCCGGTGGGACAGCGTTTGTGCACTTACCTCTACCTTCTACATCTACTGGTAGAGTGACTCTACTCTACCAGGTAGCTAAAAACGACCGCAGCTTATGTATGTATTATATCACGATACCATCGGGTATATTTAACTCGGATACTGGATACTTTGTGCCCTGTTGTCGCACTTTCTAACTGCTTATTATCTTATCACAGTCGTGGGTGGTTGCTTCAAAACTCGTTTCCATGTGATTTCTTCTATTTTACCCATCGTGTATGTATGGACTACGTCGTAATGACATTGTACAAGCGATCTACATGTACAAGTATAGAAGGCAAAGTCTGCACAGCAGTACATTGCAATCAACCAACCTGTGCTCCCCCGGCAGCAAACTGTGCCTCCTCAAGTCGACAACTCTTCTCCTCGGTGGTGAGAATACACGAGCTGCCATTCCGCAACAGATACTTGTTGTAGCAGAAATTCGGATCGTGATAGTCCGTGTTGGTCTGTCCTTTCAGTAGTCCCCTGTGTAAGTAGGCACAAACACACACAATGACATCACAATGACATCACAATGACATCACAGTGACATCACAATGACATCACAGTGACATCACAGTGACATCACCCCTGCCCAAGGCACAGGAACAGGGATTATACAGGCAGTGTGACACCTGTAACGGTGTATCAGGATTGGCAGTCTACTCGCCCAATCCTGGAGACAACATGTGACTTATCGCACAGTTGCATGACTCACTCACATCCAGCCTACTCCCAATAAGTCGCACAACTTAGAGTCACGCACTCGTGACAGGTCACACACTTTTGCAATTCAACGACACGTACTTTAAAAGTACACTTTGAAGTATGCATACAGTACAATGTGAGTACGGGCAGTGGGCATGTTGTGCATACAGTACAATGTGAGTACGGGCAGTGGGCATGTTGTACTTACTGGAAGCCGTGAATGATAAGGCAGGCGTAGAAGACAACAAACAGATGATGTGTGTACCAAAACACCTCAAAGTAGGACCGTCTGAAAGAACACACGCACAAAGTAGGCACAGACACACGCAGACACACACAGACACAGGCACACAGACACAAAGAATCAACCAATCAAAGACGGCTATAAATAGTAGGGTTACGGCTGTACAGGAGTCAGGTGTGTGTGTGTGTGTGTGTGTGTGTGTGTGTGTGTGTGTGTGTGTGTGTGTGTGTGTGTGTGTGTGTGTGTGTGTGTGTGTGTGTGTGTGGAGACTCCAGAGAGGACTACGGATTGAGAGTTATTTCCATTGCAAAGACGGGAGTTCCAGTACACTTGCCCAAACAATTAATGCAGTGCACAGATTGCCCTGCCAGGGATGAAAGGAGGGACAGGGTGCGCGCAGGGAGGCGCAGGGAGGTGGTCACTTAACTCACCTTATTATCTCGATGGAGGATGTCACCTGTCAGTGGAACAAACAATTACCCACGCATACACATGCATATGCATGCACACACACAGACACACGGACACACGGACACATATACACATACACACACACACACACAGACACACACACACACAGACACACACACACACAAGCAAACAATTGACAGATTACAGTTCTGAGCATCAGCATCTGTAACACCGGGATTCTGAGTGAGGGTCACTGCTGGGTTTTAGTATTACTGTGTCTTCGCAGTCATACAAAACTGTCTCCACAAATACCGGTAGTCCAGCATTGCTCAGTGAGGACTAGGGAGATGGCAGCTGACATGTCATACAGTGCCACCTTTACACATGTAAAGGAATCTCAACACACACATGCATGCACACACCCGCACCCGCACACACAGACACACAGACACACACACATGCACGCAACTTTTTTTAGGACAGCATAAGCTGCACCATTAGTTGCAAGAGTCAGCAAAAAGTAACACACACACTCTCATACATACCATGAGGAAGAGAGCAACGAGAATGATGTGACCAGTAAATCCAGCCCCTACAAACACACATACACACACACACACGCACACGCACACACACAAACGCACATGTGAACACACACGTGAGCACACACACGTACACACGTACACACACACACACACAGAAACACATACAGACATAGACATGCACATTAAAGACACACGGAATAGATTGCGCTAATCCCGTGGAAATTTACATCACCAAAAAAATCACTGATATACGTTTTAGCCGAACTACATGTACATGCAAACCAAACTTGCAACTGTTTCCACAAAGACAGCAGTTTACTGTAAAGTGGGAAACTTTTACTAGAGATTGAATTTTACTATTCTCGCAATCATCACACATTCATAGGAAGTAGTTTAGAGCAGACATTACGCATTGGCAAATTTAAATCGAAGCAAACCGGCCTGTGCATTGCTGCCGACAATATAATTATGATCCAACCGAAGAGAAACAATCGCTAGAGCTTCTCAGAGCAATTCCTGAAAATACTCAAAAAGCTGCACACTGCGAAAGTGTTATCGCTTTACAGTGTCCCCATACTTCTCTGTGTGTGTTCGTCCGTTCGTCTGTTTGTATGTTTGTATCATAATCGTATGTTCGAATGTCACTTACAAGTGGTCCACATCACGTTGATAGGCACCTGAACAAACACACACACACACACACACATATATACACACACACACACACACACACACACACACACACACACACACACACCCTCCAATGTCGAGATGTTCTATCACAAAACAGAACAGCGTTTCTATTGAGACCTGTTTTGGTGGTGAAGATTTCTGAAATTGATTATCATCCCAAGACGATTTACTTGATGTTTCCAAGGTGAATTAGAGTGCCGGAGAGTGAAAACGCAGGTTCTGGGAATGTCGGTTTTCGCAAGAAGCGTGCGGTATGGCTGTAAACTTGCTTTCAGGGATAGGGACAGTGGGGGAGCTGTGTTGCAACTCCGAGTTTCAACACAGCTTCCCCCCTCTCTCTCTCTCTCTCCCTCCCTCCCTGGACAGCAATTGTGCGCCATGGTAAGGCCTCTTCTGAGATTGCGTTTGGTTGGTCACGTTCCCAAAAGGGAATCACTCGGAATCATTCTCACCCGTTTGGTTGGTCAAAAAAGTGCATTAGGTTGGTCCCATTCCAGCTTCGGAATCACTTGGAATCGCTCAGAATGATTCCTTTTCGGGAATGCTCCTGCCACGTCACATGCTGGAATGAGCATTCTCATTCCTCGATCGAATCAGATAATGGCCGGCACGGATGAGGTTTTCTCCTGGTCAGAGAAGTTGACAAAGGATTTTCTAGTGATCTATTCCCAGTATCAGGAGAAATTCTCCAACGTCAACTTCAAGAGTTTCTTTCTATGGCAGGACATTGCCAGACTGCTTCGCGAGAGCAATCCGGATCGTAATGTTTGGCCGAGTGATAAGCAATGCAACAACCGGTTCAAGTCACTCAAATCGAGTTCGCAAAAATACCTCGACTCGTTGAAGGAGACCAGAGCTGGCAAGAAGAGGAGGGAGCCGCCGTTCCACAACGATATACAGCAGTGAATTTGATCGGATTGCTGTACTGTTGGAGGTCAATCCAAGAACAGTTCGCTACATTCTCCAGAAGATCAAGTCGGCTGGATCTGCTGCTGTCAAGACATGCTCTGGACAGAGTTACGAAATGACTTCTCATCTCGCTCGGCGTGGGCGAATTCCGTAGTGGCCAATTTGACAGTTCAAACTCTGCACACTTGATAATCCATTTGAAGGCAACGTCACTACTGCCTTTTCCTCGCCGCTACAAGTCTCGACAACTGACGTCCCGAGAACACACGAGCATAAGCATCTTAGCGTATTGCTCACATCTACTCTGACATTCTCGCACCACGTTACGAATGCTCTACAAGTACATTCCTTTCGGCGACGAGTTTGTCTGCTGGGATTTGTCATACCGTCTGCCAGAAAAAGTCATTTCCAGTCTGTACTGTGGGTATGTCAGACCCCTGCTGGAATACACCTGCCCGGTCTGGACCTTCTCACTGACGCAAGCTGAGAGCACTCGCATGGACAGACTGCAGGCGCGCACATTAGCAGATGTATCCTCCGCACTCGAAGCCCTGATTGGCACACCCCGAAAGAGAACTTGTTTCAATGATCTCGCCTGCAGTCCCGTTGCTGGCGACGTCACATCCAGTGTCTCTGTACAGTCCATCACATCCTTCAAGTCCGCCCTGATAGACTGATACCCTCGATGACTTTCATTACACCCTCAGGTCTAGTCCACACAGACCATACTATTTATTTTATTATTTAAAAGACTCATACAGTACTGTCGGGTGCCATAGAACTGGGGGATTCCCCTCGTAGCCTACACCGTTCTTATTTTCATGTATTTTGGTCTATGCACAGTTGAGTCACCGTGTGTACATTAGTATGCTGTGCTTGGTGAAATTCTAGCCTGGCCGTTCTTCGGCGTCCGAAAGTACTGTATCAACACAATACCGTATTTCCCCGAATATAAGTCGCACCATACTACACTGAACTTCAAGGCCGAAGAAGGGGATGTGACTTGCAATCGAGTGTGATTTCCTACTGATGCGAGTGTATTAAAACAATATTGCTCAAACCTGAAGGTGGGAGGGCGACTTATGATAGGGAAAATACGGTACATGTGTTATTTCAATGTCTACCTGTTTGGAATCCATTACGCACGTGTGTTTAGGAGATTGAGCATACGTGGCAATTTCGTACATACCTCATGCAAGAATTTTCTACTTGTACTTTTGTTTCCGGTACAGTCAACTTCGCTAATAATGACTGCGGATAAAACGACAATTCGCGAATAACGACAGAATTTCCATGCCCAGAGCAAAGTCCCATCCCACTGTAGTACATATAATGGGACTTCGGGTATAACGACACTTCGCGAATAAGGACACCTTTCTGATGCCCCGCCGAGTGTCGTTATAAGCGAAGTTGACTGTATACCCTCTTTCTCCCGGCGGCTTTGATTAACCAAGCTATACATTGCACTCATTTCCCTTTCCTCCCTTCCTTATCTTTCCTGAGGTAAATTCATATGACATGCACATTGATATACGAAGATCAGCAAAATGCTGCAAAACACTTGGAAGACGGGTTTGTCCCAAAAATCCCCCTGTAGCTCTCCCCCCTCCCCCCCCCCCCCTCCCCTTCCCATATGCAGCCGTATGTATCACATTGGCCGGTGAAAGTGTCATCATAATGACATCACAGGTGATAGGAGTGAATCAGTGTGTCACTGTGACATCATAGTGACATCATAATGGCAGATGACTGTATCTTGACTTACTGGTCCTGGTGAGTTGATTGGCTGGGCATCGGTGGGTATGCAACGCATGCCCGGAAGCTCGTCCCAGATGTAGCAGATGCGCTCATAGTTCCAGAAATGAGAGCCGGTGTGAATAGCTGCCGAGCATACCACATAAGGCACCAAACACACACACACATTAAGTAATGCAATGGTGTAAGTGTGACAACAAAGCTAGCTGTCCGCATAGCAGTGGGATTAGCAAGAGAAACAGCAGCAGCAGCAGGTTCCAACACATTGCTTACCTGAAAAGAAGACAATGGACCAGGCTACAATCTTGTGAAACGTGATGTTCTTGTCCAGAAGACGGCGTACCGTACGGCGCACACTCTGCAAACACACACACACGTTCGGGGGAAGCTGTCTTTCGGGGTGATAACCTCGGCAGTGGAAAGTGTATTTTTTATAGGGGGGGGGGGGTACTAAGTCATTGGGGAGAACTAACTTACGGGGAAATACGGTATAGGGCTTGAAAGCGATGACATCAGAAGTCAAAATCTAACGACATATACCGACTTTTGGATGGATGGGAAATCCTCACCCAGGCTGTGAGCTTGTCTTTGTCTAGTGCTAGACTAAGACAAGCTCACAGCCTGGGTGGGCAGGCCCTGTAGAAGCAGTAACGCCTACTCTGCGTGACCAATGCAACAGGAGACCACCTCACGCCACCAAAGACCAGTCAGTCGCCTCAGACATCAAACCCAACCCCCTGCATACCATAGCAGCGGGTGGTGTGAAAAGATCTACCGGGTTTCATCCGCACATACTTGTAAGACTGGTTGTACAACACGGGCTGGACTTTTGTCAGAATGCATGTGCCTTGAAGGAACATGGCGTAACATTTCAATTACAGACCTGCCAGCAAGGACCTGCCATATCCGCCCATTCCAGGATAAGGCGTACCGTATTTCCCCGAAAATAAGTCGCACCTTTTTACACTAAAATTCGGGGTAAAAAAGGGGGTGCGACTTACAATCGAGCATGACTTACTACTGAAGTGAATATATCGCAACAATATTGCTCAAACCTGAAAATGGGGGTGCGACTCATAATCAAGTGTGACTTATAGTCGGGGAAATGCGGTATCTGTCCATTCCAGGACATGGCATGTCCGTCCTTCTCAGGACCTGGCATACAGTACTGTCGGGTACCGACGAACTCGGGGGGGGGGCACAGCTTCATAGGCTAGACCGTTCTTATTTTCATGTACTACGGTCCATGCACAGTTGAGTCACCGTGTATACATTGGTATGCTGTGCTTGGTGAAATTCTAGCCTGGTCGTTCTTCGGCATTACGTTCTTCGGGATCCGAAAGTACTGCAGCTGAGCTAAATAGGGGCGTGCTCTGATTACAGAGTGTGCTACGAGTTGATTAATGAACGAATGCGTGGTGGCCCTGGATATGCCGAGATGTCCGCAGTTGAGAGGTGTGTGCTAAAGAAGAATCTACGAGTACAGTATATCACGGTGCATGAATGGAAGTATACAGTGGCCAGGCCAGTGCAGCACAGGGCTCTCACCCCATACCCCCCCCCCCCAGGCCATAGCCACACACACAGTTACAGCACAGGGCTCTCACCCATACCTATAGCCATACACACAGTTAGAGCACAGGGCTCTCCTCTCACTCATACCCATCCATACCCATGACCACAGCTACAGCACACGGAACAACGAACAACGTACCCGTCCCGAACCTCTGACCAAGGAGATGAGATTGCGGCAGACCGGGATCAGAATGAGCATGCAGTTGAGATTGAGACACGCCGCCGAACCTCGAGCTAGACACAGCCCACGCTACAAGGTACCACACACACATACACACACACGCACACACGCACACACACACACACACACACCCAAAGAGAGCATAGAGGAGGGAACACAGCAACAACAGACACAGAGTTATTTGCAAGTATATGTCAACCTAAAATTTTTACGTTCTGAGGGGGAAGGAGGAAGGGGTTGGGTTGAAACGAAATTACAGTGAAAATTCGTGAAGAAGAACACTGATAAGACAAACTTTCACTGAGAACTAGAATTCCAAGCGCTATTGGATTTATCACTGTGTATTCACTGGGTAAGACATATGGATAAGAAGAACTCCCGTTATTGCGAACAAATACCGTCGGTCCCTTGGTGTTCGTCCTAAAGAAGTTCGACTGTAATTCGTTTTGTGATCAAATTTCGATATTTACGGATGGCCCTTTATATTATTTGGGAGGGGTTAAAAAGCGAAAATTTAGTTTTCAAAGACGTCTTGCCGCCCTACCTAGTACCTATAGACCAGTCGACGCCCACCAGACGTCTCGAAGGAAAAGTAAGCGTATGCATTAAAAGATATTGTAAACCTACGGATATCCATCAAATTTGATTTGTGCAACTATTTAAAAAACACTGGTAGACTGGTTTCTAACGATCAACTCTTGTGACACATTGCAGCACTGTGATACTCTGTGGCCATGCACATTTAAACCTTAGGCTGGTTGGCATTGGTGACTAAGACTTTCACGCGAAAAGCACAGACACGACTGCGCCACAAATACTCTCTAGTCTAGCTGCAGTTTTATACTGTGATTAGCAGTGCGGCATTGACACTTGAAAGTGCAGTGCCGTTCAATGAAATCCGATCGAGCGAGTCAATGTTGCGCCTTGTACAAGTGAACATCCCAGTGTTCCCAGGTCTAGAACTGCACAGTGCTAGTGCCCGGCATGGCGTACTTGACTCACTCTACCGGATTTCATTGAGCAGCACTGTAGCAATGAACAAGTTCACATTCTATTATTACCGGTATGCGCCCAGACGTGTTCCTGCTGTGTGGGACTCAACACTTGAATACCCCCCCCCCCCCCCCCGTGCTTCTGTGAGTTTCTAGGTATAATAATAGAGATATACGACTTCACTAACATTTACACATTAAATTTTGATGGGCTGCAGAAGTGCTTGCAGTTGCACATAGAGAAGCAGTACCAAGAGTACTGTAATTTCACAAATTTTCGCTGTACTTTTATTTTCGGTACTTTCGGTGCATCTGTTTCATACCTAAAATTTCAATACACCGAACAAACACTAACACACATAATCCGATATGGAACTGCTTCTCTGTGCAAGGACCTTAAATTTCCGTTCACCTAACCTGGCATTTTGCCCTCATACCGAAAATATTGGGCACCAAAAATTTCTGAAATTAGAGTACTTGGGGGTTATGTACTCTTGATATCATGTATGCATGATTGATGAGACGAAAGTCAAGTGTCCTGCTATAAATTAATTATAATTGATATTATTATGTGTATCAATGACATGATGATGATGATGATACATGTGCATGATACAATTTGCACTGTATGTACGCTATGGCACTCTTGCATGCATAGACTTGGTCGTACCTTGAGAACGAGTCGTAGATAGAACCATTTCGGCTCGCTCTCAAATATCCAGCAGAAGTAGCCAAACATGAAGCAGTTGACGGCTATCCATATGAACTGCAGGGCATCGTTTCACGCAGCGCACAGATAACCACACAACATACAACCGCACCATTCCAACACATACCAACACTGCGCATTACATTCTTGTAGTCATGTAGTATGTACCGCTGAAAATACAACCATCAGCATTCAGCCATTGGTGAGTGGTTAGCACAGCAACCAGTCCACGGCACCAAAAGGCGAGAATCAGATGAACACAACACCAAGTACTGTACACACTATCTGCTGCCTTACCAGAACGAAGTATCGCGGGAAATCGTTGACTAGAAAATCACCCATTGTGCGGAATTTCTGGACTACCGACGCCCCGGTTCCAACTGCAGTCTCAAGAAGTTCTCACAAGCTGAAAGTGAGAACTCTCGATCTCAAAGACGAATGATTCAAATACTACTTCACTTTCTCTGAAATATTCACAGCTCAGCACCTGCCCGAGCCAAGAGTGACCAGTTTTCCGGACCAGGTCCAAACCAAGCTCGCAGTTAGCCGGGGAAATGCAAAGCAATGCAAACACTGACTGACTGTACTGGTCAGGAGCGAGTGATCATGCGTCTCCTCTTTCATTTCAGAGGTAGGTACTAGGTGGACCATGGAACGCCTTGCTTGACGGTAACCACTTTCTGCATGTCACCAACAAAGCTTGTCATCAAACTCAAAGTTCCAACAAACACATCGAGAACAAGAGTTTGATTTTCGACTTGCACAGGAATTTTCTGCACGGCCCCCTTGGCCGCGCGGAGACGTCTCATGCATGGTTCAAACGTTCATACGGGATTCCCATATTCGCCGTATTTGGCTACATCTTGATGGTGGAAGTGAAGATGAATGATGCTTGATTTTTGAGGTGTTGATGGGTTGGTGATGGTTTTCCGACACAGTTTGACAGCAAACTACAAAAATCGAAGTAGGTGTGTTTTGTCTTTGCCAGGGCTGCAGGATGAGTGGCACGAGGAATTATTTCATGGTTGCCAACATTAATTATGTGATCGACAGCCGCCAGCTCCACCATGGCAGCTGCCGCTAGCGCGGAATGTTGCGACGGGCCTGCCTCGCAAAACTGGCCTCAGCCACACTCCCCACTGGCCGCAGTCTGCTGCATGCTCTAGCCACTGAATGGATCACCCTGGGTGTTTTGTTTTGTGAATGTGGCCGTGGCTACATGGGAAGACGGTCATGAAGAGGGTCTGCCGTTCTGACTGCAGTCGTAGAAATGCGATTGAACTTTGAAGTAAGTTAGTTTGACTCGAATGTACATCTCCAGTGACATGCAAGTAACATTAGTTTGAGTACGAGCTCCCAGCTCCGCGATCCGGCTATATCCCGAATACCCGATCTGGGCCGATCGTCTTTTTTCCGAAGTCACGTTCTCCCCGATCCGGATCGTGACTATAAAACTTGACTATGGCGCTAGCTAGGGCACTGACTGACATGACTGCATTTCGCTACCCGTGGGACGACAGCGTAGCTACATGTACGTATGCGTTTCAGTTTGCTCCGTGTGTTGTGCCGTGTTCAGAGACGCTTGGAAAAAAATAGGAGAAAGGATCATGACAATCACTGAATCAGGCTTCTTGTTCTTGAAGTTGAATCAACAGTAGACAACACACAATAGTTGTGACTGCATAGTGCACTGCACGTCTTCGCTCTACATGCACTGCTGCTGCATGCAGCACGACACTCTGCAGATCTGCCAACAAAACAACGCTAGAACTGAGAGGGAAAGGCGACGCAGTGGTGGCCGAGTGGTTAAGGCGATTGACTCGAAATCAATTGGGCTCTGCCCGCACAGGTTCGAATCCTGTTCACTGCGATGGTTGATTCTTTTTTTCTTTCCTTTTTTCGTCTTTTTCTTTTGCATTCCTTGTCACCCTGGAAACAAGTGTAGTCAAGTAGTAGATTGCATGTCTGTTTTGTTTTACTTCACCAAACCAGATACACAACAGGCATTTCTGTCTTCTCGTCTAACCATTATGGCTAGACTCTCACAGTCTCAGTAAAAGAAGTGAGCTGACTCGTTTTATTAATTTTTAGATCAAGAGTACGCTGGTTGTACAGCGACTCATACAGTAATGATCACCATCGATGCACCGACACTGCTACAGAAAATTGTTTCTTGCAATCCACACCCACTTTTCCACTGGACCCATCAGTTCACACCAGACAGCTAGTTGTACATCAAGAGTACATAACCCCCAAAGAGTGTGCAACTCCACTATGGGTGCTGTCCCGACAGAATTTCAAGTTGACGTCATTTTGATGATGCAGTGCGCACTGTACACGGACTATCAGACGAATCCGGAACCTGTGGTTGACCGAAGCCGATCGATCCTGTACAAATAATTACAAAGAAAAACGTGTGATGCGTTGACACCCGTACACATGTTGTAAATCACTGGTGCAAGGAGCATTGCGTCATAAATAATGACGTCAACTTGAAATTCTGTCGGGACAGCAGGGTATGTGGGAGTTGCACACTCTGGGGGGTTATGTACTCTTGTGTACATGTATAGAGTCTATCACAACTCCCTGGCTCACACACTGCCCGTGCCTGTTTTGGCATTCTGATTGCCATGCGGACAAAGCAAAGCAATGCTATCCGGTCCAGCGCACCCCGACGACCTCACCCAGGCATGCACACGGCAACTACCACACTGGACCAAAAGCACAAGTGATACACAATGTCACCACAGTAGTACAATACACCTTTCTTCTTCTTTCAAACCCAGCATTATATTTCCGGTGTCCTATTCTTTCTTTGCATCATCGTTTTAGGCCATCATTTTTTATATCTATGTTTCGCGTCGTCCGCACGCATACGTTTTGATTTTTTTCGGAAAAAAATAAAAAAATCGAACATGCACGGTGAGTGTACCAGGTGTACGATCGCACGATCCAGTATGAGTCATGAGTGTGGACTGGTTGCATACGGCGAAGCTGAGATTCAGAAATGGCCTTGAGGCCGGCGCTGGCGTTCGTAAATCGTCGGCATCTGCGAGCAGTATTCTATGACTAGTATGAGCTTACACCAGACCGCATCGATTGCTTCAAGCTGAGAGGATGCGTCATTCCGGAGCTCTTTACACCGCTGCTGAAGTCTGAGTACAATAATCCAGCGAACAGTATGGGCGGTTGCCTCCTCTGTCCAAAGTGAATATTTACTCATGCTCAAAAACCCAAACTTTGTCCTTCGACGCACGACTTTTCTTTCGAATGTACAACATGAACGAACCATTGTGCTATGTACAGCTCTAGCTAATTCTATACACCTCTGATGAGCTTTTTTTTATTATTTTGCAACTTTTTATTTTTTTCCACCTCTCGCATATGATTCTGGAAGTTGAACTGACGCGAAACATAGATATAAAAAATGATGGCCTTATGCGGCCAATAAAAACACGCTTCAAAGTACTAGTGACATCATTGTGCACCAATTGAGTTGCTCGAGCAGTGTGCCCAGATGGTTTCAAGCAGTTTGAGGCAAATAACCGTGTGTTGCCTATGCTAGATAACTACTATTCAGCAGATAAAAAAACTAGAATATAATTATACATGTACATGAATTGCCCAATGCTGTACATGAATTGCAAAAAAATAGAAGTACGAAAAATACTATGTCTATGGTGGAGCGGTTAGCGTGTGTGTACTCCTGACACGAATAGAGCCACCCGATAAGCGCTAAGAGCGTGATAAATATGAAACTCAGAGATGTATTTGATTTTTTTAACAACATTTACCAACAACAGCACTAAATTTATGATCTTATCAGTTTGATGGAGGTGAAAAAGGGAAGACTGTGCGTGCAACGCTATGTGGAAGAGTGTAGCCACTGGCATCATAGCTCGTACCGCATGCGCTCCGGTACGCAGCAGAGCGCGATGGAGGGAAGTAAATCCGGGGGAAGCGGGTGGACACAGCAAGCGCTAGCTATGCCCAGCAGCACAGACGCCGTGTGGTGTGTGCAAGTGACTGTGTGTGACCCATGCCAGCATGAACCAAGAATAAACGAAAGCTTGGTAAAACACACACACAGATAATGAGAAGATAAGAGAGGTACAATGTGAAAGACAACTGGATGTAACCATGGCAACATACCTACCCAGCGACGGCGGTACACAACAGCATCGGTACGTACAATATAGGGTATAAGATTTGACCAGCAAACCAAGGTGACATGTTCAGCTGCGCAGCAAAAGCCACCAGCTCGACCATCTCTAAAAAAATTCAATACAACTTCACGGGAAGTTCTTAAAAATAGAATTATAAATAGAGGCTCGGACAACATAACAAAAAATTGAGCACTCAAGTCGGACAGATCATCTCGCACATCAAGTAGCGCCAAACACGGTGCGGGGGAGGGGGGGGGGGGGGGGGGGTTGGGGGGTGATAACAGCATACGCCAGTAGACTATACTTCTTCGTCCATTCTTACTGCTTGATACTGGTGAGAGGAGCGCATCATGCACACTGATGATGGCCAGTCGGCGAAGACAAAGTGAGATTGTACACCTACATCTTCTAGCTTGGGCTTGCGATATCTACACGAGACAATATTCCAAGCATAAAATTGTACATGTACTCAAATATCATCATGACATCCCAATGGAGGACTGGGTTCAAATCGCACCTTGCTAGCCCAGAGATGCAGAATATTACCCAGCACCTAACTATCTTTATGACTTCAAAGTATCTTTGAGCTGGATGGCTACTACCAAGAGTAAATACCCCCCCCCCCCCCCCCCCCCCCCAGAGTGTGCAACGCCTGATCCAGCTCTGCATAGGGTCTTGGTCGAGCATAGTCGGATCTTCTGATGTCATGTGTACACTCCACACAAGCGCAAGGCCGGTCTCGAGGCAGGGCATCGCTGTTTTCGATCCGAGACTACCCGCGACTCCCCGGGTTCCCCTCAGATGTGTACGGTATTATGACGCAAAGATCCGATTACGCTCGACCAAGACCCTATGCAGAGCTGGATCAGGTGTTGCACACTCTGGGGGGTTATGTACTCTTGCTAATACCAAGAGTAAATAAGCTCCCAAGAATGTGCAACTCCTGATACATTTTCTACAGGATTTGCCGACGGCGAAAACTCACATCACGTTGTGTAGTGTTCCCGGTGTACGTTGCCAGCCAGTTTTTAGCGAGCAGTGGAGTAATAAAAATAGTGTAGGAGTTGCATTATTTGATAGAAAGTATATTTTTCACAGTTAGGAGTATTTATTTGTACTACAGTAGGCTGTAGCACTCTCTGTGACAAAAGCTCACTGCGCTTATGCAACTCGCCAGCATGATCATGGGATTCATGGCAGATATTCGGATTGCGCGCATGCTATCCTTCATTGTTTGTACATGTAGTACACAATGCACTTGGAACATGTGGTGTGAGAGTCGCCGTCGGGACCCCATGTTCAGAGTTGCACACTCTTGGGGGGTTATTACTCTTGCTACTACTGGATTGAGTTTGTCTGGGGGGGGGGGGGGGGGGACACGAAGGGATTGCTATACACAGGTATGGACCCGCCTCTCGACACCGGGAGTACAGCTCGCTCGACTCTACTCTACTGAGTGACTAGGGCTCACACCGTGATCTGGACCTAACCATTATGCAACACAACAACAACGACGACGACGACAACAACCACAACAACCATCGTGAGAATAATAGATTTCAAACAACAACAACACCTGAAACTAACCGTTTGAGGAGGAGAGAAGAGGAGACGACAGAGAGTGAGGACATAGCCATGCCGGCGCTGGCCATCCAGGGCTGGAGAAGAATACCGACCGGCGCAAGGATACCAGCGGCTATCGGTATAGCCAGCATGTTGTAGATCAGGGCCCAGAAGAAATTGTAGCGAATACGCCGCACGGTATGACTGCTGAGGTCTATGGCGTATATCACATCACTGAGGTCATCCTATGTACAGGAAGAACAGGCACACATGCATGCCAATGCTGTGTCAATGTCATGTGACAAAGTTTGTGAAGAAAGTGACCTTGGCATGTGGATTGCGGACAGTGGAACCAACATGGCCGACATCATGTGACCCATAGACGCACGGGTTGACTGGAGTTGGAATCAACATGGCTGTCCCCTCTAATAGTCACGTGACAGATATGAAACCACTCCGGTACTAGTATTCATGTCATGATGTCACTTACTCTGATAAGGACAATGTCGGCGGCTTCCACAGCTACGTCCGTGCCCGTTCCCACGGCAACACCGACGTCGGCCTGCGCCAGGGCTGGTGAGTCGTTGACCCCGTCTCCGACCATGGCCACGACGTGTCCACTGCGCTGTAGTTGATTCACTACGCTCACCTTGTCACCGGGAAGTACTTCGGAATGGACATCCGTGATACCCAACTACATGTCATGGAGGAGCAAGACATACAAACATACACATACACAGACACAAATACACGTACGCACGCACACAAACACAGACAGGCATACACACACACACACACACACACACGCACACACACAGCTACTCATCATACAGGCAATTGGTAGCGGGCACACGAGAGAGGGCTCTGATCACGCGAGTACGGTATTACTCAGAATTGAGCTCTACGCATCTGTGAGTGAAAAGGTTCCATTCATGTCTTAATAGTTCACCATTAACGGCGGCAATTTCGGTAGAAATACCAGGCACCTAAATTTAGATTACACCTAAATGACACAGTAGTATGTACTGTATGCGAAGGGAATGTTGGTCACCGAATTCTAAGTTACACCTGAAACCTGGCAGGTCTCCGACACCGAAATTTCAATACACCTAAAATTCCAGGTTTTACAGTACTGACCTGTTTGGCTAGGGCATTGGCCGTGCGAGAATTATCTCCAGTCAACATGACAACGTTGAGCTTCATCGACTTCAATGCAGCCACCACCTGCTGAGCTTCTTTCTTGAGCTGTGCCGCTAGGATCACAGCCGCCGCCGGTCTGTTGTCAACGGCAACGAGAACAACGGTGGATTGCTGCTGTTCGTGCGTGGCTAGTCGTGAGTCGACGGCTTGGCTGATGGCGACGTTGTGTTGCTCCATCCAGCGACGGTTACCGACCAGTACGTTATACTGTTTTCCAGCTGAGGTTAGCAATGACATAGAGGTAGTAACCAACAGCAAAATAAGGCACGAGAAACAGGCTGGAACATCAAGTACATTTCCGACTACACAATGACACAGTGACCAAACAGCTCAGTCTCCTCACAAACTCTATTTTCGTTTCTGACTTCCTCACAAAGAAAGCGCACGGAGGGTCATAACTAAACTTTCTGTTTCATGAAAATTATTGATAATGCCGGATGGCTCCTTACCGTCTGGTGGCGGTGATGATGATGGTGATGCTGAGCGAGACAACATTGTGTCCAGTCCCTCCACTGTACAGGCTATGCCAAGACCGGGTGTCGCCGTGAAACCGGACACCTTGCCAACAGTATCCACGCCAAGTTGCTATGGGGACAGGGGCAGAAACAACAAGAACACTGTCCACTGCAAGGAAGAAAATCCATTTAAGTACTCGTCTGGGAGAAGGAAATTTTACTCAGTCTCAGCATGCTGCAAATTCTGCGACAGGAAATTTCACACTAAACTTGACGATGCCAAGCGTACGACTTTGACATTTCCTTCCGCACTGATTGCTTGATTCTCGTTTCTTACACAACATGGACAAAATCAAATGCTGAGCGGCCAAAGCTGCGGGCAAGTGCCGTAGATAAGAGAAATGAGGCTACGCGACATGCATAGGATGCTCTGGTATCAAACTGCACGATGTTAAACTTAAAATAGACATGGTCGTGTACATTGAAATGCGATGGGATGACCGGGGCCGGCACTGTTACTGCTTTTAGCGTGCACATGTACTGTATCTGTAGTTCATGTACATACTGTACACATGGACCACTGGCAGTGCTCACAGCGGCTGCAAGGCCAGCGCCCCGTGGCCGCTTGACTTCTCAACGGGTTTCAATGTCGGCGACAGTACAACTGGTCATGCCCTGTGCCATACCTTCTTGCCATACACGGCAATAGCTCTGCCAATGGAGTGTTCACTATCCGATTCAGCAGTAGCCACAGCAGCAAGGATCGTGGACTGTGGCAAGAGTGCTGTGTCATCAGAAAGGTAAATGACTTTCTGGACTGTCTGCTGGCTTGCCGTCAGCGTGCCCGTCTTGTCAAACACAACCGTGTCCACCTACGTGATTACGTACATACATACAGACATACAGACAGACATACAGACAGACATACAGACAGACAGACATACAGACAGACAGATGGACAGGCAGACATATGCACACAAACTGGTCAAAACACTGTTCACATTTATACATTTCATTTCCATACTTACTTTGTGATTGTTATCTACATTGTAGCATTGCAAGAACCTTACGACTTATTCACATCAAGCATTTTCGCAAACAAGAAATCACCCAACCGAAGAGAATCATACGGAAACAAAAGAAATGCAACTGTCAAAGGTGAGCAGTGCATGGCAATGGAAGAAAAAAGACAGCCAAAAGAGTGGAAGAGCTGGGGACTGCATAAAGCATGACACACTTGAATGACTTTGTTGAAAGTGAGGATTGAGGAACGAAACAACACAACAGGGTCAACGATTTTTCTCACTTCTTCAACCGGGGCTACCCACCGTGCTACGCCTCTCGCTGATGACACCACAGAAAATGACACTTTCTCACATATCTGACATGAGAACAACAGCCCCCCCCCCCCCCCCCCCTTAGCAAGCGGTAGTTACAAAGAGCAGGGTTTCCTTCACCCAAGTGAAAGGACTGTTTGACATACCTTGTGTGCAGTCTCCAGCGGCTCACCGCCCTTGATGAGTATTCCGTTCTGCGCGCCCACACCGGTACCAACCATGACAGCCGTCGGTGTGGCCAGACCCAGTGCACACGGACACGAGACACAGAGCACAGCAATGGCAGCCATCGACGCCACCTGGAAGCTGAGGAACTCCTCAGAGTGGTCCTCCGCGCTGCTCAGTGTACAGTTGTTGAACGACTGCAGAAGCAGCAGCAGCAGCAGCAGCAGCAGCAGCAACAGCAGCAGCAGAAGCAGAAGCAACAGCAGCAACGACAAGGGCAGACAGCAACGTACACACGCACATCAGCAAAACAGTGGAGCCTACTTAACACAAACACGCATAAAACCAAGTCTAGGTCTGACAACACAAAATAAATCTCAGATTGGAATACATAATATGTACAGTAAAACCTGTCTAAGCCGATGACTGCTCAAGGGACCTTACACGTGGCCATCGTGTACAGGGATGGCCGCCTTATCCAGGGTCACCCGACTGGAAATAACATCCCAGCAATCAGTGTGAATGCTCCTTGTCACGGGCAGTGCCCGGTCCCAACACGCCCGAATAAGGGGAGCTCTAATGTACTTGCAGTTAGAATTGTGAGATGAAAGCAATGATGAAGTCAAGCATAGTTCATGCCACATGGTGCAGTGCGTGCATGCATGAATGAATGTGAGGTTAAAGCACTGGGGAAGCCATGCACAGCTCATGGCACATCACCAACCTGTTCCAAGGCGGATGGGTGAAGCAGCCCTATCGTCATCCAGATGACAAACGTCAGCACAGAGAGCGAGATAATGGCTGGTACAAACACAGAAGCCAGCTTGTCAGCAAAGCGTTGAATAGGGGCCTGAGAGAGACACACACACACAAACACACATACATACACACACACACACACACACACACACACACACACACACACACACACACACACAAAAGCACACAACAACAAAAACATCAAACAAAGTGATCCATGCATGATAACCAAGCAGAACAAGCCCTACATTGAAACTACATCTGCGAACAGTACAATACCAGTCTTCACATTTGACAAGAGCTTGATCACCCACACAATCACATCCCAGCAATGGTCCAACTAAAGATGAGCAGCACACAAAAGTAGATCGCCAAACTGTTGTGGCATTCCTTGTGAACCCATGCAACTGAGAGTAGTCATATAATGATAGATGAATATTCATTATTCCTCAAACCTGTGACCATTGGAGACTTTTCAACCGAAAGTTCGTCTCAACGGTGTTCTTCATCGGTAAGGATCACTGTGTACCGTAATGTCGCGTATTAAAGCCGGGTTTATTCCTGCAGGAGCCGACGGCAGGGCCAGGCTTATATTCAAACCAGGTATCTCTAGGTATGTCAACACTAAAACTAGGCTTATGTGCCGACAATGTATGTTGAAAATCAGGCTTGTATTCAAAACAGGCTTCTATATGAGACAGGCTTTAATACAAGACACTCCGGTATACTAGGCTAAGCAGCGGTGTTTACCTTGGAGGTCTGCGCGTCTTCGACCAGCTTGACGATCTGTGCAATGGCGGAGTCGGCACCAACATGAGATGCTCGGACGGTGATGGACCCATGCTGGTTAACAGAGCCGCCAAACACTTTATCAGATACCGTCTTGGTGACTGGACGTGATTCACCTACGAAACAGGGCGGGGAAGGCAAGCACCCAGGAGAAGCACATATCAGTACAAGCAAGTCCTAAACAGCACTGGGCAAGCTCTGGGCCGGGGTTAGGGCTGGTGAGCAGGATGTAACCATGGTACTATCCATAATGCAATCTACACTCCACAGTAAAGTGACAGACTAAACATGGCCACTAGCATGCATGGAATAAACAAGGGTACATGTACATATACATGTACGTGCAAGCGCTATTTGAGGTCACGTGTGCAGGCATCATATCAAAGAGAAGAAACATAGTAGCTGGGGTTTCCCCAAAACGCAGCACATCAGAAACACAGACTCTCAAGAGCAGCAGCGAAAGCAGCAGAGCCCAAACACTGTCAGGAGCCGGGCCCAAACCCGACTCAGCAGCAGCAGCACTGCCAGCAACAGAGGCCAAACACTATTCGGCAGCATTAGAGTGTTGTTGTTACCCTCCTCACCCGTCAGCATACTCTCGTCGACCGATGTAGAGCCGGTGACGACGACACCGTCCACCGGTACCTTCTCACCGGGCAACACCTTCACAACATCACCACGCTGAAGAAGAGCAGTCTCTACACATTCTTCACCACTGTTGCAGAGACAAACAGAGGAAGTGAAACAGTGACAAAAATAGTGGTAGCTAAGTTGGCGATAATTGTATAGGAAAGTGCACAGACAAAGGCAAGCGAAACTGAGACACTAAGGGAATGCACATTCTTCACTACTGCAGAGACAAAGGCAGTGAAACAGTGACAACAAATAGTACTTCAAAGTAGTAGCAACACCGGCAATAATTTTACAGTAAAGTATTTGCTCCCCGCACTTAAGCTCCAGTGTAGGCACACTGGAGCAAACATTTCCCTATAAAACAGTAGCACTGACTGAATGCCCAATATACAAGCAGTTGTACTTCCTCCTGAAATGTGGCACATTTCCTGAACGATTATCGATCACAAAAAGCCCAATCCCAGCGTACACAGGAAATGCATGCAAAGTTGCACTAGGTGAAGTCCAACTACTGCAAAAGCCTCTACTCTAACGAGCCGCAATTTTAACGATTTCCTAATGTTGACCGGTTTATGTGTACCAACGGTAACGATTCTCACTCATTCTCAACGCTCACTAGCAGACAAGGAGTAGAAAAATACAGTGTGCGCAAGTTAAACTCACGTTACAGAGCCGTCCGCGCCAAATTCCAGTACGGTGGCGCTGGGTGCCTGCAGCTGCATCAGCTTCACCAGTGCATCCGATGTCTTGCTCTGCATGCACACACACACATACACACACACACACACACACACACACACACACACACACACACACACACACACACACACACACACACACACACACACACACACACACACACACACACACATGCACACACACAGACACACACAGAGACACAGACACACACAGACAGACACACATACACACACACACACACACACACACACACACACACACACAAATACACAAACATCATCCATACATTTTTCGATTTTTTTCAGAACTTTGAAGCTCCAGTGTAGCTTTGTCATCTTTCCACTACACCTCCAACTCGCAACACACAAAGTCCCCGGCTACACCACGTACAACGGTTCATAGTGTAGCCGGGGACTTTGTGTGTTGCGAGTTGGAGGTGTACCAAAAAGATCATCCATACACTTGACTCAAACACATCTCACAAAACTGTGCATATGTCCTTGCCGCAGACACTCACAGGCTGACAAGGTTACGACGTTCGCCAGCAGCCTGGTTTCAACCGACATCAGTTGATTTGAAGTGGGGAAAAAGACAATCGGGAGAGCTTGCCAATTCATCTAAGAAGTTTGACGATCAACTCCTTTCAGAATTGATGATCAAACAAAACACACACTGAGGGATCATGCAGAGATGATGTGCGATGTAATACAGACGTGAATGACCATCCAGTGAGTCTCTACGCTGCACCCGTGCACATATTTCCCTGATGCTATTGAAGAGAGCTCCACACAAGTTGCACACAAGCTGCACAATACCTTGGCTTTATGTTCCAGCCAGCGTCCCAATGAGATGAACGTCAGCAGCATGGGACCAGTCTCGAAGAAGGTGTGCGGTGTTTTGGGACCGTTGCGCATCAAGGCAAATATCACCACCACCACCTAACAGATCAGAACATACAGACACAGCTCATACTTCTAGAAGAACTGTGTACTTCAGAAGTACCTTGCAAACAAATAAATTCAGCCATAACATATCTTAGGCCTCGAAGGCTCAGGCTGAAAATAGCCGGTCATTGATATGAGCTGGATAGTTGTTGATATACAGTATCTGGGGCTCGGAAGATGGTGATCTGCAAAATGGGTACCCGAAGACCCATTCTACACATGCAACCACAAAACCGCATCGAGACACCAAAAGTTGCGGAATGCAAGGTAGGTATACGAACACGTAAATTCTGTTTAAACGATTCACCGCGTACTCTTGTCGAAAATGAAACCATTAAACTGCGTGGGTTCAATAGATAGACGTACCGAGTAGACATACGCTAGCGTGGTCGACAGTACAATCAGCACGTCCATGTTAGCGGAGTGGTGCTTCAGTGAGGCGTACGCCGACGAGTAAAAATGACGACCGCCACCAAACTACAAACCAAGAACACACACAAATACATACATACAATATTTAAACTGCACTTTCACAAGGGGGGGGGGGGGGAGGGGGCGGAGAGGGAGGCCCAAAAAGCCCAAGTATGCACAGAAAGCTCAATATGTCATGTGTAAGGGGCCGTTTACATGAGGAAAATAAGCCCGGGCTTATTCGCCTCGGGCTTATTTTTCAACCGTTTACATGACGGTTGTACGGGGCTGAGTTCAGGTGAGTGACTGCGAGTTCTGCGCGCATTATATTTTTCAAATCGCACATGAACGCAGTGGTAAATGTTCGTGTTTGATGAAATTTGGATCAAGAAATGCCGGCTCAGGTTTCTACTGCCTTTCCAATTGTCACTTATTTTTCGAGAAGGTGAAGGATGGGCTAGGACCTTCCACTGGACAAAAACCAGAAGAAAACATACCAAGAAATAAATAAAAGAGACGCACTGTCCACGGCCACATTTTCTCAGGTTCACGAGGCAAAATCGAAAAATACGGAAAAACTCGCTTATAAGCCCTTCTTGACCGTTTACATGACAAAATAAGCCCTGGGGGTTGGATAAGCTCGGGGGTCAAGGGTAGGGCTAGTTCAGCTCGGGGCGAGCTGAATAAGCCCGCCTGACCATGTAAACGCGCGCTCTAAAATGACTGGGTGACTGATCAAGGCGGGCTTATCGTAAGCCTAGGGTTGAATAAGCCCGGGCTTATTTTTCTCATGTAAACGGCCCCTAACATTGGCAGTCCAGTAGGCGCGTACATGTGCGCGAATGAAGTACAAAGTCACAGGGCAGGCTGTATGCACTGCATTCGAAGTGACGTAACGAATACACGAATGTGACGTAAAGAATACTCGAATGTGACAACCGGACAAATACTCTAATATTCGAATATTCGTTTCACCACTACTCGTAATTAGAAGACAGCAGGTGATCTGGGCTCTAACAACAGGAGAATTTGGAAGCGATGTCATGCAGAGACCGCTAGAGACACCAGCATTGCCATACAGTACCCTTAGCACACAACAGCTTTGCATCGAGTGCTTTCAATCATCACATGGGTATGAAACGTGAGCAGCGGAGGACAGAAAGCTGCACATTGGGACTAGAGACACTTGTACAGGGAGTTGTGCTAGGTAGTGCAGTAAAGAACAGGTCACAGGGAGTTATGCTAGGTAGTGCAGTAAAGAACAGGTCACAGGGAGTTATGCTAGGTAGTGCAGTAAAGAACAGGTCACAGGGAGTTATGCTAGGTAGTGCAGTAAAGAACAGGTCACAGGGAGTTATGCTAGGTAGTGCAGTAAAGAACAGGTCACAGGGAGTTATGCTAGGTAGTGCAGTAAAGAACAGGTCACAGGGAGTTATGCTAGGTAGTGCAGTAAAGAACAGGTCACAGGGAGTTGTGCTAGGTAGTGCAGTAAAGAACAGGTCACAGGGAGTTGTGCTAGGTAGTGCAGTAAAGAACAGGTCACAGGGAGTTGTGCTAGGTAGTGCAGTAAAGAACAGGTCACAGGGAGTTGTGCTAGGTAGTGCAGTAAAGAACAGGTCACAGGGAGTTGTGCTAGGTAGTGCAGTAAAGAACAGGTCACAGGGAGTTGTGCTAGGTAGTGCAGTAAAGAACAGGTCACAGGGAGTTGTGCTAGGTAGTGCAGTAAAGAACAGGTCACAGGGAGTTGTGCTAGGTAGTGCAGTAAAGAACAGGTCACAGGGAGTTGTGCTAGGTAGTGCAGTAAAGAACAGGTCACAGGGAGTTGTGCTAGGTAGTGCAGTAAAGAACAGGTCACAGGGAGTTGTGCTAGGTAGTGCAGTAAAGAACAGGTCACAGGGAGTTGTGCTAGGTAGTGCAGTAAAGAACAGGTCACAGGGAGTTGTGCTAGGTAGTGCAGTAAAGAACAGGTCACAGGGAGTTGTGCTAGGTAGTGCAGTAAAGAACAGGTCACAGGGAGTTGTGCTAGGTAGTGCAGTAAAGAACAGGTCACAGGGAGTTGTGCTAGGTAGTGCAGTAAAGAACAGGTCACAGGGAGTTGTGCTAGGTAGTGCAGTAAAGAACAGGTCACAGGGAGTTGTGCTAGGTAGTGCAGTAAAGAGCAGGTCACAGGGAGTTGTGCTAGGTAGTGCAGTAAAGAACAGGTCACAGGGAGTTGTGCTAGGTAGTGCAGTAAAGAACAGGTCACAGGGAGTTATGCTAGGTAGTGCAGTAAAGAACAGGTCACAGGGAGTTGTGCTAGGTAGTGCAGTAAAGAACAGGTCACAGGGAGTTATGCTAGGTAGTGCAGTAAAGAACAGGTCACAGGGAGTTATGCTAGGTAGTGTAGTAAAGAACAGGTCACAGGGAGTTGTGCTAGGTAGTGTAGTAAAGAACAGGTCACAGGGAGTTGTGCTAGGTAGTGCAGTAAAGAACAGGTCACAGGGAGTTATGCTAGGTAGTGTAGTAAAGAACAGGTCACAGGGAGTTGTGCTAGGTAGTGTAGTAAAGAACAGGTCACAGGGAGTTGTGCTAGGTAGTGCAGTAAAGAGCAGGTCACATGACATAGCATGTGTGCATGTACAGCGCTGGCCAGAGAAATCCAACCCCATCAATAAAGTAGCGTTGCGTTCGAGTGCGGAAACCAGTATGTGTAGTGCTAGGGCTGCACAGCGCTCGGTGCTATTTTATTCATGAGGTTGGATTTCTTTGGCCAGCACTGCACATGTACCACAGTATCTTGCCTGTGTCATATAGAAGCCTGTTTCGAATACCAGCCTGTTTCGAATACCAGCCTGATTATCAAGATGCACTGGTGGCACACAAGCCTGGCTTTAGTGTTGATACACGTAGAAAATCTGGTTCGAATAGAAGCCTGATGTGAATAGAAGCCTAGCGCTGACATCGGCTTATACAGGAATAAGCGAGGCTTTAATACGCGACATTACGGTACACGAAAACCTTCACGTGCGCACACACACACACACGTCTCGTAACACCAGCAGCCCTAACCTGTGCTATACTGCAGAGTATCAGCAAGAGCAGGTTGTGCACGGAGAGGCCATCGATGACAAACGTAGCCTGGCACGGTCGATGCAGAGCTAAGGAGATGATGAGCGTCGGCACTGCCGTTAACAATGAGAGCAGGAACGCTTTGCGCCATCTGCAGGCACACAGTTATACAATAAACATGGAACAGTATATCGTGAGCACTGTTACACGCGCATGCACAGTTACACAAAAAACATGCAACAGTGTAGAGTGAGTACACATCATGTACTTCGAGTACATGTACAGTTGTGCTCCGTGGAATCCGACCCAAAATGCAAAACTAGCGCTCTGGAGTGGCCTGGACCAGTTCAGTTCTGATTACATCATTGTGCTATTTGTACATGTGTGCGTCCAGCCGCATCTGTACCACTTCCAGGGCACCAAGGGTTGTTCAAGCTGAGGGCACTGAGTACACGAGTACGCACTTTTTGAGTCGGATTTCGCCAAGCTCAACAGTACACGCACACTGCACACGCACACTGCTATACAGCACACTGTACACGCTACCAAATGCTAACAACAAGACTAATGAACCAATACATGCGAAGTCCAGGGTAGTAGCGGGTACACAGTAGCCAGTTCAGCCATGAGAAAGGGGGGGGGGGGGGGAGTAGGCGATTGCCACTGGGGGATCAAATTAACAAAGGGCTTAATTAGAGCCAATCCTCTTCACACAGCAATGAGAAAGGGAGCAGAGAGCTATGTGATTGCAGCTGGGGGGGGGGATCAAATTGACAAAGCGCCTTGGTTGGAGACAATCCCATTCGCACACCAGCCATGACAACACCAACCACACCACCCGCTGAAGGCTAGCATACATAGAGGAAGAGTTTGCTGCAGTTTTTAAAACGATATGACTGTTTCAAATGCAGAGCTACAGCCGTGGCCAAAGAAATCCAACGCACGAATCGAAAGCAACATCGGGTGTCCACTTCAATTACAGCTTGCACGGTCCCAAAGCCCATCAGAGGGCAGCAGGGGCCGTGGCGCTGCTTCCAGACCCTGGCACGGATTTCTTTTACCATAACTGTAGTACTGGTACTGGTCAGTAAGGTTAGAGTGTGCACTTGGTTTTGGTGTTGGTGTTGGTACCGCAATCAATCCAAACAAAAGAAGCAAACTAGTCAGACTTCTCCTGTCCCGCAGTAAGAATAGGAATAAATGATGGCCGCCGTACAGACTACAGAGTACTAGTAGTGGCACAGAGTGCACTCATGAACAAGCTCATGCCGGTATATTCACATGTGTGCTAGGCTGCTAGCCCACACAAACTGAACAAACACACACACACTCACGCGCGCGCGCGCGCGTGTGCACACACACACACACACACAGCAGCAGCAGCAGCCGGAACTAACTTTGCAATGTCCTGTTTGTGACTGAGCGTCGACACACGATCACTCTCGCATGCCAACTCCGCAGTGAAGCCAGCCTCCTGAAAACACACATAAACACCACAGAAAAATGCAACACCATACAACAGTGAACGCATTGTCTCAAACACCCAGTGCACACTCCCAGACCACAGACAGAAATTACAAGAAGATGATCGAGACAATTTCCTAGGTCAATTCCACAGCTTTCAAAAATCCGAAAGTGTATTCTTGTGCAACAAAAATAAACGGGTGAAGAATGATTAGTTGCACCTGAACCCCTTGGGATACTATTGGGGGGGGGGGGGAGGTTGGACTCCCCTGGTCAGTACAGTACGCTCACCGTGATGCAGGCAATGATGTCTCGCGGGCCGATAATGCTAGCATCATACTCCACTCGGGCACTGGAGGTGGATAGACCGACTGTGATGGACTTCACTCCGGATAGCTTAGCGACTCGGCCTTCAATGACGTTCACACAAGATGAACAAGTCATGCCGCCAACCTGCGAAAGCAACATCAACAAAATGACATGTCCTACAGAAGGCCATACTGCAGCTATTAAAGCTATAAAGCATACATCGTGAGTGGTATAAACATGAGATGTATGCCATGCAATCCATACACAAGTGTACAGAGATGAAAACATCAAACACCTGTCTATCTGTCTCTCCCTGTCTGTCTGTCTGTCTGTCTGTCTGTCTGTCTGTCTGTCTGTCTGTCTGTCTGTCTGTCTGTCTGTCTGCCTGTCTGTCTGTCTGTCTGTCTGTCTCCTTCACCCACCTCCTTATCACTAGATGTATTTACCTGTTTGCTCAGTAAACTGAAATCAAACCAAACCAAAACATAAAGTCCAAACGTACCACAAGGTTCAGTATGCTGGCTGTCGAGGCGCGCTGCTCCAGTACTCTGGCGGCAAAACCAACTGCGGCTATCTTGTCTGCAATCTCATCGGCAGTGATCTGACCAGGATGATAGGCAACATCAGCCTGACATGTCAACAGAGCAACGCGCACACTTGAAATACCTGCACGTTCACACACACACACACACACACACACACACACACACACACACACACACACACACACACACACACACACACACACACGCGCGCGCGCGCGCGCACGGGCACAAACACGTACACACACACATACACACACAGATACACACACACGCACACGTACACACACACGTACACATACACACAGATACACCAGGCACACATAGAAATGATTGCACATATACACATACACAGACAGGCAGACAAACAGACAGACAAACAAACAGACAGACAAACAAACAGACAGACAAACAAATAAACAGATAGAAACACACACAGAATCACACAGGAGTTTAAATACATACGATGTGCATGGCAACAAAGCACTCGAGACAAATATATAACTTATTGCAGTGGAGCAACTGGTGTCTAAACTCACACAATCACACCAAGAGTCCAAGACTATGCGACAAAAATCCAGCAAACACACATAGGCCTCTTAGGACCAAACACGTCAATACATGCTACATGCACACACACGCCCGCACAAGCCCCACCCTACACACACGTGCACACACACACACGTGCACACACACACACACGTGCACACACACACACACACACACACACACACACACATACTTACCTGGATGCTCGTTGAGTACTCTCTCTACTTTGGTTACACACGACGAACACGTCATACCCGTTACATGCAGAGTCACATGCCGTGTCACAGTTTCACACTGGCCCATATCCTCCAACAAGATCACACGATCGTCACCGTTGAAATGAACACGTCGATCGTGCTGCCCTTTCGGCTTTCTTTTCTTCCTGCCATTGGATGTGACCAGGACGCCAGTAGTGCGTCGCTGTGACTGAACAAACGACATTGCTTCCGGACTGTCCCTGTCCACCACGCTGTTAGTTTGGATCTCGGCCAAGCCAGCGGCAGCGGCGGCGTGCTTGCTCGTAGCGACGACGACGGGCGCAGCCTCGTCAACATCTGTGGTGTCGGTGCTATGCGATGCTGCCACTGCCATTGCACAAGAGCACAACGCCAACACCATTGTGAGAATAAAGATTTGAAATACCATTGCTGGTCCTCAACACATGCAGGAAACAAGTGAAACAAACTCCCGTAGAGCAAGAGTATAATGAAACCTCACTATAGAGTACTCTGGATATAACGTACAATGGAAAAATTCAAAGTACTACCGCATTTTATCGGTTATATATAAAGTCGACCTCAGCTATAAGTCAACCCCCAATGCTTGGGGCCGCGATTTACTGGTTCAATTTCAATATGATCAAAAGCAGTTGAACCCCGGTTGAAAGTCAAAAAAGGTACCCCTTTTTAATTCAGTTTTAGGTCATAACAGGTCGACTTGTAACTGGAAAATACGGTATTCTGAGGACCCTGCATTGTCATGCTACATCAGTCACTTGACATGGCATATACATGTAAGGTGCTTCGGTTAGAGGATAACCTTGGCAACAGATCATCCACGTGCTCAATGCGGGTGCTACCTAGTCAGAGCTTTCCCATACACCAGGTCAAGTGGAAGAAAATCTGTCTCCACTCAGAATGTTTTTTTTTTACAGTACAGTCGAACCTCTTTAATACGTCATAGTTGGTGCAGACAAGCGGCGGGAAGTGGCGTAGTGCGTACATTGAACTGAGCTGCAGTTGTGCAACAGGAGATCCACTTGAATCCTACTTGTATGCCCTACATCACTAAAATGATGTACAGTGAAACCTGTCTAAGATGACCGCTCAGGGGACCTTCAAAATGTGGTCTCTGTTACCAGGTGGTCTCCTTATCCAGGGTCATTTGACTGGAAATAGCTTCCCTTGATCCTGGCTGCAGTGGTCTTCTTGGACAGGTGGTCGCCTTTTCTGAGTGGTCTCCTAGACAGGTTTTACTGTACATGTAATCCCAGAATCTCATCATGACATCATGACATCATGACATCATGACATCATGACAGCAACCCATTCGAGCTGCACACTCTGGGCTTCATGTACTGCGCGTGTACAAAGGCCATTGCATAATGGGAAAAGACGTCTTATCCGGCTGAGCTATAAACGTGCGTGTGTGATCTTACCTGCTGGCGTGCATGATACGGTGATTGCGTCGAATCCACGGCCTTCGATAGCAGCGCAGAGAGTGTCGGCGTCGACCGCCTCGATCAGGAACTTGACAACGGCCTGGTTGCGCTCCAGGCTGACAGTGGCCGATATGACGCCGCTCTGCTCGTTGAGAACGTCCGTGATGCTGCGCACGCAAGAGTGGCACGTCATTCCGTCCACCGAGAATACGGCAATGTGCAGTCCACTGTCGCCGGACACAGGAAGTGCCGACGCCTGTGGCTGCAGCGCATTGGCGGCGGACGAGTCGCTCCGGATTTCCACGTCGAATCCCAAATCGTACACGACGGTTTTGAGTTCTTCCGCGCCGATACTGGGCGTGTGACGGATGGTGGCACTTCCCTCGGCCAGCGACACGACGACCGAGTTGACACCGGACAGCCCTCCAACCCGGTCTTCAATAGCTTTCACACATGACTGGCACGTCATTCCTGTAACGCTCAGAACACACTCGTGATCCTTGTGTACAGTTTCCAGGCTACTACTACTAGCATTTGTCTGTGTGGAGCTCAGTACACTGGCATCAAAGCCCATATCCTCGATACGTTCTGCGATGGTGCTGGCGCTGACAGCAGCCGGATCAAAACAAACCGTGGCTTTCTTGGCCTGCAGACTAACGGAGATGCTCTGGACTCCAGCACTATCGCCAACCATTTGCTCTATGGACTTCACACACGAATTGCATGTCATACCATCCACGCTGATCTCAGCTTGCACCCGCACTAAATCTGCCATTTTCACGATGCCAACGCAGGAAACTTCCTTCGCTTCTGAGACGAACAGGTGTGACAAAGGCAAATAAAAACTTCGCTTCTCTTGATCTACATTGTAGGGATTACTGCTTCATTTACGGACTGATATTTTTTTTATCTTACAAGTAACTTCGGAAGGAAATGCGTGAGTCACACAATCTGTAGTAGTATTCCACAACTAACTACTTACACAAGTGACTAGTCAAGTGACAACACGATCATGAAAAGCAGCCCACCTATGATACTGATCACCTCCGGAGCTCCACGTCCACGACTTTTGAAACGTTTTGAAAGAGTTTGTTGAATGCACTCAACTCATTGCACTGACTGATCTGACATAATCCTGACGTGGGTCTCATATCACGAGCCTACTTTCTGCTTTCACTCGTTTGAGGTCGAGGTCGAGAGTCCGTTGACGTCATACACGCGGTAGGGCCGGCGCCGGGACGTGACGTACTTCAACAACCCGGGCTCTGTCTCCCTGGATGTGAACCCGGGAGTGGCGTGGATCATGCATGTGACTTGTGCATGTGAGGCAGGGAGCACTAAAAAATACAGAGGAGGGTGATGACCAGGGAGTCGTCAAGTCGTATTTGACGACTCCCTGGTGATGACTGAGAAACTGAGAATGACAACTGCCACTACTGCATCAATACAAAAAAGGCATCAGCAACTGCAGAGATAAGAGGCTCGGTCCGGCACGTCAACGTCACCTCAGACAGTCATGCAACCTACTACAAAACGTACAGTAGTATTGACTTTTCCCGATACAGCCAACCAGCTGACCCATACTGTCCAGTCAGGCAGTGACCACAATGACCATGCAAACACATACAATAAGCAGTATTATCACAAATCTGTCAGACGTTGACACTGAACTGTCCTGTCCAGCTATACCGTGAACCTATTCATGCCAACAAGACCCACCGCTTCACCCTCGAACAACCGGGGATGCCTTTTAAATGGTGCCCACACCACAGCCATTACCAGTAGCCAAGTCTCTGCTAATCTTGTTCTGCCTTCTGCTAACAACCGATATGGCTTCAGTGGAATCTCTTATTTTTTATATGCCGACGTGTGGAACACACCGCCAGGAACATACTACAGCAGTCTTGCTCAATGAAATCCAGTCGCGGCACTCAAGTTTACGCCTTGCAACATTTCCCAGCCCAGTGTCCGCAGGTCTATGGCTGCGCAACGACCGGCGCGCACATGAGTGACGCAACTGGATTTCATTGGGCAGCACCAGGGGAGTCGTACCCAAACTACTGTAGTTTCTGTGCCGTGTCACCTACCTACAATATAGTTTGGCTACGACACCCTAGTAGGCAACACTGCACATAGCATGCCCATGTTTGCCGCTACATGTAGAGGGCAAGCAACCACCCAAGCATGCAGTAGCACAAACACATTGAAGTAATGAGTAGAGGCAGGTCTGTAGAAGCTGTGGGCAAGTAAAGTAAAAGTGTGCACATCGGCGTTACCACCGGAGGCTATACGCTTGTGTTGAGCTGTGTGTCAGTGGGTACTACAAGTAAATACAGCCTTCCACTGGTGTGCCCGAGAAAAGAAAGGCCGAGCTATTAAATAAGGTAGACGCAAGAAACCATGGTGACTGAAAAAAGGTTCAAACTGGTGCATAGTGTAGAAAGTTCACTACTCATAGAAAATAGAAACCCTGTGCAGTTATAGTTCACTACATGATGTATTGTTGTATACATGTAGTTGCATAAGTGCACAAAGTGGCTGTGAAACACTAGAATGTAGTGTTTGATAAAGTGGCTTTGAAACACCAGAATCTAGTGTTTGGTATAATATTTAGAGTTGGACAGCCGGCAGCAGACTAAACACAGTTTACGACCGGCTTTGAAGCTGCTCCGTCAGCCCCACAGCAGCCAGTCGCTTGTGACCAGAAGCAGACAACACTGTGGTGGCTGCTGCTGCTAGTACACATTCATCAGGGAGAAGTATAGACCCTGCAACTCCCTGACATACCTGTGCACACACAGTGCGGGACTCTGCTTATGCATGCACACGGAATGTTACACGCTGGACAATCGTGTACAATGTGATGTACATGTATGGGTGCACCTACATCAGTAACATGCCAGGCTGAACGGAGGGCCGCTTCCTTCGGCTGGGCAGCAGACGACTGGCTGGCTGAGTGCAGTGCCGGGTAGAGACCAAACTGAGTGCCAGCGCACAGGCCCACGCTAGCATCCACGCAGGGTCACAGTGCTGATAACATACTGTACGCGAACATCCAGGCATCGACCCAGTGCTGGTAACTGAGGAGTAGTAAAATGCCGGTGTTTCACTACTCCCTACTGGTAACATACTGTACACCACCATGGTCACAGGTAGAAGTAGTCTATCAGCATGCTATGCTGTAGTGCAAATCAACACTAGCAGCAGCACAGGCAGTATGGGTGGTACTCAAGCATCACCGTTGTTCATTACTATCGCAGTAGTGATTACATGCTGGCTTGGCGAGCTGCTCGGAACTTGGACTTTGGACGTGTGGATGATGATGGTGGTGGTGCCGATGCAGGCACCGTGGTGTCAAGGTCTGGTGGCGGCGGGGACTGCAGGTAACAGGGCATAACGATACACACACACACAAACATACGCACAATCAGGACACTACGGTACATACACACTGTACAAAACAGATTCATCCTCCAGGTCCTCTCTCTCTCTCTCTCTCTCTCCCTCTCTCTCTCTCTCTCTCTCTCTCTCTCTCTCTCTCTCTCTCTCTCTCTCTCTCTCTCTCTCTCTCTCTCTCTCTCTCTCTCTCTCTCTCTCTCTCTCTCTCTCTCCCTCTCTCTCTCTCTCTCTCTCTCTCTCTCTCTCTCTCTCTCTCTCTCTCTCTCTCTCTCTCTCTCTCTCTCTCTCTCTCTCTCTCTCTCTCTCTCTCTCTCTCTCCCTCTCTCTCTCTCCCTCTCTCCTTCCCTCCCGCTCTCTTACCGTTGGCAGAGGAGGGCAGACCTTGGCCGATGCAATGGCCATATCTATCGACAGACGGCCCACTGGGGGATGACACTGTGGTGTCTTGCGCTCCATGACACTGCCCACGACATTACCCACCTCCGAGATTGCCACCGGATCCTGATCATGAGACCCAGCAATAGAAACAATCACAATAGCAGCAGCAGCAGCAGCAGCAGCAGCAGCAGCAGCAGCAGCAGCAGCAGCAGCAGCAGCAGCAGCAGCAGCAGCAGCAGCAGCAGTACCAACAACATCAACAACACAGAATGACGGTCAATTTCAGAATGCACAGATTTCATGGTCAGTGCCAAGACAAGGTGAACTATAATGCTCAAGCCATGACGGTACAACTTGTTTAGACACCAGCTGGCTGAGGTGGCGTACATAGCCAGAGTGGCTCCTGGTCCTGAATACCTGAGAACCACTAAACTGTTTGACTAAGCTGTTTGCAAGCATGCACTAGCAGCAGTACACACCATCACTTAACATCACTGCTTAAAATGGTGTACATGTGCGTGTGTACGCACCAGCTAGTTGTTCGGTTGGTGGGTACACTCATGCCAGATAGTGTCGGCTGCTTGAAGGTGTGATGTTGTACCTGCCACCTTTGTTGGTTTCAGGGTTCATATGCTTTCTATTTGAAGTAAACATACCTGTTAACCATGGACTGCTTCTGGCTAGATAAACTCTTGTGTTTATCAATGGTGCTAGAGAAGCCGTTATCAGATCCTCTCTGATTTAGCCACCCACACTAGTAGTAGCAAGTATTACCTGTCCTTCACTGGGGGCAGGGGTGAATGCAGTTGGATCCCGTGACCGGATACCCTGATGCCGTCAATCCCCTTTCCACACCTTGTCCTTGCCTCCTTACTGAGGTAAATCCTTTCCAAGTTCAACCAGAGTTTGGGGATTTCAGGGGATGTCGGCCGTTGGACGGTTCAATAGCCTATTGAGTAATATTTCCAAGATTCCTTTTGTGTCTTTCTCCCCTCTTCGGGGGAGACTCGAGTGACCAGTCATGGCAGTGAGCAAGTACAAGTACAACTGTGCGTGTGTGTGTGTGTGTGTGTGAGAGTGGGTGTGTGCACGCACACACACGCGCGTGTGGATACGCGGGCATGGGCTAGATAGCAAGTGCCAAGTACCTTAAACCGCCCAATATTTGCGTCACTAAATTTGTGCGATCTCTCAGAACCAGCAAGTTTACGATGGCAAATGTTCGTGGAGCACTGTGGCCACACATATACACCCACTGTTGAAGTTTGATTTCACGATGGTTAGCATTTGCGTGACGCTAATCTCGCAAAATTAGCAAACATTAATACGTCGTAAACATTAGGCAGTTTACAGTAAAGAGGTAAAAGGACGAGCGAGTGACCCAGGCTTACCGCTGGTCCAGCCGAGTCGGACTTGCAGAACTCCTTCACTTGCGGTTCTTCGTTGAAGCGCACCCGGGCGTCGCGTGGCGCTTTGTTCTTCTTCTTCTTCAAGGAGGACCGTTCCGGTGTCCGCGATAAATCAATCGAACGCGCCGCATTCTCTTCGTCTCCATCAATGACATTGCCGTTAGCGTCACTGGGATCGTCATCATCATCGTCATCATCGGCGTCGCGAAGCTTCATCCGAGACAGAGCCGCCAAGCCTGCCGAGCCATCGAGTACCACACTGTCGTCGTCTTGCACTTGATCCAGCGTTGACGGTTGCCCGCTCTGGTGCCGATGCTTCTGCTCATCCATGAACTGTGCATAGATGTCAGCAGGTGATCCGATTCCAGCTATCACACCTCCATTCTACACACACAGACACACAAGCAGTAAATATGATCAAAAAACACAAACACACACACACACACAAACGCACACACACACACACACACACACACACACACACACACACACACACACACACACACACACACACACACACACACACACACACACACACACACACACACACACACACACACACACACACACACACACACACACACACACACACACACACACACACACACACACACACACACACACACACACACACACACACACACACACACACACACACACACACACACACACACACACACACACACACACACACACACACACACACACACACACACACACACACACACACACACACACACACACACACACACACACACACACACACACACACACACATACCCACACACACATACCCACACACACACACACAAGCCGGCACAGAGCGGGCGAATGCTGGACACGTGGTGAACATCGCTCGCCCCTATTGCCTTACCTGATCCTTGGCCGACGGTGGTGCAGAGTGCTGGAACTTAACACGTTGCGTTGAGTCTGTGCCCATTGGAACTACAGCACATGGGAGTGAACACAAGACATTAGTCAGCAGAGCAAGTCATGCGCACTGACATAAATTCAATTATTGCGCAATGACGTAATCTGTACCAAAAACACCCTTCACAGCCACCTGGGCAGTGGGCATGGTCGTCTAGCTGGGGAGTTGAGCAGTGCAGTCCTGACCTCATAAGCATTACTCATACATTCCATATTTGGCAATGCGCAATGGGTCAATTGGAACTACACAGTGAAGAAGAGGCTGGTGAGAACACATAGATTTTGAAGTTAATTCGCAAACTACACCGTAGTGAATCTTGGAAGGTGCTGTGAGAATGTATGGATACGGATATAATTATAATGTAGTGAATACGGGAACACCAGAGTTGCTTGGTCGCGTGAACATACGTCTCAGCGCCTGAAATTGATCGACTGCTATTTGGCATACATTGTGCTGACTGGAGTGCTGCAATTTTGTTATTAGACACCCTTAGCAAAAAACGTTATGTTGTAACGGTATTATCGTAAGGGGGAAAATACCGTGATTTGGGTTCGACCTTTAGCAAGATGCACGCTATTTTTAGTACGCTGTTGCCACGAGAAAAGCTTTGATTTCTCGCGATACAAGGTGAAATGCGTACGGACTTTGCAATATTTGGCCAAAACACGTACCGTTGGTCACAACGATAAATCAGCCCCCATAACGTTTTTACGCTGCAGCTTCAACGCTATTTGGGTGATCAAGGTACGAGTACCGTAAAAAATAGCGTTACCGTTGTTTGCTAAGGGTGTCTATTGCTGCGCTAGTACTGTCACAGGTATAAACACACCAACATCGCAACACCTACTTTGTTTGGATGCGGGTATGGCGTTGCTTTTTTCCGCTTCTTCCAGGCGCGACAGGAGCTCTTCAAACGAAGGCTTCTGACCAGGAGAAGAAGTGGCGGCCGGTGTTTTCCCGTTGCGTGTTGCTGAGCTGCTGGAAGACGTCGAGGATGACGGCGATGCGGACGATACCGACTGGGAGGGGAAGACGCGTCGAGGCGGATGCGCGACGCGTCCGTTCACCGTTTTGGGAGTGTGAGCGACACGATGTGTGCGCCGTGGACCTGCAGCGGAATATATACAGACACAGGCGCACATCATCAGCATATACAGACACAGGCACAATTAGACTCGGATGGAGAGGCAAGGATTAACATTAAAAGGACCAAGATGTTACCGTAGTAACGCACATTATAGGCGCATGTGCCTGTATGGGATATAAGCTCACTCTCACTCATAAGCGCATGCTCTTATAGGCGAAGCACTACCAAAAGTATCACGTTGACACAATCACGGATAAAAGTCTGCAAACAGCATACAGGAGCCATGAAACTGACACTACAAGACCTAGTCAAACACAAAGACTCTGGCAAACGAACTCTGATCTCGCATGCGCATTTAGGTGAAAAAATTTCATTGTTGAAAATTGGATTCGTAGCAAAAATTCACTTATAAGCGCATGTGCTTAATATATTATGTGCATTATTACGGTACATCTTATCCGTAGTTTGTGTCCAACACTAACAGACTGGTCGTCATCAGGTGGTTGAATGTCAGTATCACATCAGTCAGTATTATGCTAGCTGTTGCACCTTCTGACTACACAACATCTTACAACATCTCGCTGATAACTGTTAGTGTTGGACACAAACTACGGATAACATGTTACATACACACATACACACATATGCACACATATGCACACATATGCACACATATGCACACACACACACACACACACACACACACAAACACACACACACACACACACACACACACACACACACATATGTACGCACGCACGCGTGCGCACACAGCTCACACAGCTCACAATGCCAGCAACTAACCTGCGTCACTGTCCAGAGAACTATCTGGCTGATCACGAGCCGTGGAAGACGCAGAAGATGACCGGTCATCTATTGCTGGCTCGTCATCCTGCTCATCTAGCTCTTCTCGGATCTCCTGAATATCGCTCTAGGGGGACGGGGCAAGGAGGCAAGGGGAAGAGAGGACATAAACACATCTTAGTGTGCATTGTTACCAGGGAAATATCAGCCAACACGCTGAAAATACCACCAGGTGTATCCGATGGCCTTGGCAATCTACCCTACCCGTGAGTGAAACGCCATCATATTGTTTAAAAGAGGCGACGAGGAGACAGAAAACGTGTCAGCGAATGACGGTGTTCACATTTCCCTTATCCTTTTTCGAAGTTTCTGTCTCCTCATCGCCTCTTTATTTAAAATACGTTACGTCACTTCGAATGAAGTGTGTGCAGGTGCATGCACGCCGAACACAGTGCAGTACAGTGCACACAGCTTGCCCTGTGGCTTTGTACAGCATGCAGGCATACTGGACTGACACCATTGTACATAATATGCATGGGCTTCGAAGTAGCATTATGTAGCGGTACATTTCATGTGGCACTACCGTTTGTCATGCCTAAAAATACCAACAATATCCAAAAACATGACTGAGAGCTGCCAGTGAGAGGAGGGCGTGTAATGTCATCCGTGCCAAAGAATATTCCGCTAGCCTACGGGGTTCAGATATTCGTTCACCATTACTTTCAAGGCAGCCGAGCAGTCATTCGGCATTCGCACGATCGTCTCCAAGGCTTGTTTTTATTGTTGTTTTTTCTTCTTTTCTTTTTGACACGTTCGAGATGAGTCCGTGGACCTACGAGGCTGAGGCTGCTCTGCTCCGAACATGGCGGAAGAGCGAGGCGTTTTCTGAGAAGAAGATGATGTCCAAAAAAGGCCAGCATGAGTGGGTCATAACTCAACTGGAGCCTGTAGTAGTGGCTGCCAAGAGCCAGGGGAAAAGTTCGAAGTTCTCTGTCGTACGGAAGGTCAGTTCATAGTACATTTACTGTGCCCTTGGAGCGCTTATTTCGAAGTGAGTGGGTATAAATTCACCGGTAATTCGAAGTTCGGTCTCCTCACCTCGTTCCGTTGCCGGCAGCGGAAACTCGCTTTGTTTGGTTACTTCCAGCCTCGACGATGCCGTCCAAGAGAGCTTCATCCAAGTACGTTTTGAAAACGCACGAAGAAAAGTTCAAGGCTCTGCAAATGGTGGACGACGGCAAATCCAAGATAAAGGTGGCTGAAGAGATCGGCGTGCCCCTCAACACCTTGTCGGGCTGGTTGAAAAACCTGTATGCACATCCATGTTTGTACCCTTCCCTCGCTTGAGTGCCGGTGGTGACGATACCAATCTGGATTCCACAATATCGGGTGCTGCAGATGCTTGGTCGCCGTCAGTTATGGACGCAGCAGATGCTTGTCTGAGCGAGGTCCATGATGAAGACGACACGACTGCCTCTGCTGCCCCTGCTGCGGAAGCGGACCCTGCACTTAAACCAGCAGTGACGAAGGGGCAAACACAAAAGGCTTTCCTGGATTCCATTGCCAGCATGCAGAGGGAAGGCCAGCAGAAATTCTCCCTCCGTTCTCAACACCTTGTCGGGCTGGTTGAAAAACCTGTATGCACATCCATGTTTGTACCCTTCCCTCGCTTGAGTGCCGGTGATGACGATACCAATCTGGATTCCACAATATCGGGTGCATGCTGCAGATGCTTGGTCACCGTCGGTTATGGACGCAGCAGATGCTCTTCTCAGCGAGGTCCATGATGATGAAGATGACACGGCTGCCTCTGCTGCCCCTGCTGCGGAAGCGGACCCTGCACTTAAACCAGCAGTGACGAAGGGGCAAACACAAAAGGCTTTCCTGGATTCCATTGCCAGCATACAGAGGGAAGGCCAGCAGAAATTCTCCCTCTGTTCTCAACACCTTGTCGGGCTGGTTGAAAAACCTGTACGCACATCCATGTTTGTGCCCTTCCCTCGCTTGAGTGCCGGTGATGACGATACCAATCTGGATTCCACAATATCGGGTGCTGCAGATGCTTGGTCGCCGTCAGTTATGGACGCAGCAGATGCTCTTCTCAGCGAGGTCCATGATGAAGACGACACGACTGCCTCTGCTGCCCCTGCTGCGGAAGCGGACCCTGCACTTAAACCAGCAGTGACGAAGGGGCAAACACAAAAGGCTTTCCTGGATTCCATTGCCAGCATGCAGAGGGAAGGCCAGCAGAAATTCTCCCTCCGTTCTCAACACCTTGTCGGGCTGGTTGAAAAACCTGTATGCACATCCATGTTTGTACCCTTCCCTCGCTTGCGTGCCGGTGATGACGATACCAATCTGGATTCCACAATATCGGGTGCTGCAGATGCTTGGTCAACGTCAGTTATGGACGCAGCAGATGCTCGTCTGAGCGAGGTCCATGGTGAAAACGACACGACTGCCTCTGCTGCCCCTGCTGCGGAAGCGGACCCTGCACTCAAACCCGCGGTGAAGAAGGGGCAAACTCAAAAGGCTTTCCTGGATGCCATTGCCAGCATGCAGAGGGAAAGCCAGCAGAAATTCTCGCTCCGTTCTTCCGCCTTCATCGGAAAAGGAATTAACGCAAAACACATGTTTGCGCTAGGAGAGCACAATTTTAACAATAAAGCCAGTGCATGATACTGTTCTACAAGGCATAGATCCTCCTGATTTTTGACTATTGCAATACTGCGTGGTCTGGCTTATCGGCTGAATTCACTCAATCACTGGAAGTCCACAATCGCCTCGTACTGGCCATTTTGTTTGGTAAGGACCGTACTTATTCCTATAAGTGCCTGTACAATCTTGCTCATGCACGCCCCCCTTGCTGTTGGACATCCTCGTCATCTCTGCATGCTTATTCACAAAATCCGTCTAGGTAAGATCCCCCAGCATCGCATGCTTTACAACTGGTTTTCACAGTCTAACGCCACACGTAGTGCATTACAGTCAACTTCGCTAATAACGACAATTCGCGTATAACGACAGAATTTCCATGCCCAGAGCAAAGTCCATTCTACCAGTACACATATAATGAGACTTCGGGTATAACGACACTTCGCGAATAAGGACACTTTTCTGATACCCGGCAGAGTGTCGCTATACGCAAAATTGACTGTAGTTCTCCCCGTGCCTCCGTGTCTATCTACCCTTTAACCCTTTGGAGCCCCAAATTATCCTGATAATTGTATGCAACTGCAATTGCGACATATTCTTTACCTTACTTTGGTGTTCGTTTTTAGATTTCCATAATCTTGGGCTTCCTGGAAAGCTCCCCGCGAGCAGAGTAACTAGAGCTCAAATTCAACACCACAGCAGTCATATATCCAACACCACGGCGCCTGGAACAGTCCACAGAGCTGGATATAGGATCAAATTTCGGAACGCTCAGTTTTTTTGCACTGAGTTTTGTTTTATGCTGGCCACGTGCAGGAAGCGTGCCTGGGTGAATCAGCATGTCATCCAAGGGGAAATCCCTCACTCAAGGCCAGTCACTGAGAAAAAGTTCGACTTTTGCCGTGACTGAATTGTTGAGCGCGATATCTCTGCAACGCGACATCGTAGCTCTTCGGTGATTGTTGCATTAGAAAGCTGAGCTCTTCGGCTTCGTCCCAGATATTTCGATCGTGGAAATCCGTCAAGTTTCGAGTGAGTTACGAACGTTTTAGTCCATCGACGGTATACCGTCGATATTTGACTGTGCAGGCTCGAAAGGGTTAAAATCTCCCATCTTTCCTGGATCCAAGCTTCGGTCTAATCTGCCTTTTCGTATCCAGTCCCTCTCTTTTCTCTATATCCTCCCTCTCTGTATAATCTATTCTGCCATTGTTGGCTCACACCCTTCATCTCAACTGATGCCAGGAGATGTTCTCTAAATAAAAAAATTAAAAAATTCAGTCAGACCTCCCTTATCCGGATCCCTCGTCATCCGGAAGAAAATAGCTGGTTACAGATTCACAGCATACGTGATGCATCCAACATTACCGGTGTTCACTTATCCAGTTCCCTCGCCTGTCCGGAGAGTTTCGTGGAAAACGGATGTGTGCGGTTAAGCGAGGTCTGACTGTAATGCAGTTCTCCCAGAGCACAAGTTTCACTCGCTTGCTCAGGCTCAACTGAGGCCAGTGACTTCCCACATTAACGGTGCACTGTAAAATAGTAAAACATACAAAATTTCGGCGCTGCACAATTTTCGACATTTCGGCAGCGATTTATTTTCTTGCAGGTCTGCGGAGTAGAACGTTCTATGTGCTTTTCGTGTGCTCCAGATGGCAGTCGTGAGCCAGTCAAGTACCAGTCAATGGGCAGGACGGGTGAGCTCAATTATTGGCAGCAGGTGCCTTCTTTTAACGAATGAAATGCACACAAGCATCCTCAAAGGGACAACATAGCATACCTCATCATTTCCGGTTGCAAATCCTGCAGTAGCTCGCATACGCTGATGAAGATCTTCCACAACCTTCTCATTATCACTAATTAGTCTCTGTAAGTCTGCAAATGCATGGACACACACAAGCACACACACACACACCCACATGCACGCCCCCACACACACAAGCACACACACTAAGAGTGTGAAGTGAACGATGTTTGTTCCAGGGGTGATGTAAAAAAAGTTAGCGACTGTAGATAGTACGTGTAGTGGGCAAACGTAAACACAACGGGGAGAACGAGCACACGGTATTTTCGGAAATGAGCGCCGGTCTTTTATTACCGCCCGTCTCAAATAAGCACCACATCAGATCAAGGGTTTTTGTGATTTCTTTCCAAATTGGGTGAAATTTTAGGGCTCACAAACTACTAAGCGCCTGAGACAGTATTGCCGAAAAATTGCGGCGAAAATACGGTAATCTATGCTTATTGAATGTTCCATCACTCACGGTTTCTCCGCCGATCAATAATCTCCTGGGCTTGACGAGCCGATCGGTCCACAAACCAGTTGTCGCCGAGAAGCACCAATACTTCGTTAGTGTGGATCAGCTGACCGTGGAAGAAGGCCTTCGAGCCGAACGGTACCTGCACACAGATAAATGGGCACATCGATAATACACAAAACAAGGCATTGGCTTCACTTATACATACTACTCGTCAGGTACATCCATACATCTTCACTCTCCAAACGGTCTCTGGGCTACACCAATCACTAAAAGAAAAAGAGATATTAAATTGTTTCGTAATAAGTATTCGCATGCAACGGCGCAAATCGTTTGATAGAAAGGAAGTGTCTACTGAATTGTGTGGATTTGCGTTGTTGCATGCGAATACTTATTACGAAACTGTTTTCCCACCGCCTCCAAACTACTGTTTGAGATGTTAAATTATTCGAATTTTCGGGCAAGGCCCATCTTCAGGAATGTAGTTACTGCAGACAAAATCGCCAGGTACAGGCACAACAATTAACAGTCAGGAAAGCGAGCTGCCTGAAAAGCGAAAAAAATGCCAACCCCACCAAAACTTGAACCTGGGACCTTGCTTGTCATGAACAATGCTCTAACCATCTGAGCGATGGTGCTAAAGAAGGGTTAGAGTCAATAGAATCAACTATGGCATCAGCTGTCAGCATTCATTTATAGAGTGAGCGTACGATGTACACATTAAATGCGAAAAATAGATGAAGGCAAACAAAGTGGAAATAAAGACAAAACACAACAATGTTCATAACCAGTTTTCATGTACATGTAGCTGTATGCGTGAGCATGTTATTCCGAGAGTTAGCGGCCGTCGTGAATTCTCTTGGCAGTGGGAATGGAGATGACAATTTACCCTTTTTTAGCAGTGAGCAAACCATAAATTAACAGCCCAGTTGGTCCTACTTATTGCTATGAAAAGTCCATAGGAGGGTGTAATTTCTCTTCAAGATGACATTGTACATATTACAAGTGTATTGCACAGTCATTGTACATACCATCACGTCATGTGTGATGCTGTCAGGCAGTGTTTGCAGTCGACCGTGCAGTGCATCATAGTCCTGCAGGAAGTTCTGCCTGAAAGTCAGAAAGTGAGAAAGAAACAAGTACACACACACACGCACGCAAACACAGGCAATGACATTTAGAAATCGAGACAAAGCAAAACAAAATTGCAGTCTGACCCAAAGTGCATTATTTGATGCCCTAAACTAGCACGGCCCTTGACACCATGGAAGTGGTACGAATGCTGCTGGACGTACACACGTACAAATATACTGATGCCGTGAGAACTGGTCCAGACTAGAGTGCAAGCTTTGTATTTCGGGTTTGATTCCACCAAGCACATCTGCGCATTGGCTTTTCATCCCAGCCTGACGAAACAACAATTGTGACTGGATATAAAGACATGAAAACGTGCAGATGAGATGCATGACTCACCATTGCTGAATTTTACCGCGCGTGTCTTGAATCTCCTGCATAGAGCAGCCAGGACAGGAAACACGAATAGGGATCATGAAATGATGATGATGATGCGTATACAACAGCAAGAAAACATGTTATACCCTTCAGTATTTTGGCTCTCCATTGCCCCAAAGAAGTCGGATCTTTTTCAAACTTCGGTATGGGACATATGGCACCAAGAGTACATAACCCCCAAGAGTGTGCAACGCCTGATCCAGCTCTGCATAGGGTCTTGGTCGAGCGGAATCGGATCTTCTGATGTCATGCGTACACTCCACACCAGTGCAAGGCCGGTCTCGAGGCAAGGCACCGTTGTTTTTGATCCGAGAGTCCCCGCGACTCCCCGGGTTCCCCTCGGATGTGTACGGTATTATGACGCAATGATCCGATTACGCTCGACCAAGACCCTATGCAGAGCTGGATCAGGCGTTGCACACTCTGGGGGGGGGGGGGGGGGGGGGGGGTATGTACTCTTGATGGCACCCTACCAGTATCCCAACTAGAAAAAAATCTAGTATAAAATTCATTCTTGGAGAGAAACAAGAAAGAAATTGGTTTTTCCCCATCTACTCCCATACAAAGTTTATCTTTCTGACGTCATAAATCCGGCCTGGTCTGGGCAAGTGAATGACGTCATTATGATGTCACCAAACTTAGTGCAAACTTCAAACGTGTATAACTCGGGAACGGCTGCTCCGATCAACCTGGGACTTTCACCATTGGAATCGGTGCATTTTTCGCAACAGGTCGTGAAATTTTCATTTTAGGGTGAACTTCCCCTTTAAGGCTGCTAGTCAAGTAACGTCTGACTGCCAGCAGCATTGGTATAACAATTACCGTAGTAATACTAATGTACAGTGAAACCTGTCTAAGGCGATCACTCAAAGGACGAGAAAAAGTGGTCGCCGTGGCCAGGTGGTCTTCTTATCCAGGTTCAGTGGGTCACGTGACCATATCCACATGGGATACATCATTTTGACCAGTGTATCACAGTGCACACACCTATGCTACTCTGGCACGACTCATGTGCCTGGGGTCCTCAGACATGTCAAGTGTCGTGCATGCACCATGCACATCTACACTTCCTGCACTGATGTGTAGATCTACCATGCATGGTGCACCATGCAATGCGTACATTTTCATGTACTAGCACTGTGCAACACGGTCGCGGGTGGGTGGTCGTCGGTCGCGTTGAGCGAGTGGTCGCCTTATCCGAGGTGTTTTGAAGGTGAATGCGTCCGTGATCAGGAAATGTGGTCGCCATGGTCGAGTGGTCGCCATGGTCGAGTGGTCGCCATGGTCGAGTGGTCGCCATGGTCGAGTGGTCGCCATGGTCGAGTGGTCGCCATTACAGGTTTTACTGTACTGTAACTAAGTTTTTTTTGCGATTTCTCAGAACCAGCGAGTTCACGATGGCAAATGTTCGCAGAGCACTGTGGCTACACATATGCACCCACTGTTGACGTTTGATTTCACGATGTTTGCGTAATATGCTCTTCTCATCCATTCAGCGCATGCTCTTGCTCAGATCGTTCATGATCAAACTGAACATAGGTCTCTCGTTCATGATCTTGTTCTCTCTTGACGGCTGCCGGCCCTATGCCCACTTCTGGGTATGGGTTATACATACATACATACATACATACATACATACATACATACATACATACATGCATGGACATACATACATGTACCTCCCTGGACACAAGCCACCCACAAGCAGTGCATTCACAGGTCACATGCCGTCCGAAAGTCACTACATGGAATACACATACACTCCATACTGCAGACTATCTCATAGAACGTGCACTGTCATACACTGTAAACACACATGTCTCACCGACACAGTCTCAACTGGAGACTATGGTCATCAGCAACTGTAGTGAATACCATTGATGTTCCGCAAAATGTCCTTCTATGAAGTGTATTTTAAAAAGTTGGCACGGGTTTTTTTGATGTAGATGGCGAGGCCCATTGTGGCTTTTCACCAAGTATGGTGCATTCACACTTCCTCAATCTGGCTCTCTTCTACCATCTCATTCGAAATACCCCCCTCCCCCCCCCCCCCCCCCCCCCGGAATATGGTTTTCATTTCCCGAAAAAATGTCACTGCACTTCAACTCCTGCTGCGCCAAAGTTCTTCTTAAACAAACGGCGAGGAGACAATAATTTGATAACCCCAATCAATAAGACAAGCTGAATCGACATTTGTGTATACTTTATGCGTTCATGATTGCTCTCGCTTTCATTGTTAAAATTCACACTTGTACATTTCACTGCTGCTGTTCTTGGTGTTATTTCTCTTAGGTTTTCTATAATAGTTCAATGTTGTTTCAGTGTCCTTTAGTACAACGACGATTCCTGATGAGTGTTGTACGAAAACTTGTTCGAATCCTAATTTTTCTCTATACTACTTGTATTTCTTCCTATTTTCATCGTTTTATTGCACATTGTCTCCACTATTTACATTACATGAATAAAGTATACACAAATGTCGATTCAGCTTGTCTTATTGATTGTGGTTATCAAAGTACACGTTAGTAATGTTTACCAAGCTTCAAACAATACTGGAGAAAATATACGAATAAGGCGTTCGGGAGACACGATAAAATTATACTCATTTTCAAACAGATCGATGAATTTATATCGAGAACACATACGCCACAGGTCAATTCACACTTACTTTGACATGCTCTTCTTGAAGACGACCAAAACTCTCCGCCATATTGGCTATTCTCTCCTCGAACAGTAGCTCCACCCAAACAAATCACAGCCCGTTTGGCACTTCTACAAGATTAGTGTAGAACGAAACCTCTACTCGCACTCAAAAAACAGTTCTATTTTTGCAGCGTGACTTTTCTTTCGAAAAATTCTTCTTTTCATTTTCATTCCATTGATTTTTCATCCGCGGGGATTTCCCCAAGATGCAAGAAATTTGAATGTTGGTTTGATACATCGCTGCTTCTTTCCTCTGTTTCCTGGCTTTTTACTTTTACATGATGTAGCTTGGCTTTTGGAGGCCATGGACGTCGATGCATTGATGGTGAAGCTTTCATGACGAACGAGTTCGGAAGTGCCAGGGTTATTTTGTGGACAGAATTTCTTCTGCATCATGACCATCATGTCAGTCAAGCCTGGTCAGCTCAGGCATGTCAAGTGCTGGTTCGAAAAGTCTCAAGATTTGTGCCTTTTCGACAGCGCAAAAACATGTTCGGGCGGGTTTCTTGAAGCACTGGTCCTTCCAGTTCTGTTCACAGCCGGCCGCACGTGCCAAAGAAAATTAGTTAGCATGTTTAGTCGTGTGAAAACAAGTCTACCTTCACCACCGCATTTTGTCTTGATGAAGCAATAACGTTAGTTCGTGAATATAAATGAAAGAAGTGCTTATTGCACAAATCAAAGCTGCCTCGGATTCAAACTTTCTGCTATTCTGTTTCCGCCACTGTTCGGCCATGAAGCGTACCTCTTCACGATCTGCGGAAGCCTCTGCTGCGAAGCAAGCTAAACTAGCCGAGGATGATCTCTTAGCTGGCACTGGAGAGTGGCGTACTATTGGCACGGCGACGAAAGGTGTTTGCCCTCTTTTATATCGCAAAGACTCCACTACCAAGTCCTCAAAGGTGATAGCAGGCTTTGATTTAGATTGGACAGTTATTGCTACCCAGAGCGGACGGCAGTTTCCAACCGGACCTTCGGACTGGAAATTTCTGCGAGCAGACATTCCTGGAAAGCTGCGCGCACTGCATCAAGATGGAACGCGAGTTGTGTTCTTCACTAATCAAGCAGGAATTGCCAAGGGAAGGACGTCAGCCAAAGATTTTCAAAAGAAAGTGGACACAATCGTCAGCAGGCTGGGTATTCCCGTGGAGGTGTTAGTTTCGACCGGTGAGAGCAACTACCGTAAACCGAGTCCCGACATGTGGCATTTCATCGTGAAAGAAAGCAACGATGACATAGACGTGGACATGGAACGTTCAATCTATGTCGGTGATGCTGCGGGCCGGCCGAAAGCATGGAAGAAAGACGCAAAGAAGGATTTCTCCTGCTCCGACCGGATGTTTGCCGCTAACATCGGCGTGCCATTTAAAACACCGGATGAGTACTTCTTCGGTGAAAAGGCAGCACCGTTCTCCTGGGGTACTGAAAACCCTGCTGCAGTCCTGGAGTCAGCCGAAACGATGCCGGATATCGATATCCCAAAGGTAGGTCCGTCCCGGTTCTCACTCAGTTGCTACGTCAGGCCATGCTTTGCTGGATAGCCTGAATTTTAGACAGATCCGGAAAAACACAAACCTTCAGGAATCCATTTTTCAGCCTGTTGAAAGTTGTAGAATTGACGGCTGAATTGACAGCTAGCTGGTCGAGAATAGAACACGGAGAACTATTCACAATATCACTTTAGCAGTGCAATGCACGATTAGCAACACAATTGGCATTTTCCTGGCGAGAAATGTCTCGTCAGTGTGTGTCGCAGCTAGCTCGATCGTAGGTGGCATCGTAAGATATTGAAGCAGTGATTAAAGCCGAGGTTATACAGTGCAATGAGCCCCCCCCCCGAGAGTGTGCAACTCCCACACACCCTGCTGTCCCAACACAACTCAGTTCACTGTATCATTATCGACGTTTCGGCAAATAGCCATCATCAGGATGCAATATGAAGTGGAAGTCTGCCAAGGAGCAATTATGTACGATGATTTGGTGTTATTTTAGTATTTTAAATGTTAGGTGTGTCTGTGTCTGTCTGTGTCTGTGTGTCTGTCTGTGCTCTACAGGAACCCGAAGTCGTCGTTCTGGTCGGCATGCCTGCGTCGGGCAAGTCCACGTTCTCGCGGCGCTACTTCGTGGAGCCGCACGGCTACGTGCATGTAAACCGCGACACACTTGGCACGCAGGAGAAGTGCTTGCGTGCGGCACGCGACGCACTGGCCAACGGCAAGAGCGTCGTCGTGGACAACACCAATCCGACACCGGCCGGACGCCACGACTTCATCAAGGTGGCCACGGACGCCAAGAAGCAGGTGCGGTGCTTCTACCTGGACACGCCGCGCGAGCTGGCGGCGCACTTGAACTACTACCGGCAGAACCTCTCCAAGGGCGTCGATCGTCGCATACCGGACGTGGCCTACAACACCTACAAGAGTCGCTTCCACATGCCCAGTACTGGGGAGGGGTTCGCCTCCGTCACAGTCGTTCCGTTCGTGCCTCAGTTCTCTTCCGATGACGAGAAGAAGCTGTTCCGACTGTGGACGTAGGCAAGGAGTTGTCCGTCGGCCTGAAACTTGCTGGCATTGGTTATTATGAAGTACTATGGGTACTAGCACCCGTGTGTCTGTGTGAGTGAGCTTGGTCGCTACCATGGATGAAGTTGCAGCAATGCTCCGCTCCGTGATGTAGGTGCAGGTGATTTCGTTGCACCCATCTATGTGCCCGTCACTCTGAGAGATCTTGAGGTTACGCCCAGTTCATCTTCCCTAGTGCTCATCGTACGTTGTTGTCAAACATGACATGGTACCGATGTGATTGTTTTGTGTATGGCCCTTTGGTACATGCTAGTGCAGCTGATGTCAACGGACCGTGGTGTGTGCCAGGTTTGCCACGATTCCAGTGTTCTCGTACGTTTTTGTTTCTCTCTGTTTCCATGAACAACGTACCGCTGGAGTCTGTTTCCGACTCCATGAAAGCACTGGTATTGACGTTGCTGTGTGCTCTCTACTGGCAGTTGTATAGATAGTTTTTTTTTACTGATACCTGTCCTGTTTCTTTCGTTGAAGGGGCCATGCTGGCTTTGGTCTGTCCACGTTTGAAGTTTGGCAGCTTACCTGGCCTCACTGACTGTTTCTTGCTTTGACATTTCTGACTTATTTGATCCCATGCATGACAAGTAACGTTGCAAGTCGATGTACTAGTACCAATATGATGTGCACTCTCTGTGCCGACCGCATGGTGTGGTAGTGCCCTTCGTGTGTATGCCGTAGTGACGCACATAAAGGGCCCATGCGCTTATGAGTGAGTTTTGCGTTATTTGCTATATTTTGGGTCATCTTGTCTCACACATAGGCGCATGCGCTTGAGTTGCTTGTGTACCGGTCGGTGCCTTGGATAATTATGCATATACTGCAATACCGCACTGCACATTAAACTATGTGAACATGGTGTTTTTGTGGTGTCTGTGTGTCGCGGTTGGAATTGCATTTTCACTTATAAGCACATGTGCTTATTTGTGAGGGTGCGCTTATGCCCGGGTATAGGCACACGCACCTAAATGCGCGTCACTTCGGTACATGTGCTCGCGGCTATCTGTGTTGTTGTGTGCTAACAGTAAGCACGTGCTTGGATAGTGCCACCGCTTTGCTACGGGCCGGGTCTCTCTCACCCCCCCCCCCCCCCCCCCACACACACACACACATACACGCTGGGCAGGTGTGTATGCACTATGCACTGACAGTCTGTGAGAGCCAGTAATACTCGCGTTGGCAAGCGTACAGCAACTGTGTGTTGGATTCTCTACTGTCTGGGAGTAGTGGCGCATGGCCAGCAACAGTCAACAGAAGAGATGCGGAATTTATGAAACATGTATCAGGGGCACCGAAAGGCACATGTATTCTGCATTGTTGCGGCCATGAAGAGTCCACGGGAGTTGTTTAAAAATTGGCCCCAATAGGCCATACACTGTATTTTTTTTAATTGCTACAAAATCACAACATTAAATTACTGGTGCTGCTCGGGTTGCACCTGCCAGACGTAGGCCGGTTCCGACCCCCTCCCCCCCCCAGGTCCTATGTACTGAACAAGCCAAGAGTCACAGCAAGGGCTGCTACATGTATTGGCAACACTCCTCTCTACAATAGTCTCTTGTATGAATTAGCCAGTGACCTGGATTTCACTGGGTGCACGCACTATCACAACCACACACTGCACAACATGTAAGTCTTGTTGACAAGAATCAGCAATAAGAATTCTTCCCGAAATGCAGAAAGAAAGCGTTGGCACCAAAAGAAAAATCAAAAACACTGCTAGATGATCGCGGACACCCTCCTCCAAAATCGAGGCAAACAGAACATAAAAAGGGAACAGGAAATGTGGAAATCATTAATTTTCATGGCGCGTGGCGGAGTACTGTGTATGCGTAGCGGAATTTTTTTGAGGCAGAATGAATATTCCTCACGGCAGATGAGCGTGGGTCTGAGGCAGTAATGGGGAAGAGAACTATAGCAAGTACACAGACACCATGGTTACTAGGGCAACTCACGCAGAGCGGCGGGAACGTAAAAGGGAGAGAGAGGACGAGCGACGAGAGGTGATATCGTGAACAAGTCGACGTACCGCTGATTAAAGCGCCGTTTACTCTCAAGTTGCGAGCACGGGGGGGGGGGGAGTGTCATACGTGAGCCGGGCTACAGGGCAGGGAGGTCCAAAAACGATTAAATAAAACCAAATTCAACATGGATTGTGTATAACAAGTAGCAGGGAGGAATAAGAGGAGGATAAGAGGGATATGGGAGTGAGAACGGAGACCTAGTAGAACTGCTCGATAAACGCCTAGCCAAAAAGTCAAGCAAAACATACCTAAAACAGCAACACGAGTGCAAGTGCCGCAGCAAACACACGCGGCAAAGACAGGTGACAGACCTAGAACAGAGAACAAAACTGCAGCAACTCATGAAGGAAAGCTGCGCGCGGGCAGGCACGACTAAACCACAAACAGCACAAACAAGGAATAAAGTATGGCATACGGGTACGACAAACTAAACAAGGCATACACAGACGGACGCTGGAATTAGACAGCGGTACATGGGGAAAGGAACACACAATGGGTGATGGACACACACACACACTCGGACAAACTACCGGCGGCACAAAGCTGATGCCACAGGCACTCACTAGAGGATATGGCGATCTAAGAACTCCACGAAGCGCTGCGCGTATGCCTTAGGATTGATGGTGGAGATCTCATCGGAGCGATGCTTCACGGTTTTGGCCGTGTGAGCCGCCATCTTGCGTGGACCGTAGTGCGTGAGAACGTCGATCAGGCCGAGGTAGTAGACTTTGCCACCGCGTATGCCGCTATCCGTACGACTAGCCGGATCACGAGGGGAGATAGCGCCAGCGGTGGCAGCAGCAGCCTCAGATGTAGCGGCGGCTGCTGATGCCGCAGCAGCTGTGGGGCTGCCGGAGGCGCTCGCAGCTGCTGTGTCGGACGCCTCTGCCTTGGTGGCCTCGCCCGACGTTGCAACCATGGACGACGCGGCACCACCGTCAGCACCATCACCACTTACGACAGACGGCCGCGCTTCCAGGTGATTCAGTGCAAAGGCATAGTAATCAATTTGACGATTCACGATCGGATAGTAATCCAAAGTGGCCGCACGCTTCACGTCCTCGCTGCTCGAAACGACGACGGCGTTCGGTGCACGCAACACGCGCGGCACTGCAAACGCCACACCTCGCTCGCCGCGCTCTCCTGCTGCTGGCTCGGTCTCGGTGCCGTGCTCCTCACCGGAGAACTCCTCGTCGCAGGTCTCCTCGCCAGAACCGCCGGTCGCTGCTGCCTCTTCTTCCTCGTCAGCTTCATGGCGCTTCACCGCCTCCTGTTGCTCCCGCTCTGCATCGTGAATGCCCACCAGTAGACTGTAGTCCATCAACTTCAAGCCAGTCAGAAAGTTGGTGTCGGCCTCGAGCAGCCCAAGTATCTCCTCCTTGTTCGCAGCTCCGACGGTCAGCTTCATGCCATCTCCTGTGAAATCATTGTCCTTGAGCGTTGGCAGATCCTTGGCGCGTTCCTTATCGGAAGCTGAGCGTGTGTACGTGGAGCCTTTCAGGTCGTATTTCCTATGGACAGAGAGCGTTGAACTGAAAATACTTCTCATGACCAGGATGTACGTCTCGGTGCTGCCCACCGTGACACGGTACATGCCCAGGTACTGAGGCAGCAGGGTTTTCCCCTCGCTCTCCACGACGTACTGGTGGTACTGCACGATGATCTGGTGAAAGAGAGCCACCTCTTCGCTCAGAATGGTCTTGATGATGAAACGGTTATCATGGCTCACATAAAACTTTGCACCACTTCGACCAGGACTGTCCGTTGGCTGGGGCTCATACAGTGTCAGAGAGTTCATGAACGTCGTATCGTCCACTCCAAAGCGCTTCCTCAGATCGTGGAAGGCCAGGGGACAGTACGATTTGAACTTGTACTTTCCTGGAAAGATATCCTTGTTGTAGAGGTGATTTTCAATTCTAATTTTGGTGTAGGCACGAAAATCATCCGGCAGGAGCAGAGAGGGGACGTTAACATGATTCAAACCACTTATTGAGTGGTTTATTCCCCACATAAACACGCTGAGAAGAGGCTCACTTGCCCGAAACACTCTTTTCTTCTGGTGCACAACGTGTGGTCCCTTCTTTCCCTTTTTCTTCTTCTTTCCACCCGGCATGGCGACTGAGCAGTTGTCCAAAAACTCAAAACTAACAAGTCCTACTGCATAAACTGGAAATCACTGGCTCTCGACGAAACTAGAGCACCAAGGCAAGCAGAAAAGCCACGCCAATCCTTTAGTGGCAACAGGTCAAGACTCCTTTGCCATCTGCCTGCTAGCTCCGTAGCACTTGCACTGACTGTGGAGTTCCTACATTCAAGTAAAGTTCGAGTCGGACAACACTGAACCACCTGACGCTCGACTTCTGTCCAAAACAGGTCGAGCCAGCAACTCAAGTCAAACCCGCCCGTTGGTTGGGCTGCTGCTGCCACACTGCACTGGGCTTGCAGCTTTCCAGAGTCCTTTCACGCTGCATATCAAGGCTGGATGGAGCGCGGTGCTCGCAGTCGCAGATCGCGACAGTGGGGACCAGGGAGTAGTAAAATATTGGTATTTTACTACTCCATGGTACAGTACAGTACAGAGCAGGGAGTCGTAAAATACCGGTATTTTACGACTCCCTGGTACAGAGATGTCCAATGAGTTTGGCATTACGCAATTGTAAAATCTACTGTATTCAGTTAAAAATGCAGGAAAGTTGCAAAACCGAGCAGGTTTACCCAGGTATTTCGTAGGAGGCGGATCCGCATCAGGGAGTCGTAAATAGGGACCTTTCACATTTGCTACGAATCGAATGCGAAACGAAAGTTTGATTCGACTCGTAATCGTTTCATTGAAAACAGATTCAGGTTTCGCAAGTAGTAATGCAAATGTGCATGGTAACTACGATTACGGCTGGTGGCTTGGCGTACGGGTACTACCGGGTGTGTTCGCGCACACGTGCATGGATCATGGAATCAAGGGAAACAATGTGTACCTGGCAAAACATGTGTACCTTGCAAAAAATGTGTACCTGACGGATTCGGAGCGTGCCACAAATGAAGAGGCTTCCATTCGTGAAAACGAGCTCTCCACAGGGACTCTGACGAATCCTCAAACCCACGTGACAAATCAGCATTCGTTTCGTATCCGTACGCGTGGTGCGAAAGGTCCCTAATACCGGTATTTTACGACTCCCTGATCCGCATCATGCCCTGTAAAGCACACCACAGAACAACACTGGCTTCTGAGTCCTGACTCCACAAAAGAAAGGAAGCTTCTGACTCATAGTCATATGACGACTGGGTAACATTCGCCCTGCGGCTGCTGGGGGTGAGGGCTGCGGCTGCTGCGGGGCGAGGGCTGCAGCTGCTGGGGGCGAGGGCTGCGGCTCCTGGGGGCGAGGACTGCTGGGGATGAGGGCTGCGGCTGCTGGGGTACCATCTGCAGCGCTGCTGTTGCCCTGCGGCTTCTGTGCTGCTGTTGCTCTGCGGCTTCTGTGCTGCAAGATGCTTCTGCTGCTGCGCTAGTGGCTGCTGCGCTAGTGGCTGCTGCATGCCCGCAGGTGCTCCTTCTGCCGCACGACTTGTATGGCTGGCTGGAAGACCTGATGGCGTTGCCAAAGCTGTGGCGCCTTGCGATGCCTGGGTGTGGTGCCTCGGATGGTGCGGCTGTTGCTCCGACCCCTTGGCTTAGGCATTGCCTTAGGCGATGGGGTGAATCCGTGATGGTGAGGATGCAGAGAGCATCCTCTCCGCAATCATCTATAAACTTGCGAGTGCGTCTATTGCGGCCATGGCAGTGTCTGCAAAGGGCAGGGACAGGAAAACAGGACAGTTTCCGCAACTTAGTGTGGCAGCATGCACAGCATCTGTGGAGGACTCCCACCAATCACCCATCCTCTCCGGTACAGCAAGGTGCATGGGTAGCTGTTGTTGTTGTTGTTGAAATTTTATTTTGTATCGCAGACAAAACGGGCAATGGTGCCCAATATAATGATGGCGATAAAGTAACGGCCGAAAGCCAAGGATACAACAAGCAAGCCTCCACGAAAGAGAGAAAAACACAGAAAACACAGACTGCAAAGTAGATCTATTAAGACATAGTAGCCTAGCCCCTATGTACAGGTTCATGTATCTTATACATGGAAGCAGTAAAAAGTCACCCAAAGTGTATAGAACTAACCGGAAATTCGGAAGCAAAAGCATACATTTACCGGGGTGGATAGATCAGAGAACAGAAACATTAACCTGCGCATTGGGCCACTAGTGTAGTAGTAGTACATGTAGTAGTAGTAGTAGTACATGTAGTAGTAGTAGTACCGTAAAATCCCGCCAGAGCGCCCCGTCTCTCCTATCCGCCCCTCCCTGACTTCTTGTCAGCAGGGAGTAGTACAATACCGGTATTGTACTACTCCCTGCTTGTCAGGGACGTGATTTCTCGTATCTCGGTCGCAGTCTGTGATGCCGTACTGTACTGCAGACGCGTGCTCAACCCCGTTCGAAGTGTACGCAACAGTGCCCACCCGGTACCCTCTTGACCAGGGATCGCACAAACCCGAGTTTTGACGGGTCTGTACGACTCGTGGCTCTTGCTTGACCTTTGCCCGGCTTTGGTCGGTGTACGAGATGCACGAACAGTTTTCGTAGGGTGAGTACTTTTTCATGTAGCACTGAATCATGTGAATGCGGCAAGTAGGACTCGCCCATCCGCCCCTCCCCACCTGAAGCGTCGAGGAGGTAGGGGCGCTCTGGCGGGATTTTACGGTAGTAGTAGTAGTTGTAGTAATAGTACTTATTATTTTACTAGGGCATATTGTCAAGGAACAGTGGTAGCTGTTCACAAAGCCGTGAGTCAGATTCGTTCGCTTGCGGACGCCCGTGACCCTTGTGCTTTAACCCAGCGAAGCAAACACCCTACGCCGTTACTTGTATTATGCTGCACGCACTGCATCTGAGCAGGGCCGGTCGGTCAAGAGCTACAGGCACAATGTACATACAGTACTACGGTACATGTATGTACAATGTACCCAATCTGTGGACGGAACTGTTTCGTCCTTTGTGGACTCATCTGCGTAGCACAGGGCAACCGTGAGGCCGAACCTGATAACGGTTAGCTGAATGAAAATACATGCACAGGTACATACACTCTTGCCGGAGTTCGATGTATCGTTAGGGGTAGTCGCAAAAGTTTTTTATCGTCCCTGAAACGAACATGATTCATTTGGGGGGGGGAGGGGGGGGAGCCAAAATCGCAAGTCGACCGACACTGTACATATGACTTCTACATGCATGCGATTTTCGTCGTCCAGCATAGCAAGCTGCGTTCGTTTCAGAGGGAGGGGGGGGGGGGGCGTCCAAATACGAAATGAACGATGTTCGTTTCAGGGACGACAGAAAACTTTTGCGACGACCCCTTGTATTATTTATGTTGATTAGCAGCACATGTAACAAAAAATAGTATTACTTGTACTTCGAAGTATGCGAGGGCCTTCCATGATATTCCAAATCCTTAATGGGCCTTCCTGAAAAACGATTCCACAGCCTTTTTCGATTACGATCCGGAGAGATTCTGTCAATAAAACCCATCGGTCTGGCTTTCAAATGTAGCAAGGCCTTTCAGTGGCTAGCTTGTGCCTATCGTTTTTGGTTTGGTGTCTTGTACTCATCTCATAGGCTCAGTTGAATATTGGACCTACAAGTACATGCAAGACTAGTACTGACGGCATGCAGGGATCTTTCTCCACTTTCAGTTACCTACCAATTACATGACATGTGATGTACATTTTACAGTACCTGGTCAGGCTCCTTCCACTCCGGCAGTTTGGTGATCTTGAAGACCCCAACACATCCGCATATCCGATGATCACTCAGCCGCAAGTGCCACTCTGACTCTGTGCCAGGCTAGGCTATGAAACGATGGTAAACACTTTTGGTACATGCCTGTTACAGTCATGTAGTACAAGTAAACACTTGTGCTTCCGTTTGTTGTCGCTGTAGATATTTTTTCACTGCACTCTGAAAGCAGTGCGAAGCTGATCGTTGAAGCTCCCCCCCCCCCCCCCCCCCCCCTTTGGGCCCTTACACACTGTCACTGGCCTCGACAGTGGATGCAGTTGGCAGAAGCCTGAAGCAGGGAATGGTATGTCTCGCAGACTCAGGTCCGATGGAGCCCTTCCACTTTTATGACACAAACGAGGTCTAATACTAATGCCGTTGGGAAAGATTGATAGAAACGCAACAACACAGTACAACAGTGCACGTGTACCCAAAGGCTCCAAAGCCAAAGGAAGTAGCATTACCGGTGGATCCGTACATTGTACGTCGGAAGCAGGTTCTTATCTGGACTGCTTGCTTCCACGCCACGCCGATTGAGTTGCCGAGCTGAACTCAGGATCCGGCACTGGCGTTGTTGCTGCACGATTCCCTTGTCGAAGTGCTTGCTCAGTCGGAAAGAACACCGGACGTATTACTTGAGCAGCTGCGGCCAGAAAGGGTCCGTCGTCCGCATAGTACCATACCAGAAAATCCGCACTGCTCTGCAAAACGTGCGAACTTCGTTGTACACACTAGCGCTGGAAGTGGCTGAGAGGAATGGAAGCATCGGGCCTGTTCACGCCTCACCAGATGTTGGTGATGAAGATTAGCGTGGTAAGACATACCGGGTGTTCTGCAGTTTCTGCTACTCTCTGCTTGAAGTAGTAGTGTTTCATCAACTCCTTTAGCACCATGCCTGAGATATCCACGGTGGCAGATGCAGCAGCTAGAGGCGAACTGTCACAAGCAAAACTCCATAACTCTGGTTGTGTTCAGTGGTGTTTCTCCACGTATATCCGGTTGTAACGAGGATGTGCGAAATACTTACTTTTCACACTTGCTATTATTTTGGAAGAGGTTTCTTGGAAAAAATGCCAAGCTGGGTCACACAGTGGGTGTATATGGGGTTGTCGATTGTTCGATGCTTGCATGTACATGTACATGTAGATCTGCAAATGTCCAAAGTGCCATGGTTTCCTTTTACGGATCTTAGATCTTTGGTCAAGATCAACATGCAGAGGAAAACGTTTTCCTTCCTATTCGTCTTCGAAGGCGAAACACTTCGGAGCTACAATAGTAGCTCGAACGAAAAATGAAGCTGCACACGACCGCCAACATTCTTCACTTCAGCAGCTAGCTCGGGGCAGGACAAGAGTATCACGACCTTTGCCCTTTGAACCTGTACTGAATATAAGCTATATAAGGCTTGTACAATGGCCAAGGAACATGTTTACTCTTGAGTCTTGTTTGTACTTGTGTACACCGGTATACTCAATTTGCGGACAGCATGCTGTTTCGTTCTTTGTGAACTCCTCAGCGCAGCACATAGGTATTCAATGTGTAGCAAGCAAAGAGCAGCGTTTGCTTTCATCATGTATAGTCGAGTCGTTGCCAAAGCAATCCGACCCGTATCCAGGCCATTTCCATTACATCACATCCAAAAACCTTTCCGGGGCCGCAGGGGCTGCATGAGTCTTGGCGCTGCGTTCAGCACACAGATCGGATTTCTTTGGCCACAGACTGCGTTGCTTTTGCTCCTAAAAGAAGTCTCTCCCGCAAAAGACACCCCAGTGAGCTGTACAGTTGTGCTCGGCGAAATCCGACCCAGGGTGCAAAACTGAAAACCTTCACCGGTTCCTCTTACAGCGTTGTGTTTGTACAGGCAAAGAGATGGTGAACAAAGCGTTGTTGCTGTTACTCAGAGTTTCACGCGTTACCGATCATCAGACAGCACAGTGTATAAAGGCTTTGCACCTATAATTTATATGTGCTTTGAGCAACCTCTCGAGCTGCTACAAATCTCTAGTCTCTGTCTCTGAGTGAGTGCCACTGTAGTTGTGCATGTGTACGGCCAGCTGCATTCATCAGGGCTTCAATTGATCAAGGGCCGTGCACCTTTGGGAGCTGAAACTACATGCATCCACTTTGGGTTGGATTTCACCCAGGGCAACGGTATAATGCACTACTACCTGGTAGCAAGCACACTTGTGAGGGGGGGGGGGGGGGTATATAGGGGCTACTTCAAGAAGTATGTATGTTATGGGAGGGGGGTGGACTGCATGTGTGGGTTATGTATTATTGATTACAAGCAGTGTTTAGCTTTGCTGCACAGTGCTGCTCGATGAAATCCGATCGCGAGCGCTCGCGCATGTGTGTGTGTGTGTGTGTGTGTGTGTGTGTTTGTGTATGTGTGTGTGTTGTCATATTAGGCAGTCGCCATAATACGCTGCAAGCCAGCAAAGACGTCATCGCGGCAGTTTGCAGAGGAGCTTGCACACCAGCACAGGGAGAGCGAAGAGACATGGAAAACTCGTGTAAGCACTACATTAGTGTACAGGCATGATCATGTAGTTGCACAGCGCCACTCAATGAAATCCAGTCACGTCACTCAAGTACGCGCCGGGCATTGCGCAGCCCTAGACCTGCGAACACTGGGCTGCGAAATGGTGCGAGGCGCAAACGTGAGTGACGCGACTGGATTTCATTGAGCAGGACTGTACATCATGGAAGGGCAGCTGAATATTCTGCCAGAGCCAATGGAATTCAACCCTGACGCTATGTGGCTACAACAAGCTCCCTAATGGATGTGCAGCTATGACAAGGGCATACATACATCGCTATGATGAACATCGGCCTGGATGCAGGACTATCTGATATGCGTGGAACTTGATTGCCTCTGACCGAGCATTTCACATTTAGACAAAACAGAGTAAATTTTCGTGTCCGTTCCCAAAGGGAACTCACGACGGCCGCTAACACCCGGTAAACCCTAGCGGCAGATGCAGCGCCTAACTGTGGGGGTGAGGGGATAAGTCTCACAACCACTGGCACAAGTGCTGAGAAACCCCATTAGCCGCATCCATCCACATTAAATGTAGATAGTTGTAATCTATAGCTATCTCGCCGTAAAGTGAAAAGTAAAATGTTGTCTTCGCTCTGGTGGGAACTCACGACAGCCGCTGAGCGAACGCAGCACCTAATGGTTGGAATGAGGGGATAAGTCTCACAATTACTGACACAGATATCACACATCTCACCGTAAGCTGGTATCACATTTCAAGACAAAGAGCACACATATTTTTCTTATTTACAGTAGTAGCTCAGAGTGGGGATGAGCAGTCAGATATGCATATGTTTTATTACCGTAGAATCCCGCGGATACGCCCATGGGCGTATCTGTTTCACAAGGACATTTCGGTGGGCTTATACAAGAACATGGGCTTATACGTGGGCATGGGCTTATACGCCGACACCAAAATTGTGCTATTGAAAAGTACCGAGGAAGTGAGAAGTACATTGCTGAAAACCACTGTGCAAACAAAAGCAACCGATGATTGTGTTGAAATGTACAAAAACAAACCTACATGTACTACGTACATGGTCCCACCTACAGGCCCATGGGCTTGTACGACGAAGCTTTGTGATGTTCGAACTAACCCTGGGCTTATGCGCGAGCATGGGCTTATACGCGGAGGGGCTTATCCGTGGGATACTAAGGTATATTTTATTTTTTCACTGACATTGCAGTATGATACCAATGCTACTTGTACATTGCATATGCATGTGGGCGTGTGTGCATGCATGCCTGTACATGTATGTGCATATGTGCATGTGTGTATGTGTGTGCATGTATGATCCAGGCAAGCAGGCTGGAAGAGGAGGTACTGCACCTTCGCCAGCAGCAGCTGATGCCATCTCTCCCTGGACAGCAGCAGCCCGAGCAGCAGCCAGAGCAAGCCATGGACAGTTGTGGCGCGGATGCAGGGTTGGAGACATACTCGAATGAACAGTCCAACCAAGGCGGCACTCCGACTGCACAAGCACAAGCACGGGGGCAAGGCTTGTCGGCATCGCAACGTGACACACCATTGCCAGTGCACATGCACATGCACGGCAGTGCAAGATTGTCGGATGATGCTCAGCAGGCGTTGCAGCAACACTGCGCTTTCCTACTCGCATGTGAGTACAAGACAGTCAAGTGCATCACATATAGACTATTAGTCATAGCATGTAGGGAGGTGGCACAGGCGAGTGCATCACATATAATTATAGTCATAGCTGCATGTAGGGAGGTGGCACAGGCGAGTGCATACCTGCCGACCATCCCGATTTGGCTGGGACCGTCCCGATATCGAGGGTGGTAATAGGCACCCAAAAAGTGCATTAGCCGCATGCCATTGTCCCGATCTCAGGTTTGCAAAGGTTGGCAGGTATGTGAGTGGAAACTGAGACGACGTGGGTTTCGTTCTCAAACTGCTCGTTTCAGTTGCCCGCATGACAGGGTCGATTTATGCCATCCAAGGTCTGGGCCATGTGCGGGTACAGCAGGTCATGGCCGCTATTGCGATCAAGTGTTGCATGCCCCACGGGTCAATTGAACTTCCGAATGCGGCGTCAAACACAGTGCATACAGAGTGTACTAGAGTTAGCAACTGGTGTAGGTGACACTTGAAGGGCTATTCTTGACATCTATGGAATTGGAAACAGATATAATTATGGTAAGATCCATTTCCTTTTTTTAAAAACCGTATCTGTGTTAATATTAGTGTAGTGCATGATCCTTTTTAGGCGTATTTTGTGTGTGTGCGTACATGTGTGTGTGTGTGTGTGTGTGTGTGTGTGTGTGTGTGTGTGTGTGCATGTGTACATGTGTGTGTGTGCATGTGTACGTGTGTTTCTGCAGTACAAGAAGCTGGTAGCCTGGCAGCTTGGAAGGAAAGCAACGGCGGGGCGAGTGGTCTTGGCGACAACTTGGCGCTGACGTTCCGAGAAACTGTCTTCAGGGTTACACGAGGTACACACACACACACACAAACACACACGCACACACACACACACACACACACACACACACACACACACACCAACATCACAAGAATTGTAGGTGGACCATGGCAATCATGGCATTTCTACAGGACTGCTCAATGCAATCTGATCGTGTGAGTCAAGTAAGCGCTAGCTAGGCGCTGTGCAGTCAAGTAAGCGCTAGCTAGGCGCTGTGCAGTCAAGTAAGCGCTAGCTAGGCGCTGTGCAGCCCCAGACCTGCGAACACTGGGCTATGCACTAGTGCAGGGCTGGGCTTGACTCACGTGGCGCACTGTACATTTATACTACTGTTTGGTCATCTGAAGCACAAGATCCGGACCATTACCGGTACGTCTATTGTCTATTGTGCGAGCACATGACTAAATGCACACACGTTTGCTAGCCTGTCAATTAGTACAATGAGCTAGATCGATTAGCCCGGCGGTTTGAAAACCTGGTCATAAAAATGAAGAGCTGGAAGTGCGTACATTCTGGGGGGCTATAACAGCTTCTGCCTTCACTTTGAAATCGACGGCATTGAACTCCACAGATGCTGACAACAAAATGTGTGCAATCAAATTAAAGGGAATTCTACAAGTAGATGAAATTGCGCATGATTGAGTGTGCCTAATGTATCCTCTTTCCTATTTGTGGTGCACAGCCCTGTGGAGGAATATGGACAGCTACCCCAGTAATGCAGTGATTCCACACGAGTTACTACGGAAGGCCGTGAACGCGCTCATAGGTACGTACGGGTCCTTGCATAGTGGCACGGGTATCCACACCCCCCCCCCCCCCCACACACACAGTTCAGTCAGATAAAGCAGTCCCGCTCATTTGAAAAATGGAAATGTAGGTTTCGGACCTGCTTCTCCAGACAAGTATATTTTGCCATGGTATACCTGTCCTAAAACTGGGCCAAATACTAGTACATGTGCAAAAGGCAACACTCACTACCATGCAGCAGAGCCTTGAGACTAGTAGATGTGCAGAAGGCAACACTCACTACCATGCAGCAGAGCCTTGAGACTAGTAGATGTCATTTTGAGTGAAACTCATGTGTGAAAACGGCCCTGCCCTGGTGTCTGCCTTGTTCACTGCAGCTAGTTTCGACCTTTGCACTGAGCAGGATCTGCAGGAGGCGATCGCTGGAGAGCTGTGGAAGCTGCTGCAATGCATGATCAAACACATGCTGAACAACACGTCCAGTTTCATTGTGGTAAGGTTGAGCAAGTAGACACATACATGGGCATGCTCGGTGAATCAAACAGCCTTCATAGCAGCAATGCATCCAGGGCTGAGGTGAATGTGCAGCGTTCAGGGATGAGGCATACGTCGAGCATCAGCATGCAATACTGAATGTACAGGCTTGCCTAGTCATGACACTACTAGTACTACACAGAATAGAAGCCATAACTATCTATCCTAGGTGAAACACTGAAATCTGCATTCATGTTTTGATCAGCAGAAGAAGTGCCTGTCGAGATCCCAAGCATACTCCCAGGTGAAAGCAGAATGCTCTTCTTTGTTTGTTTGTTTGTGCTCTAACATGTTCCTATACACTGTAGAGAGGCAGTCAACAAGTTCAGCTATCTTGGTGCGTCAGTCAGCTGGGCATACATTTACCGGCGCTGACGCTCGACACGTGTACAACACTGGTCGACCATCTCTGTGTGCAGCTCAACACATTGAAAGAGCAGAGCAATGGTATGGTAACTGCTCGGTGTTAGAGAAAGTCTGCTCAGTTCAATCACACTTTGGAGTTGTTTTAGTGAATTTCATCAACCCCGCATTGAAAGGCACCGTGTTTTCGGAAATAAGCGCTGATCTTTTAATACCGCATGTCTGAAATAACAAATAAACACCATATCATTCTAGGGCTCTTGCGTGGATTTTTCAAATAGGATGAAGTGTTAGGGCTTGCAGACTACTAAGCGCCTCTGCCTGTATTGCCTAAAATACGGGAACTGATGGATTTTCTCGCAAGCATTCGTTCTTGCTGCGCCCCCCACAAGTGAGCTAGGCATTCTAACTGTACATGCACTGCTGTTGAAGGTGATGGCTTCCACGGTGCATTGGCTGCATCAGAGCTTGCCTACCATACCTACGTACGGCTTGATTACCAAACGTATCGTGATCGCTACATGAACGTACACACCTGATATGGTCCAGGTTTGCACTGGAGATGCCATGCACGCGGTGAATACCGTATTATCTCTAATATAAGCACAGTCTCTAATAATAGCACGACTCCAATAATAGAACACCTTGGGGCGGCATTCAAAAATTAAAGTGCTCAGTCTCCATTATAAGCACACTGTGTAAATTAGTTATCTGTACCGGCGAAAAAAACCCCTGAAATGTGTGTGTCTGACATGAATTTGGCATGGCAACATGCCTCTGAAATGAGGTTGAAATAATAATGGAACAGTCTCCAATAAAGGAACGTCTCCAATAATAGCACGGGGCGGAGGTACATTGAAAAAATAAAGGACCGTGCTTAGAGATAAATTACAGATAATACGGTAGTAGGTGATTCCTCTGTTGGAACGACATCAACACACGCATCTCAGCTAGAGTTCACGCATACAGCTAGGTGTTAATCTCTCAGTGTTGCTCTGCTCCTTGTGCTATTACGCTACTACAGATGTTCTCAATGTTGATTACGAGCAGCTGGATCGTGCTTTCTACTGCTGCAAGGCGCTGGAAGACCTTCTAGCTAGCACGGCACACATGCTGCCAGAAGCAGGTGAGCTGGAAATAAAACCACATGCATTTTTGCTGCAGCGCCAGCATGCACAGCAGGGAGTTGTAAAAACACCTACAAGTAATCACGGTGCCCCCGGTGTGCGTGAATTATTTAAAATGTTGTGCTTGCCTACTATTGTGTATGCTGTGCCAGCATGCACAGCAGGGAGTCGTAAAATTATAACTTACTAAAAATGCCAAATCACGATGTGCGTGAATGATTAATTTTTTTTTTTTTTTAAATATTGTGTTTGTGTCGTTTGTATTTGTAATGTGCATGTGCTTGTGAGTTTGCTGTGTCCAGAGGCACAGCAGGGAGCCGGAGACGTAAAACACTAAATAGTTACGACACAATGGTGCGCGTGATTTTCTAAATATCGCATCATATGTGCATGGGCTTGTGTGCGTTTGCCGTGTCCAGAGGCGGTGTCCATGAGCCGGCGACTTGACGAGGCGGTGGTGGCGGGGGAGCTATGCGAGCACTTTCCACAAGTGTCTCATTACGTCTGGAGACTGGAGGCGCTGCTCACTCAACAGCTGCTGGCCGCCGACCAACACATGGACACGGGTGACAGCGTAAAGCAGCCAGCACACGGCCGGTAGATGTATCCGACCTGAAGTGAAAAACCGGCGCCCTATACCAGTTCTGAATTCATCACTGTATTCGTACATGTGCACGTCCAGCCGCATCCGTGCCACTTCCAGGGCGTCAAGGTCCGTGCGAAATGTGGGTGCTAAATGTGCACTTTTGGTCTGATGTCACCGAGCGAAACTGTACAACTAGTCATGAAAACACGCCGCCGCCGCAGTGAGAGACCGAGCTATTCCATGACGACAGCACATTGCCTAGGAAGCGATTTGACAGATCAAGAATTCTAGACTGCAGGTCACTTCCAAGCATTCGCAAAGAGATCAACGTTCTAAAAGTTCTTCATGATGGCTATCAGAAATCCGCAGCTGTCGCGTCGAGCAATGAGAAGAGACACAATGTCAAGTCACTTGCTCCTTTCCAAGCACAGCAATGCAGACGGGTAACTGAGTATCACACCACTAAGTCCTGCTGATGCGTGTGTTCTAGCGGTGGTGAGCGAAGCGGTGGTGCAGTCGCAGCCCAGCTAGACATGAGAAGCTCGCACCGGTATGTGTGTGTGTGTGTGTGTGTGTGTGTGTGTGTGTGTGTGTGTGTGCACCTGGCTGCCACATATATAGCCCTACAGTGTTTGAATATACTGTACATACACACAGTACCACAGTCGTCCCTCTCTAATCCGGCACTCGTTTATCCAGCACCCTTGCAAACCCGCACACTTTCTGGCAAAACAGATTTTTTCAGTTCATTTTCTACGCTTTAATCCGGCACTTGAATTCCGCCTCCAGCAGCGGTTTTCTGCAACAAATCACTCAAACTGTACATAATTCGATTTTCTAATCCAGCAATTGCACATCGCATACTGTCAGGGACCATTGTAACATACACAACACATGTAAGAATTCTCACGTGTTCAGCGCCACGCAGCAGGCATCCTTTCCAAGCTTTGAATGAGTTCTTGAAATAATATACGAGTACACTCGCAAAACTATAAGTTATCATGGTTTTATGAAGGAGCAAAACCAAGCTGGAAAAAAAGTTATCACTACTTGGCTCAGGAAAAAAATTAATCTCGGCTTCCTGAAAACTCCTGGCAACTTAACTCTCTCAGCGCAGCAGAGACATGCGTGCGCCAGAAAGCCTGTATCTCCACTTTCACGCACACGGCGCACGCACAAGCACACCTACCACACAAGCACACCCACCCACTCACTCACCCACCCACCACACACACACACACACACACACAAAGTAACCCGAAGGTGCAGCACGTCCAATGTAATTATGTCCCTACTTGGCGGCTGCTTGGCCGTTTGTTGCTGCGGCTGCTTCTTCTGCCTCGTCTGCTGCCACTGCGGCAGCCATTGCTTCTGCAGCGTGCTGCGCCTCTGCGGGTGTTCTCGGCTTCATTGCCGGGAAGAACAGAACCTCCTGCAACATGGAAAACAAATCAGGACCAGAATACTAGTCAGCACATCGTACATAAACATACTGTAGCGGACATTGAAATCCGTTGAGAAGTCAAGCGGCCACGGGGCGCTGGCCTTGCAGCCGCTGTGAGCACTGTCAGTGTCTGTCCATTTTTACTAGGGCTGAAAGGAATATTCGAATTATTCGAAATATGCAAGGCGGAAAAAGAATATTCTTCGTTAAAGTAGAATAGGAATATTCGTAAATGTACAGAAATTCGCCTTTTTGACATCGATCAAGCTTATTTGGTGCAAAATATAAGTAGGCTTGCCTCTTTCGATGTGTTATAATCAGCAAGACAAATGATTTTTCAAATATCTCTCTTGCAATTGGGGTGTATGCCAGTTAATGGTCTATGGTTACCATGGATAAAACTAGGTATCCATGAAAATTGCATGGTTTAGAATATTCGGAATATTCTTCGTTTCGCATGTATTCGGGAAAAGAATATTCGTTCGCTTCATTGAGCATTCGTTTCAGCCCTAATTTTGACAGTGTGTACATGAACTACAGTGCAAGTGTGGGCTGAAAGCAGTAAGGGTACCGGCCCCGGTCATGCCATTGGATTTCAATCAGTCCACGACAGTACGTGTATGCATGCACGTGTGTACAGTACAGTCGGCGCTACCAAACCAGCACACTGAACGTATGCCATGCACACAGTCCTATAGCCGTGTGCCGAGTGAGAGTGAAACTCGACATCAGAAGTAAAGCGGAGATGCCGTTCATTGTGTGGCCTGCTGGCACAGATACAGAGACTGGTCCTGATCGTAGGACAGAAATACCGTTCTCATACATACATGTAATATGTTTTTAGTTTGACAGCATATTACAAGGCGGTGGAACACTGTGTTCGGAAACAGTGCTCCTTACTACAACAATCCACGGTTGGTAGCGCCCCGGTCTTGCGACCATCTGAACCATATGGGTGCTAGACCCGGTTCTAACCCTCAGGGGTTCTACCAACCGTGGATGGTTGTGGTAAGGGCCACTGTTTCCAAACACGGTGTTCCACCACCTTGTAATACGCTGTCAAACTAAAAGCGTAGTACAATACAAGGTTTATCTAATATCATACATGTAGTAGTACAGGTAAGCTTTGTTTGCTTGAACAACATGTCACTATTAGTTGACAGCATGTTACAGTGAACGCATCTGTCACCGAACGGCAGGTCTACAACTTTCTTCAGTACAGGGCGTGTGCTAGTTGAGGGCGCCAGCTTTGTACTTTTGGTCGGATTTCAGTGAGCGCAACTGTAGTAGCACCCGCCTGATGTTGCCTGCTGACAAAGCACTCAATGAGCACTTGCAAAAATGTTTCCACCACTGATCACAAAGCACAACACAAAGCTACAAGAAACGGAAGTAAAGCGTACCTTGATGTTGTTGGAGTTGGTGAGGAACATCGCCAGGCGATCAATACCCATTCCCCAGCCACCTGTTGGTGGCAAACCATACTCGAGAGCCGTGCAGAAGTTCTCATCGATCATCTGCGCTTCATCGTCACCAGCCTCTTTGTCCTGGATGAGCGAGAGAGAATAGAGATAGATAGATAGAGAGAGAGGGGAGGAGGAGGTTAGGTGCTTATTCGAGAATTGACCCGGCAGTTTCCTTTCTCATGCACACAGCATGTTAGTCGACCAGGCAGAATGCCACCGATACAGGTCAGTGGAAAGCGAGCCAAGACTCTGCGGAACGACATTGCCCTTGGGCTGAGTAACACTGGACATAGTCAGCAAGCGGGAGAGCAACTTCACTTGGTATCATGCCTGTGCACTTATTTCCAGTACACCTACCACTGTCCATGGGAAACAGAGAAAACCGCAGGGGCATCAATTTAGGGTTATAATTCAATGCACGGTTTCGCTCCTGCTCTTGTAGTAGTTGAGCACTTTCATGTGGGGTAGTGCCTTTGCTGTTCGCATTACGCAGAGCTCACCGACTTGTCAGTTTGAGCACCCTGGCAAGGTATGTTCAGGCCTGGTTTAAATATGGCTTTGGAAGATGTTTTTCATTGCTATCAGGTTCGGCCTCCTGTTCTCTGTGCTTCGCTGATGAGTTCACAAGGGACGAAACCGTTCTGTCCGCAGATTGCGTACTGCACTACACAATGTAGACAAATAGCACAGTGTGATAAAACTTACAGCAGCTTGCTGGGCGAATCGTTCCCTCTGTACCAGTGGGTCGTTCAACTCCGTGTACGCATTGCACACCTCCTTCTGACACACAAACAGCTCAAAACGTTCCGTCAAGCCAGGCTTCGACCGATGCCTACAGCAGCAACAACAGCAGTACATGCATGTTAAAACAGATCTCATATCACAACACAAGAACTGTAGGCTAACCAATAGCATGGAACCACATGGCTTGGCAAACACAAGCAAAGACATAGGACCAGAAAGGCAAAGCAGAGAAACTGGAGTGACAAGATGGGGGCATTCTTTGACAAAGAAAGTCAGAGAGAGAGAGAGAGAGAGAGAGAGAGAGAGAGAGAGAGAGAGAGAGAGAGAGAGATAGATAGAAAGAGAGAGGAAGATAGAGAGACACACACAGACACAGACACAGACACACATACACACAGCCTCACCATTTGGAGAGCGGGCTCATGACGACGGGATGATTGATGATAAAGGTCGGACTAATACACTGCACTTCCAAGAAGTCTCCGACAAGCTTGTCCAGCAAGCGTGCAGCAGTCAGTGGCGGGGAGCAATCGACGTTGTTCTTGGCGCAAAGCCTCTTCAGCTTCTCTATGCTCTCGGGCGTGTTGAGCTCTTCGGGGCTCGGCAGCTTGTCGCCGAGCACCTTCTCCAGCTCTGCCATCATGTCAATGCGGCGGAATGGTGGTGTGAAGTCAGCTACCATCTCCTCTCCGCTACTGGTGTGCCAGGAGACCTTGTATGCACCGGTAATCTTCTTCACCATGCCTTCATTGTCAAACAACAAACAAAAACAGAGAAGGCAGACCGTCGCACAGCATGCACACACACATACCACGGCTGTTATGCATGCATAATCCAGCGACATTATGTACGGTACGACATTTTCCCGTCGCCCCAGTGATCCATGATGCTGTCGTACGCGACCTTGCTGCCTTTTTCAAATCTCTGGAAATATTCGGCAGGGTTTCGCATATGTTTCTGTCGATTCCAGCCGTTTTCTACGCTGGATTCGCGAAGTCTAAGCGAATTCACCTTCCTGCCTTCAAGCTGCGCAAGCAGATATTTTGATCGTCAAAATGCGCAATGGGAAAGTGAAGTTACGATCTTTTTCGTTTCGTTCTTCCTCGTCGTGCCGGCCATTGGCGTTTATCAGAATTGGCTCACATTCGAGGCTTCCTCCTAAGGGGTGCAGAATTTTTGGCAGCCTTCACGCCAATTTTCATTGAAAGCTTTGTCCTTTTCCTACGTCGTAGTTATATTTTCATTGCCGCCCAGATTATCGTTTTCGTGCCCAAGTCGATTTGCGTGGCGTACTTGGACGTCAATTGCAAGTGTTTGCTGAGATATGCAGGACGAGTGGAGGTGTGTTCTCCTGCCACAATGTCTAACGAAGACCCCGGTTTCGTCCGCCATAGGAGGGATCCGTGCATGCTTCGTTCTGGATGTTAGCAAGTACAAATCAGGCATGCATCCAATGAACATTTTTTGAATTTCATGCTTTCGAAATGTATGTAGAAACAGGACATTGTGTAGTGATTTTAAATGTCAGAGATGCAAGATTCCCCATCTGTCTGAGACCTTACGTGTAGACACATAGGCATGGGTTTTTTGTATTACTAGTGTTACTGCAGATTTAGGCCACGCACAATGTAGTCTTTCGACGATCCTGCTGAAAAGGACACACTTGCATGCGTAAAGACCATACTGAAATACTTCAAGTAATTGAGCAACAGCAAACGACAACCATGATGCAGCTTATAATTATATCTTGCACTACATCAGCACTAAGCACAGCATGGCACTCAGGACAGGGCCGCAGCCGCTGGTGATGGCCGTACCCGGTTTTACCACTCTCGGCGTTCATGATAATTACATGTAACATGTTCAATATGCAAATGATTATGTGGAACACTAATAGGCTATCCTCGTACACTCCTCACTAGAGTCCCTCCTAAACTGCTTTCTTCTTTAGTGAGGACTACTGTACAAGCTGCATTATGCAGAGTATCTGTTGCTACCGGAGTGTGTAGCCGAAACAACCAGGTCATTATTCTGATGCGAATAAGATACACAGCATCACGCATCTTCATGACCGTGCCATTCCTATGGAGCTGGCTCAGGGCTTGATGGCAATGCAGTTCACCTGCTGAATTGACAGATGTCCATGAATTCATTTTAAAATAACAAATCGGTCAAGTGAGAATTAAAGTCGGCAGGAATAGCGCAAGCTCCCACGTAGGGAGCAACACACAATTCCCCAAGTATCGCCGAAGTCGCATCAACCTCTTCTTCACATTAATTACAATACGGCGAATTAAATCAAAGCGGTAAGAAGCTAAATAATTCTGTGACTTGAAACAAGCATTGATAGAAGAATAACACCTATAGCAGGTCCATGTGCTTTAAAAGTTGGAGACTGGAAGATATCCTCTATTTGTACACTAACAACACCAACATGGAAGCGTTGCGGGCAACCAACTCAGCCGTGCTATGACACTTGATGATGTATTGTGGTACTTTGCTTATCACTGCAAGCCCACTGGTTGACTTGATCATCATCCATTGCTTCTTTCATGACGAAGATCAGCAGTGCAACTGTGGCAATAAATATCACCGCCTCCAATGCCGCACTTATTGGAGGAGCACATTCTACTGGAAATGAAACACTTCAATGTTCAGTTAGTGCTGATCTGGAATAGTATGGAGAGTAGGGTGGTGAAGGGTTACACGCAAATTGAACATCCTGGCCGATGAGCACTGTGGAGCATGTGCAATGCAGAAACTGCTGTCCAATAGTATACAGAATCTGATTTCCAGCAATCCTAAAATCCTCACATTGATCCCAAGGTGAAGAGCACACGCATGAAGAGACGTACATGTAGCTGCTATGTCATCAACTTTGCGTTGAGAGAGTAGCAGACGATCGAATTCTATCCTTCTCCTTCGCCAAGATGAATTGCAATCAGTCTAACGATTTATTTGTGCTCTTTTCTTATGCACGGAAATCTGGCTGTAAGCTGTCCTCAGGGGAGAACATGTTCTAGAATAAGAGCAGTGGGGTTCCATCTGTTCACGTCATGATGGTAGTGAGTCAAGCAAACGTGCCCCCTTCTTGTTCCGAAGTTTCAAACACAACTAATTCCATGATGCACTACATTACTAGAATTTATTACACTGCATCGTCTTGAAAACAATTCCTGTATTGACTCCAGGACATACTAACTTCAGTACTTCGCCGAAGGGAGGCTTCCAGGTCTTGGTAGACTTATTCTCCTCCAGCATGGCCTCATACGACCTCTCCAAGGCACGAATCCATCGCCCCAAAAACAAAAACTTTCTTCGATAAATTTGAAAAATGTGCAGAAAGACTGCACGAGTCGGCACGCTGTGCGTACGCGAGCTGTTGCGATGCGGGTTGCTACGGTACGCCGCCATATTGATTAATGTCGCACTCGGAACAGCCGTGATACACACCTCAGACATGCCCATCGCGGGAGCGATGATAGCGAACAGCTATGTTTTAGACATAGCAACTTGTGCTGGGATTACACCATCCAACAGCTTGCAAGGCTGATGAATTGACCGCCACTATTTTTAGCCTGGTATCCACCACACAGCTGTTTGAAGTGACTTTTTCTGGCCAGTGAATCCCTATTTTTCATTTTTCCATTTTTTTCTTTTTTTTTCTTTTTTTCTTACACACACACACACACACACACACACACACACACACACACACACACACACACACACACACACACACACACACACACACACACACACACACACACAATCATCATTTAGCACGCGAACGTACACCAGGAAAATAGAGGCGGGTATGCTTCAACAGATTGCATACTTGAAACATTTACATTTTATACAAGTCATCCACAGATCATTATGAGGTCACCCAGAATTAATTTGTTGTTTCGGGTCACCCGACCAACCACAATTTTTCACCCGACAGCAAAATGGTTTTTTTTTTGGTCCGAGGCATTGCGCATGTACTATATCAAAAGTACATAACCCCCAAGAGTGTACAACTCTAGTCTATGGGGTCTGCGACGGCAGAACTTCACATCACGTGGCAAACCTGTACACATTATTTGCATTCTGTGCAGGATAGCAAGAGTATAATTATAAGCCCCCAAGAGTGTGCAACTCCTGATACCCTTTCTATGGGGTTCGCCGACAGCGAAAACTCACATCACTTGGTTCAGGGTCCCAGTTGTACGTTTCCAGCCTGTTTTTAGCAAGCAGCGGAGTAATAAAAAAGCACTCCCCGACAGAAGCTCACTGCACGTATGCAACTCGCCAGCATAATCATGGCAGATATTCGGATTGCGAGCACGCTAACCTTAGCTGTACGTAGTACAAAACGTACCTGAGACAAGTGATGCGAGTTTTCGCCGTCGGAGACCCCACATGCAGAGTTGTACACTCTTGGGAGCTTATTTACCCTTGATGATAGCAAGAGTACATAACCCCCAAGAGTGTGCAACTCCAGCTATGGGGTCTGCGACGGCAGAGCTTCACATCACGTGACGCACCTTTGACCTTTCTGGTTAGTAGCGGTGTTCACGTGCAGAAAAAAAAGCGAGGCCAACGCTACAGCACGGCGGTAGGAAGCCGTGATCGTACAGTAGACTGTGACCTGCATGTGCAGTACGTACACACCGACTATGTACATGTACTAACTGTTACAGTCCTGCTCAATGAAATCCAGTCGTGTCACTCAAGTTTGCGCCTTGCATCATTCCCCAGCCCAGTGTTCGCAGGTTCAGGGCTGCGCAACGCCCGGGGCGTACTTGAGTGACACAACTGGATTTCATTGAGCAGTACCGTTGTACCGGTATGAAGCACATGGTTGTAGATGCTCGATAGTCACTTTCTCGTCAGTCTCTTCGAAAACAATATTTCCTCATTGTTCCTCTTCAAAACTGTGTTCCAGATTGTGATTGTAATTCTCCGAGCTTCTTGTCTGGCATTTTCTACCGCATGTGCCTGTGCACTTTTGGTTAGTCTGTGAAGCGTGTAAATGGAGCTACCAGTTCAGGAGTGCCTTGAGCTGAGAGTGACGTTGAATTAGAAGATAGCACGTGCGACGGCGATCTCGGCGGAACTGCTGAGTCGTTGACCGACTCTGTAACTGCATTGAAATGCAGTACTGCAACTGCTAGTTCTGCCACTAGCCAGTCGGCGAAGAAGACACGACGAGCCAACAAGTCAACCCTTCTTAGTGCTTCTGACCGTAAGAGGATTGTATGAGAGGATTGTATGTGAGCTTGAGAAAGCGAACATAGATGGAGGGGCAATTCCAGAAATTTTAAACTTGCCCAGGTCAGGTCGAGAAGCATATGAGCTGCTTTCCTTGTAGAAGCGAGTCACTGCTGAAAGATGAACATGTGTGGATCGACATTGTGGACCTGCTATGTTCGAAGGACGTGCAACGGTATGGTTCCTGCTGCAGTGTCTCAGATAAGTACCAGACGTTTCAAGTGAAGTTTGATTCAGCAGCCATGGAAATCTTCTCTCACTCCTCTCTATGTTCACTCTCTGTGCTAACTTGGGATTCAACTATTCCTGCCCCGTGACATGGCTTCGAAAAGGAATTCTGGTCGAAACTTAATTTAGTTGTGGATTTACCCGTGTGTGCGTGAGCCATGGTCTGCAGCGTGCTTATCGTCTGAATAATGATGACCGATGTCAGGGGCGTCACAGGGTGGCTGGGAGTGGTACGACCGGGGGTCGGGGGGTGTCCCCCGGAGAAAAATAAGGATTTTTCGGCTAACAGGCCACGTTTTAGCACTCTACAGCCACAAAGGAGGGTTCCCCTAGTACTTATTAGACAACCCCACTCCAGCTCCAAAAACATACTTCTCATGGATTTTTGGTATTTTCTGTACATCGTAGGTAGCCAAGCAAGGCAAATGGAACCCATTCAATGATTCAGGGCCATTGCCCTCGAAAAAATCGCAAAATCCGAAGTACAAGCGTGCTGCGCGTTCTAGCGCCAGCCGCTATGCAAAAACGTAGATCTATGTCGTGTCCTGCAAAAGTCTGCCGCGTCGCGTACACTATGTACACGTCCGCGTATCCGGTCTGGACAGTCGCGAAGTAATTATTTTAGTTGTTTTTAGAGAGAGAAGAAGATCCTTTTTTTTTGTTCGGTGGGATTGAAAGATCGGCCAGTGGACCGGAGAGCTACAACAATGGAAGCAGAAGAAAGCGCTTGCGGAATCTTCTCTGTCTTCGTGGCAACAGGACTTTAGTTTGCGAGAGACTTTCGTCCTGTCGTTGCGGACGAAATTCTTGTTGCTGCTACCAGAAAACTCGGGGAACGAAAGGATCGTAAATCGTTATAATATAGGTGAAGCGGGTCGTGTCGGTGAACAGCTGCAGAATATTCTGCCGCCGTGGAGCAGCAGTCCAAACACTTTTCAGCTTCGGAGAATGAAGCGCTTCCCTTTTCCGTTGGCAAGCACTGCGTTCGCGGGTGTAATGCATTTTCGAATCCGCTTGCAGTAGATCGTCAGGAGCCAGAGGTACTAGGTAGGTGTCGTTGTGGAAAGAATAATTATAATTATTATGTTGTAGCTGACAAGTGACATACATGTAGTGTCTCTTGACGTGCTGATCGCCATTGTAACATGGTAGATCTTGGAAAATTATAGTTCTGGACCCAGTGATCGCCGCCAGCTCAGCTCTGTTTCCGTCAAGTTTGCAGTGAATGCGTCCGTGAGGAATCCATCGTCTGGTTGTCTCTAACCGTGACTCCAACCGCCTATCGTAATGGATAGCCGCCTGGAGTCTTGGGCAATAGCTAGCTGCTAGTGCTAGGCATCAAGTGTGTATGCTCCTTGCAATGAAAGACTTTTAAAAGTAACAGTTGCAATGTTTTGTACAAGTCCGAAGATCCTTGCATTTTTTTATTGCTTTTTCGGATGAATTGGGTGGACCATCCTGGACGAAAAGTGGTACGACCATGGTCGTAGTGGTCGTACCGTGTGTGACGCCCCTGGATGTGCGGTACTGCTAGCGCTAGCTGCTGGGACCTGGCAATGGTGCAGCAGGTTTGTTCAACAGTGTTTGACCCGACCTCAGCCCCCATCACAATTCTGTAGTCCTATATGCAGCGAAACGCACGTACAACGTTTCTTCGGGGCCGCATTATCAAGGTCCACTACAGGTCTAAAGGAGAAGATGCGGAGACAAGAAGCGAGGTGAACTACCGTCAGCGAGGTGAACTACTTGATGGAACAGCATGACTGTTACCGTGATGGACGGAATCCGATGGAAACTGCCACATTCCTTTGTCCGTTATCACAGGGGACGTTTCTGGGGGCAACGTGCCCCAAGATCGATGTATGTGGGCAGGACTGCACGGTTCTTTTTATGTTTCATTATTGTTCACCCAACTGGCTGGACATGGCTTTTCTCTTCTTCATCTTATAAATGTCATGTATCTGAGTGATTATATCGCTGACAAATTACAAGAATAATTATATTCGTGCTGGACTGAAGACCTGGGCGTTGGTGGGTCTGGCCCGAGTGGAAGGATAGGTTCTTTCAAATTGTCTGTTCCGCTTTTCCGTCTCACTTCCCCAGCTCATGACCTGCCTTCCTATGAAGTAGTTGGGATTTCCAGCACATGTTCTAGTACTTCGAAGAATAACTTCCTGAGGCCAGACAGCATCAAGGCCAGTCGGATTTCATTGAAGAGCTACAACACTCGTGATACGAAAGTGCGCGACTTATCGCAAGCACTGTAAAACCGGAAAGTCTAACAACCAGAAAGTTAAACGTTTCGTAATTTTGGCATGATTACGTGCAGAAAGTGTAGCGATGGCTACCTGGCCACCCATCTGTATGCGCATCTTTACACAGACATCTAGCGATAACTTTTTTTTTCTCTCCAGATAACGAAAAATAATTGGTGGTTAAAACGATAGACTTTGTGACTCGTTAGACTTTCCGGTTTTACGGTGGTTAGTACTGAACATTGCAGAGACGCAGAGACGCATACGCATGTACAGGCATGGACTTACCGGAGAGCAGTTTCTCGGTGATCTCCATCAGGTCGTGATAGTCGGCGTACGCCATGTAGAATTCACATGTGGTGAACTCCGGGTTATGCGTCATATCAATGCCTAAATATCAACAACAACAACAACAACAAAAACAAACATAGACACAAGTGGTACAGGCACATACACACAGAGACACACACGTGCACATACACAGGCACACCCGTACACATACGGGCAGCAAAGAGTCAACGACCCTTTCACAAAGGACACAATGCCGTATGCCGTAATGGCGCTAACACACACACACACACACACACACACACACACACACACACACACACGCACACACACACACACACACAAGATCAGCTGTAAGTGGTCAATGTGCACCCATGCAATACCACATGCAGACTACAGAGAATGGGAGAGAGAGAGAGAGAGAGACAGAAAGAGAGCGAGAGAGAGAGAGAGAGAGAGAGAGAGAGAGAGAGAGAGAGAGAGAGCGAGAGAGAGAACGAGAGAGATTGCAGCAAGAGCAATACACCAGTTCACTCAAAATACCTTCGTTTCTAAACTGACGACCGATTTCATAAACACGGTCCATTCCACCGACAACCAACATCTGCAATTCAACACACATGCACACACAAGGACACACACACAGGGGTTGAACAGACTGGTAACAGCGAGAGATCCTCTTGTATCTGCAACACAACGTAATGCCCTGAATCTGCAATGGGACCTGGTGAAGGAGGTTGTGACAATCCTGAAGCCGCTGCAGGTTGCCACTACAGCCCCGAGAATGGATTGCAACCCGTCCGTGCTCTGTGTGTGTGTGTGTGTGTGTGTGTGTGTGTGTGTGTGTGTGTGTGTGTGTGTGTGTGTGTGTGTGTGTGTGTGTGTGTGGTGTGGGTGTATAATCTTCCATGACCTGATCACCCAGCTTGCGGTAGTCTGAAAGAGTACCCGCATTATTACAACTACATGTACAGTTGCGCTCACTGAAATCCGACCCAAAGTGCAAAGCTGTCGCCCTGGACCAGTTCCGATTACATCATTGTATTTGTACATGTGTACGTCCAGCCGCATTCGTGCCACTTCCAGGGCGCCAAGAGCGTGCTAGTTGAGGGCGCCTGCTTTGCACTTTGGGTCGGATTTCAGTGAGCGCAACTGTAGTAATCAGTAGGACGTGATGGCAGAGGAAGTCGTTACATACTGCAACACAGTTACACTACTGTCCAGCAGGCATGCTGCTACTCACCTTGTGGTACAGCTCTGGGGCTACTCGCATGAACAAGTCCATATCCAGGTCGTTATGATGGGTGACGAATGGCTTGGCTGTGGCACCGCCAGCAATCATGTTCATCATTGGTGTTTCAATCTGGTACACAGGCACACATGCATAGGGACACACGAACAGAGGCACGTGTACACACACACACATATTCTCGTGCACACACACACACACACACACACAATCTTCAGAACACGGGCACATCCAGTTAAAATGTGAAACATGGCGAACGGCACATGGAAGGTGCACAAACAGCAGCTGCCATACAACATGATCCAATTGACAACCTAAGCTCTACTAGCTGCAATATCAGGCACAAGTTGACGGCCATCACCAACACACACGGCAGTGAATTAACCTACCTCAAGGAAGCCAAGCTCATCCAAGAAACGGCGTACATAGCTGACAATCTGAGCACGCACTATGAACTTCTGCCGCACGGAGTCGTTCATGATCAGATCTAGATAACGCCGTCTATACCGGTATTCCTGTCAGCATACGTCACACGTGTACAAACGGACGCACACCATAGACACACACACACACACACACGCACACACACAGTGTCACACACCCACACCCACACACACACATCATGCAAGAAAATAGCAAATGAAGCACAGAAGTGAAGATCTGCCCATGATCTTGCACCTCCGACGTACTAGTACATGACCGGCTAGCCACAGAAGAAAAGATATACAATCATGTGCATGCAAGTGACAAATCACCCTGAAAATTAGACTGCACGTACACATAGGCACACACACACACACGGGCGCGCACGCACGCACACACACACACACACACACAAGTCAACGTGACAAGTACCTGTGACTTGAAGCCATGGAAACTACCGGGCAGCTGATGTAGACACGGGGACAGCAGCTGAATCGTCTGAGGAACTATGCTCAGCTCTCCAGTCTTGGTTCTCGCTATACAGTACAGGACAATCGGGCATGAAGAGAGTTTAATGTTCCATAAGCGTACCGGGACTAGAATATACAATGCACAAGAACTAGCAATGATGTCGACGCTGGGATAGTGCAGACAGCCAACTGGTTCAAGCGTGCGCGCGTGTGTGTGTGTGTGTGTGTGTGTGTGCACGCACGCGCGGGCGTGGGTGTAGAGGTTTCTTCCAGAGCTGTTGTAAGAAAAAATCGGTCATAGCTGACCCCAAATCTAAATCACTCCACAATCATCGTGCTCGTTCTTACTGCCCAGTGAGCTCGTTCCAAATGTCCGCCGAAATATTTAATCGCCACTATCAGGTTTTGTGTTACACAAGCGGTTAAGTGATAGCAGTGTTATCGGGCGAGAGTAGGCCGGCTCAGTCCAGCTAGCCTGAAACAAAGCCGCAGGACACCATCAAGACTCCTAAAATAAACACAACAATATCAAGCCAAGCGAAATTGACTCACTTGGGATGCCTTTAATACCAACGATATCTCCTCTGTGAAGGATATTGTGGATCTTAGCAAAATCATCCTTAGTAAACCTGAAACATCCAAAGCCAAGCCAGGATACAACAACAGAACACGGCGACAGTCAGTACAGCGAGTGGTAAAATCTCTACTTGTGCGACACAACCAGGAATGCAGCAAAGAAGCATGAACATAAGCAAACGATGATGAACGCAAGCACACGCACACACATACACACACATATACACACACACACGCACAGAAGTAATCAAAGACAGAATGGGGTTGGTGGCTTACATCGCATTGGCCATGACCTGGATCTTGACGCCTTCTGCTCTCAAGTCATAAAAGATTAACTTGGAACTCATCAAACGCTTGGCATGAAGACGACCTATGTCCAGAAACACCACAACAGAACAGAGAGACGGGCATTTAGAAATCTTGGTTCAAGTACACAGGAAAGCCACAGAGCCATCGTCATACCAGAGACATTACAGCCTTCTGGGTTTCTTCAGCGTGCACAAGAGAAAACATGCTGTCGCATGGTAGTTCAAGGATCAGCAATGAGGATACAAGAGTCTATCAAGCTGACACAAAAGGCGCGGACCTTCACAGATCACCTGCCTTAAGACACCAGTCGTCATAGCAAGCAATTCAAGAGTTTCAACATAGATATAGGCCAGTGAAAAGAGAAGGACATCCAATCAGTTCCCATGGAGACTAGCTTTCCGTGCACCATGGGTCGGTTACGCTGGAGAGGTTTGACTGCAATCAAGAGTACATGAAACCCAGAGCGTGCAGCACTGATGGGTTGCTGTCACGGCGGAATTCCGGGATTACTGCTGATGTAGTGCGTACAAGCAGGATTCCAGCAGGTCTCTTTCTGCACAACTGCATGCAGCTCAGTTGTACGCACTACGCCACATCCCGCCTCAGATCTGCACCAAAATATGATGTAATCGCGGAATTTCGCCGTGACAGATACACATGCAGAAAAAGTCAGAAGGTGCACACTCTGGGTTTCATGTACCCTTGCTGCAGTAGAATCAAGCGGTATAACAACCTGCTTGGTGGCCACCTGAAAACCAGATTTAACACTACGCGCACAACAGAGGCACTTCAGAGCGGCAGCAATGGAGGGTACAAAACACGCAGCCACACACACTCACGCTGATCACATAACCACTCACGCCAATCACATGACCACCAACACTAATCACATGACCACTAACCGGCAACAGTGCACGTTTCGCCCTCGCGCATCTGCCCGGGCTCGATGTCACCATATTTGGAGATGTACTCGGTCAAGCCAATGCTGACGTGAAACTTGTGCGGGTAGGGATGCATGTCGGTATTCTTCAGACCTTGGATACTCTCATTTCGCATACAGAAGTAGTCCTATCGTGAAAGCAGAGAAACCATACAGAAGCAATCCTGATACAATTGAATACAAAATTAATGTCTGTGTATTGCCGACTTCTTCCGTTCAACATCCATCTCCGCATCACCACCATCGCCACCACCATCACCATGCGCAGCATCATCACCACCAGTGGTCAACATCTCACACGGACGAAGGAGACGACTACGAGAAGTTGACCGCTGGTGGTGATGGTGGTGATCGGGATGATGATGATGACGACGAGGAGCCGGATATACAATTGAATACACGAGGAGAATCACAAGCTCTGACAATTCCGATTCTCCCAAGACCAGAAGGTGGCACTGTAATATAGAGCCAGAGACATTTGCCGGGAATTTAATTTCGTCGTTTGCGTCCAGACTAAATTTAATGAAGGACCAGACGTCTATTTGCGTAGTCTTTCAGCATATTCCAACACATCCGTAGATGATAATTTCAACCAGATAAACTCCATTAAAGGGGAAGTTAAGGCAAAAATTAAAATTTCACCAGTTGTAGTCTTCGGGGTGCTGAGTCGAATGGTCTTGGTCCGAGAAAGCTGAGACGCTCCCTTCCTACTTGAATCCCAATCGAACTCGCGCACTTCCACCGAAACTGGGTGACTGCGCCCTACTAGATGGGGATTTGTATGCAAAATGTCACTAAAACTAAAAGCGCCATTTCGTTCGTATAAAAGCATGGATGACCGCGATTGGCCCATATGTTGTAGTCTTTTGGACGCTGAGTCGACTGGTTTTGGTCCGAAAAGGCTGCGATGCAGCGTTCCTCCTTTATTCCCAATCGAACATGGTTGAACAAGTGGTCACGTGCTCCTGGGTACCCAAATCACCTGGTCACCACGCCAGCAGGCGACAACTTTCACACCAAGGTTCAACTCGAGTTCAACTCGAGTGACAGGACTGCACCCAAAAAAGGTCAAACAGGCTACAGTAAGATCGGGCGCCGAAGAACGCAGGGGCTCGAGCGCAGCCTAGGAAAGTTCTTAATTTTTTGATTCTAGCCAGACCGTTCTTATTCACACGCGCGCGGCGAGTCGAGTGACGTCATGACGTTTGTCATGTACATGTACATGTACATGTACATGTAGATTGTAGTGCAATGTAGTACTTCTAAACTAGTGGGTGTCGTAAATGGGAATGACTGTACATGTAGCAGTTACTGTTTACACGTGTACATGACATGTACTCACCTCCCATACATGTACAATGTAGATCTACGTACAATGTAGATCTAGTGTTCTTAAATCTGATAATTCTAGCCTGGACTGTTCTTAAATTTTGCCGGTTTTCCAGCCTGGGTGTTCTTCGGTGGGGTGTTCTTCGGCGCCCGATCTTACTGTAGTAAGTTGTACCCTGCAGGCACGGTGACCAGGTGACTGGCGTACGCAGGAGCACGTGACCGCTTGTTCAACCATGTTCGATTGGGAATAAAGGAGGAACGCTGCATCGCAGCCTTTTCAGACCAAAACCAATCGACTCAGCGTCCAAAAGACTACAACATATGGGCCAATCGCGGTCATCCATGCTTTTATAAGAACGAAATGGCGCTTTTAGTGACATTTTGCATACAAATCCCTATCTAGTAGGGCGCAGTCACCCAGTTTCGGTGGAAGTGCGCGAGTTCGATTGGGATTCAAGTAGGAAGGGAGCGTCTCAGCTTCCTCGGACCACGACCATTCGACTCAGCACCCCGAAGACTACAACTGGTGAAATTTTAATTTTTGCCTTAACTTCCCCTTTAACCCTTTACTGTCCGGTTAAAATGTATACAAGCCCACGCAACCACAAAATCTGAAACTAAAATTAGACTTAACTTTGGTTTGATTTTGACGATTTCCACGATCTTGGGCATCCTGGAAAGGTCTTGACGAGACGAACGCAATGAGCCCACACCCGGCGCCACAGGATGCACTGGTCCAGCGCTGCAAGCCAGGGAACGCGCAAAAGCGCTGAGCTCACGCTCGAGATCGATCTCAATCCACCATGTCACCCCTGTTGCTCGTATCGAGCTCAAATATTTTCGTAGAGACTCCCGGGAACCTACTTTTGAATTTGAATCGGTGTAGCCTTGCCAACAGGTGACGTAAACAGGGAAAATCCCAGCCGTCGACATGCGCGTCGCGCTCTGAACGCACATTTCCCGGGACCAGAATTACGAGTGTGATAACTCAGCAACCGCTCTTCGTATCGCTTCGGGAATTGTTCGAGGCGACAGCTGAGACTTTTCTCTTTGATCTACATATTTCGATCTTTCCAAAAGACCTAGATTTGAGCAAGTTACGATAATTTCAAAATACCTACCCCATCAATCCCATTGGATCGATGCTTGTATGTACGGACAGTTAAGGGTTAAAGGGGCACTCCGGGAATTCTTTCGGTGGTGTGTCTCTTCATGGGGGCTTTATATGGCCCCCAAGGAATGGGGAATCGGGAAAACTAGACCCAAAAAGTCGATATAATATGAAGCCAGGGAGGGCCAAGTTTGTCTCCTCTTTTGATGGTTGTGATGACGTCACGTGTGATTAGTATTCAAATTCTCTGCATTCGAAGATCTTAGTTGTTTGAATTTTCTGGTGATGAAGAACGATGTTTGGTCGACATTCCCACGCTTCACAACTGCGGACATACTCTAAGGAACCTGAAGGACCCCCTGAGGTGCCCCTGGTAGAAGCGCAGCCTGATGAGGGCCAGGAGATTGGAGCCGACGACTTCACTGGTGCGAGTACGAGGATCCCGAAATTCTCTATACGCCGTGAGGCATATGGTCAGAACAGGTTTGTTTAGACAAGCTGACGCGAAGTCGGGGTGATGTGTAACGCATGTCAAAGGGCTGTCAATGCTAACAGCTGCAGCGCTCTCTCGACAGCGAAGGTAATCGACTGCCCTCTGCATCACCCCACATTTCTGGCAGGAACATCAATCGTTATTTCCTTGTCGACCAGTGAAGTCGTCCGCTCCAATTTTCTGGCCCTC